TTGGAGAGACCTCAGTCAGATTGTGGAGTCGGCTCAACTGCACGGTCGGTCCGGTCTCAGCACTAACCCGTCTCTGAGAAGATCAACAGAGGAGAACACTCTCTCTTTACGCTCAGCGGGCTTCCCAAGTGCCTGAGACAACCGTGTATCAGTCTCTTGCCCTTCTCTCCTTGACTCTCGTTCGCCCCGCAATTTAAGGGATTTCAGAACGGGAACTTCCGACCAATCACAACCCTTTTTTATGCCCGAACAGCTTACACTCAGGTCTGCCGTCATCCGACGAGAGTGAAGCTTACACAAACGTCCGCCACTTGTTTACGTTCGTTTGTTTACAATATGGTAAATGTACTACCGTCTGACTGCAGGTGGGTCCAATTAACAAAGCCGGCGCTTCCTTTGTTTACCCTTGTTTACAAGTCAATACCTTACAAGTGGTATTACCCGACCGCACGTGGGTCCAATTGACAAGGTCGCGCCTCTTTTGTTCCCACTCTGCTAAAAGGTCACTACTTTACAATCTTATTGCGTTCATTCTACATATTAAAGGAGGGTTCATAACTTTTTGGGTTCTGGATCCTTTATTACACGTAAAATCTTTCACAGAATAATGTTTTAAGAATGAAATGAAATGAAAAAGTTACAGATTCTGCAGTTTGTTGATATTAGTTAAAGGTCTGTGAGGATTAAAACGTAATTTTTTACAAAATTCAAGTTTACGATTCTTCATAAATCTATCGAAGGGCCTCTTAGGGGTCTTCGATTTCCAGATTAAGAACCTTTGGGGTAAATAAAAGTGGTTAGATACCACAAAGAATTGATAGTCTTCAGGAAGCTATCAACAATGGCGATTGAGTAAGATTGAAAGTTAACACCGCAACGCTATATTTCCTCTATTGGTGAATATTCGAACTATTATTTATTCTCAAAATCTCTATCGTCTAGAAAGTATACATACCGAATAGAAGTTGAATACAATAAAAGTTATGGAAAAACTCAAATCCCAGAAAAAAAAAATCCGGCAAGAAGTTGCGTAAATTTTCCGGCAAGAGTTAAAATTGCGTATGGCTCCATTTGTTACGAGATTTTATTAAAACATTGTAAATGCTAATGACGAGTAAAATCTTCGTTAAATCTGTCCCCATTTGAGATACGACGCGTGACCCTCCTCTATCTTCTTAACCCCTCAGTCTTTAACCATCAAAATTTAACAGCAACAAACCTCCTAGCAGGCAAAACTCCCTGCGAAATTTCAGAAAATTTGGACAAAGGGCATAGTAGTTATTAAGCTTCAAAGTTGGTTAACAAAATCGTACTCCACGTACAGAAGAAACACCCAATTTGTTTTTATTTCTCGACGTTTCGAGGTCCCCCCGAGTCCAAAAATGTATAAATGTTAAGATCTTTGACCCCTTCCCCAATATTCACCCTTCCTCATCACCATATTTTTCCTCTGTTATAACAGCCGGGTGTTAAGCCCTATATAATTATTAAACAAGAAATTAAATTATATAAATTTATATATAATTAATTATTGTGTTAGTTCCTTACAAATAAACTATTTTTATCTTAGTATCCTGGAAGTAAAAGTTACAGTTCCAAAAAGAACACTTCTTATAATACAGTAAGTTCATTATTTATTTACATAACTTAGTTTATTTACATGTTAGATGGTTTACGCAATAAATCTGTATCGTAGAAACGTTAAATCGAGTGAAATTCCCCAAATTAACACACACTAATATGTCTATTTTTAATCTTCCAGCCTCTCAAGTACGGAGGAGGGACAAGTCTTGGGTCTTCCGTTTATGGCATCACCTGGAACAAATATTCTAGCAGACCCACTAGCAGATCTACTTCCTATGATTATAAATATCCCACGAACAATTATGGGAGGACCAGTTCTGGGTACTCCACAGAATTATCGAATTATAGAAATTCCAGCTGCAAATCCTACGGTGCTTATTCCAGGTTGAGAGATGATCGCCCTCGCGTTGAATCTACTAGAACCTCTGGTTCTAGAATATCTTCTAGTTCTTCCTCATCTTGGACATCTTACGCCAAGTTGATCGGAAGTCATGCAAGATCAAACGATGCAAGATACGCAAAGCAGTACTCGAGCAATAATCATGAAAGGGGAAGAAGAACGAACGAATCCGAAAAAGGTAAAGAAGAGAAATCGAATCCGAATGAATTTGTTCAAAATAAAAGGGAGAAAAACGAAGATTCTAACGTAATTATGATTTCTCGCGCCACATCACCCACGCAGGAGGATCAGTTGTCCTCTTACCACCGGGAATCCAAGCAACACAAAAGAAAAATGGCGGTAGCTAAGATATCCATTGGCGTTCAGGTAAAGGAAGAAGATTTCTGCAAAGCTCCCGCTGAAAACTTTGAAGAAAAAGTCGAAAATAAAGATTTTCGTAAATCCAAATTGAACATGAAAAATGAAGAACGAGAGGCAAAGAGCAAAGTGGACCGCGCAACCCCCGAATCCACGAAGTTTTCAGCAGAGGAGATAGAGAAAAGAAAAGTTAAGGAAGAAGTTCAATCTTCCAGTAAAGATCTTCAGCCCGATTCGTACGAATCGGATTTCAGCATGGATGAAGTCTTCTGGAATTCCGGATGCGGATCGCTCAGAGATTCCGGATATTCGGAAGCAACAGCAAAAAGCGACAGTCCTCCTATAGGCAAGAAGACTTTCACTTGTGACTACGATGATATTGACGCTTTTCTGCGAGACAGCGATGAAGAAGGCCCCAAGACATTCGAAGAATTCGAAAACAAGTTCTGTAACGAAAAAGTCAGGATGGTTCCTAAAAGGATCGTGGTGTCATCCGCCTTCTTCATCGGGTCATACAGAGATATCGATGATATTCTGGGGCATCTTTATATCAATCCCAACTCTCAGTCCATTGATTACGATAGTGACAGTTGTAATTGGCAGGAGGAACCAGACTGTTCTTCCGAAAGCACTTGTCATCCTCAGCCAGCTGATACGTGGAAAGCAGATTATAGTCTAGTTAAGCTTCGACAGTATCGTCGCAAGAATGATTTAAGCGGGAAGAATCGAAAAACAAAGGTAAGTAAATCTTTCGCACCTTCTTTGATACGGTGGGTTTTAACCTTTTTGAGCTAATGGTACTCATGGCTCATTGCTCAATGGTACTCATGGCATTTTTGAGCTAATGGTTTTTCGTGGCTCAACTCTTTCCGTCCTGTAGGCATTAGAGGGCCTTTTTAACAAGCTCAAGTGAGTTCGTTAGTGGGATGGTAAAGGACGGTACCCGACAAATCCGGTGCTGGGATTTTTCACCCTCCTGGATTCGATCCTGGGATCACCCAAAATAGCAGGCTGCCACCTTAACCGCTCGGAACATCTGGCAGTCTCTTTAGTGTTATTACGCAGATACGGAACGAAAGTCAGTAATGGGCATTGAAATGAGGCCCCTAACAAGTCTCATTTCATTGATCATTACTCAAGGAGTACCCGGAAATGGCTACGTATGTCTATGAGATAATGCGGCCTTTGATAAGATTGGATTGAGTCCCTGTTTATGTGTTAAACACGTAAATAAAAACCCGGTAAACTGCACGTCGATAGCCCCGTTTGTGAGGCGCGAACTCGCGACCGACTACCAATCTTCGTGGTTTTATCCGCTCGTCCAGTGGTGGGGCCTTAATATTTTTAGGTACCCTTACAAAAAGTTCGCAGTATACTGGTGAAGAACCACTGTATTAATGCCTATAATTATTCATTATAAGTGTTATTAATATAGTTGATGACGAATCTAGTTAAGTGTTAAGAAATATTGACGAAAAATTTAGAAGAAATTTGCATGTTTTTGTTTTAAGACTCGTCAAAGTTGCCTCAACAAGTTTAAAATTAGTTTTCGTAAATAACAGAATGCCAATACCCGCTGTTTTATCATTGATTTTGATACACAAACTAATTAATATGCTAGCTTCTAGGTTTATGGGGCCCAATTCCTTCAAATTCCTGAAGGAATCGAGTATCAGCCCTCTCTCCTTTAGTCTTCCTCCATATTTGGAGTTAATTTATGAAATCTAAAACATAGTGGAGATGATCTATATCAGGATATAGAAGGCCCTAAATATAGGGCATAGTGTAATAATCCAGCGAAACGGTTTAAATTATTTACTGTAATTGCATTCTGAGAAAACGGATAACTATAAACGTAATAATTTCTTTACGTAACACCGAGAAGTTTGAATTTTATTATTTATTTTTACAAGAGTAGTGCCTAAAATAATAAAATTTGTTACGTAATATGCTAATTTTTTTGGTTTCTTTCCGTCCTTTCGGGGCCTTTTACCATACTCATAGTGAGTTTGGCCAGGCCCGCAGTGGGGCCAGCGGTGAGAGACGGTGTCTCACATATTCAGGACAACCCGCAAGTGAAAAAATCTTGGTGTTACTCGCCAGGATTCAATCCTGGGTTCCCCAAAGCGATAGGATCAATATCTCAGTCTTCATGACAATTAATATGTGGCACTTAATCTATATAATATGTCCTACTGTACGGGCCCTATTATAGAAGGATCAGTAAGCTTTTTATATTCCTGAGACCCTTTCGGCATTATAGGTTTACACGTTGTAAACGAATTGTTATCGTACAGCTGTATTTACTGTACTTTACCGAAGTACAGCAAATACAGCTGTACTTGTGTAGGGAACATAAGTATATTTTTTATTATGTTTGATATATTTTGAAAGTATTTTAACTTCGAAATTCGTTTTTATTTTCAGTAGTTTAAGTGTTTCTATATTTGAATTTTGTATTTTAAGTGTTTCGTCAATTATATATATATAAAGAATTGCCCATAAAAAAATGTGGGTTCCAACAGGCCCTACGATAGAGGGTGCAGTTAAGGCCCACGAACTTCAGCACCACGTGGCGGGTTTGCCGGGTTTTATTCACCCAATTCGTATAATTCTTCGAGTTTATCTATTTTCATTTGTAATTTCTCGTTTAATTTTTAATATATTAAATTAATTACCGGAGGAAATTAGTTTACAATAAGAAATTATTATAACAAATGGCGACGTAATTAGGAAATTACCGTTGATAACGGAGGTTTTAAAACGTATTTTTATAGTATCTAGGGACGGTAATTATCTCAATTATACTGGGTTTGTGTTGAATGTCGGCATACATAATGCCGACATTCACTAGAAACCGAGTAGAACGGGCATTAAACACAACACGAGTTAACAAGAGTATTACATAAATACACTAGTTTTTCTAGTGTGACCTCATTTATGTAAGTTTAAATATAGAAGCTCTTAAATAACTTTTATTGATTTTTATGGCTTATTCAATTTATGTTCCCTTTTTAAATTCTACTTAATACTTTTTTATAATTTGATTTTTTTCCTACTCTTTCCGTTCCGTGGGCAATAAGAGAACTTATTTTCTAGCCTATCGTGGGTTCGGCCAAGCCTTGAAGTTTTTCGGGGTTTCTTTGCTTTTGTAAAGTCTAAATAGGGTCCAGTTTCCCGTAGAAAGGCCTCCCGGTATGTATCCCCCCTAGGCAGATCGTCCACGTGTTGTCACAAAGAAATAAACCAAGCTAAACACTCCGAAAAATTTTTGGGAATTTTTTTGACCGCCCGGATTCGAACCCGGTTCTCTATCATGGGCGGTCTGTACCGGATATATGCCCACGATGGGTATAGAAAAAAAGGCCCTCTTAAGGCTCGTTGGACGGAGAAAGTAAATGGAAAAGTACCCTAGCCAGAGGCTTGACGAGTTTATCAAGAAATATAATCCTATGATGTTTAAGAGATTATAGGATCCCTGATATTTCATTCATATCGCATTGTAGTGATTTAATTATAATCTCTCATCGTTAGCCTCCCGAGTTACCTCATGCTATCGATATTATTCTCCTGTTTCTTCGCTGGCAACCATAATGGGATTACCATAACGGAATATAACTTTATTTATGAGTGCCAAGAGTTTGCCCATCCGCGCTGTAAAGTGACACAATACAGTAAACTATGGAGGAACCGAATGAGTACGAAATAAATATTCGACAGCTGACCATAATTGAGTGGCCGCGTGGATTAAAACCGCCGAACACTAATCAAGATGGAGTTTTTCGTGTTTTCTTCATGCTGTAACACCTAAATAGGAACCTGTTCGCCGTAGAGTCACTCCCCCTCGGCAGATGGCCCACTTGCCTCCATACAAAACAAAATAAAAACTTAATTATTGAGAGAAATAACGGTTAAATTTCCGTCTAGGAACAGGGATAATTTTGTAGAAATGGGAATTTAACCATCATTTCTTCAGTTGTTGCCAAGATTTTTCTAATTTACGTATTCTAAGTAAACAGCGCGCGCTTTTGTTTATATATACTACTACTTAAAAATACCCTACATCATCATTATGTTCTATATATATAACAAACAAATTTTTCTTTTCTTTCCCGAAACCATTCCGTCGCTATATATGCCAAAATTTGTGTTTTTAAATAGAATCCGAGTGTCAAAGATAATTATTTAATTATAAAATGTGAAATTTCTAACGTTTATTACCGAAAATATTGTTCTAACACAATTCGGTGGGGTAAGGCTACGCGACACGTGGACCGTCCGTCTGCCAAGGAGAGATGCCACCCGAGTGGACATGGCCCCCTATTTGGATGTACGCGTGAAAAAACTCCGCGTGGATAGATGAGGTCCGAACCCGCAACATATAGTTTCCAGTAGGTCGCGGGTTCAGGCCGATTGCCCATAGGATAATGCGCCGTTGCTCTCTCTTATCCCTCTTATTCGCAACATGTGGGCGATCTACCGAGGAGAATGCCTCTTAGAAGGGCCTTCTAAGAGAAACTAGCCTCGAATTAGGTGTGACAGACGCGAAGAAAACCCGGAAAACTTCACGTGGCAACATCTTGACGAGATACGAACCCACGACTAACTACGTGTTCAATGGTTTTATCCATTCAATCGCTGGTGGACCCTATCCTTTTGTAGACGGCCACGTTCGAGATTACATCATTTATAAATGTTAAAAGGCCTTAAATTTTATAAAATTCGGTTTTGCGTAATGATTTTTCACATAAAAAAAATGAAATTTTAGGGCAGTGTTGAGCGGGAGCACGAACCAAATCGTCCTGCAGGTCTTCACCTATGTAAAAGCTCCCTTTTTTTTATTATTTTATTGTGGCAAGTGCTCTAGGATTCGTCGCCAGGAAGTCCCACGATCACACCGACGAAGGCCCTACTCGCCACCACCCTCGGATCCATCCTGACGTCACAGACGAATCTAAAACCGAACCCTGATGTGGTACATGCTAATTATAATTATAACATTATACACCATTGAAACCAAGAGGAAAGTGGCACCCCTAAAAAACAATTAAGGTGGCACCTACCGCTCTGAGAGATTCCGGATCGAATCCTGAAGGGTCGAAATTTTTCGAGGTGCCCCGTCACTGGCTACCCGATCGAATCCTTAATGGGCTCGCTAAAGAAATGCTTTTTGTTTTTTTAGTGCCACAGAGCGAGGAGGGTATCAACAAAACCCCCCAAAAACGTCAGTTAAAAGGCAAATATTTTAAAAATGTAAGTTTGGGTGGGAGATTGAAGTGTCGGAACGAACGAATAAACGGAAGATGGAGAAAAATTTGGCGCCGTTTCAAGACCCGTCTCGAAAGAAAATTGGGTCGCTCGAAAGGGAGTGTTTTGAAAATAAGAAAAAGATGGCAGAAGTTGTGTGTCTGAAATTCTGGGAATATTTGGACGTGCTGAATGGGAATGTGCTCTTAGTTTTTGTTTTTTGTTTGTATTTTTTTTTTTTTTGGTGTGTTTTAGCTGAAAGTTTAGCAGAAAGAAAACTTATTTATAATGTGTCAAAGGGAAGAAGAGAAGATGCAAGTTTATATCACTTCTCTTCGAGGTTCTCTGAAAACCCTTCCCTTCAGGGTTCTCACAGGATGATTCTCTGTTGGCTCTATACGGGGGATGATGCTATTTAGGAGGCCCACCCTTTCCCAAAGCCGTAAAAAAAAAAAAACATGTATTTTGTATAAAAATCTGGATTTTAGAGGTTCTTCGTGTCAGAAGGGGTGCCCGTAAGGAACCCCTTTTATTCGAAATTCTCCCGTGTAAATCTACGAAATTTGTCTGTTTAATTTATTAACAGAGAATACTTCATCCCGATAACAATGCGCGTTAGAAGGTATAGAGTTAGAGGGCCATTTGACCCGGTCCCATAGGTCAAACGGTGCCCAAGTGTCATTTGTTCTACGGAAGCCACTCCCAAGAACGCATATCACTAATGTAATTTAAGTTTTATGTATTCGCCCACCTACCACGTTTGACTCCTATCTACGTCACAGTAGGATAACATACGTAAATAAGTCTGTTTTTAAATTTTAATTCGATTTCGTATCGCGAGATGGAGTGAGTGTTCTCAGATGGAATGAAAAACTAGACACTACTTCAACACCTTTAGGTGATACGCCGCAGTTACAATACTCATCACGCTATTTAAGTGAATTTGTGCCTTTTATTGCACGCCTCCGAGTCTGTTCTGCTGGGGGGTCTCATAGTTTACTTTGTCTAGGGCCTCCGAGATCCATAACACGCCATAGACTATGTGATATGATTAGTAACAATGTCATATGGAAACCTCAGAAAACTAAATTGTGCGCCTCCCAGCAGAATAAAAGGCATACACATTTTTATATGGGGGCAGCAAAACACCAAAATTCACTCGGAGGCCCCTTACCTACGCGGATGTGCCATTCGTACAGGCCCCGTACTCCGTTAATGCCCCGCAAAATCGAAACATTCGGCCCTAGGCAAGTGTCTTTTTATAAATTCAGAACACAAAGAGAACGGTAGAAACAATACTTTCTACTATTAACTGGAGGGCAGTGATGCCACCCGATTAATTAACCATCCACGGGATACGCGAACGACCGGTCGAGAGACTTCGATACGAACGCTGAAACGAAGCCATTTACTGTTAATATGCACGTGCATTCATTACAGAGCTATCATTATGACGTCACCGGGTATATAACTCTTAACATTAACCCACTTTGAATGGTTTATAGTCGTACACGGCCATCATTTTGACATTAGATAAAGTTAATATCGTACAGTTTACGACCATTAATTAATTTAAAATTAAATTTATAAATTGTGACGTCACAATTCAATATACATTTATCACTATTAAAATGCTTTCCGTGTTTATTATTTTTTTTTTACATTTATGTAACGTAAATCAAGCGTGTAGCCATTATATTAACGTTAAAAAAATGCGAGAAACCCAGCACCTTTTTGTCCTGTATGAAATATAATAGCTTCCGTGTAAAGCTAATTTCTTCTAGAATTACTTCACCCCTCTTTACTTTCGATTCTTTTTTATTTTATTTTATTTATTTGCATGACACGAGTGACCTTTAGCATCTGCTATACAAAACAAAACTTGATGATAAACTTATACCCGTTTAAAGCGTTTATTTTTAAGTTAGATCCTTCTTGAATTATTTAAGAGGGGTGAGAATATTGAACTTTAAACCCCTTCCTTCGTCGGTTTGCTCAGCTAACTTAAGCAGTAACACATAAAAGGCCCTTAAAGCGCCGTGGTTCTTAAGCTTCTAACGCTCTTCCACCTCTTCGTCTATACCCGTTTAAAGCGTTTATTTTTAAGGTAGAGCCATTATTTCTCTCTCTCTTTCTCTCTCTCTCTGGGGAATTATAGGGGTGAGATTATCTAACTTTGAGGTTCGAATTCGATATTCACCCTATCCAGAAAGGGATAAAGGATTTAACTTAAAAATAAACGCTTTAAACGGGTATAAGATAACAAACGGATGAGGAGGTGGAAGAGCGTTAGACGCTTAGGGCCTCGTGCTTTAAGGGCCTTTATAAATTACATCCTAAGTAGCTAATGGCTAGTTTGCTCACCTAAACTTAAGCCTCAACTTATGAAAGGCCCTTAAAGTGCGAGGGCCTAGGCTCTTAACGCCTTACCACCTCCTCGTTTCTACTACATCGGTTTTATAGAAGACAGTAAAAGTAGAAATTAGACAAAAGCAGTGATAAATGCAGTCATGTGACTCAAAATTTCGTACTATTTGGAACAGTTCCAAGTTTGTTTCTGGTACAGATTGGCTTTCAACTCCTTCCTAAAATATCGCAAGTTCATCCCGATAATTCTTTTCGTATATTAGCCCACTCGTTAACGTCACGCGGAGAATAATCAGCACCAGCAAACCCGACAGTGCCGTAAATTATCAATATTCGGTTGATAAATGGAGATTCTCGACCCTCCATTATGGTATAAGACACAAGTTGCTGTGTTTTTTTTTTTAACTTAGTGTAATGCCTGTATTCGTCGTAACAACTGAAGTTTCCTGCCTTAAAAAGAATGTATACACGCGACTTAATGTTGACAGTGTCTACAATTATAGAAATGGGGTGCCACAACAGTAACAACTGTTGATAGTTACTTAAATTACAATTGTTTTCGGTAGAAGTCATTCTTTCCGGCCCCACGGGCCCATTATGGGTTCGGATAGATCCACAATGGAGATAGCGGGTGTTGAGAAAAGGGGCTCGACGTATCCGGAATAGTTTTGTTTGTATGTGGGCGATCTGCCGAAGGGGAAGGGGTCCGTCCAGAAGGACTTTCTTTGAGAAATTGGCCTCTATTTAGGTGGTAATTAACACCTAAATAGGAACCAGTTTCCCATAGAAAGTCCCCTGTTGGCAGATCTTCCACGTGTTGCGTTGCCCCATCCACAGAACCAAACCAAAACTTGCAGATTAATTTCAGTAAAGGGTTCTCTCTCTCTTAAAAAATAATATAAGTACGAGGAATTGAGAGGTAAACATCGAGTCTATTTACAATTAAGGCGCTAATTATGTACTATTATGAGAGTATGTATCAATACAATTTAGGTGTTAACATATATACTCAGTTACGGGACAATCAATTGCGTGATGGCGAAAGTACTAATAATGGCTTCTTCAATGTCGCAGGTTCCACTAACTATTACACACTTAATTAAAGGGGCACGCGGATCAAAACTGGCGCAAAAGCTAGCGACAAGGACCAGAAGAGGGAGGGAGCGGAATCCAAAACTGGAGCAAAAGCAGTGGCAACTAGGAAGAGTTTCAAGAGTAGCAAACCTGTGAGGAAAGGGGTGAAAACTGGCGCAAAAACTGAACAACAGAGTCGTAGACACCCTCAAAAATTACACGTTCGTATTAACTAACCAGACTTTGAGCCTTAAAACAGACCGAGAGGAAAAATAATTAGAATGTAACCGTATCCAGAGAACCTCTTAAATTCGATAGGGGGTGGGTCGTATGACGATTTTCTTTACCTTTTCTAGACAAGAAATCGCTTTCGGACTCTAAAAATTGGAGATTTTTCCCTCTCGCGAATGGAAACAAATCAACACGAAAGAGGAATGAGGAAATTGCAAAATAAATTCTGCGTTATTTTGAAACTTTCTCCAAATGGAATTCGTCAATGACGTCATCGGTTGATATTTAGCCCGCGATACAAATCATCCCCCTACTTAAAGTAATAGGAGGAGGAGGAGGAGGAGGCATAAGAAAAATAAAAGAAAACTTGGTTATCACTTTTTTTTTCTTTTTCTTCTTCTCTTCTTCTCTTTCTTCCTGCTGATGAATGTTTATTTGACCTTTGATGCCGAGTTTCTTCCATTTTGTCACGTTTCGTGTGACGTAATAAGTCTGGCAGGAAACGAACACCTGATCGAATGACGTCGCGGAATAGCACGCCAGCACCACCACGCCAAAAAAAAAATTATAAAAAAGAAATACTAAAATAAAATAAAACAAAATTCAAGCATCCCAAAACAGAAATTATTCAATTTATTTAAAAAAAAATAAATATAAATATATATATATATTTTAAACTTACTTATTTTAAATTTCTGAATATATGCCAGACGACTTTTTCGTTTCGAATTTAAAAAGTTCGGGCGAACGAGCGCCACCCTCGTCAGGATTTCAAATTTAAAAAGAAATTAAGAATATAAAAATAAATAAATAAATAAACTTTTAATAATAATAGTAATAATAAAATAATAATTACTATAAACGCGGCGAGTCGAATCGAACGAATAATTTAAAATAATCCGAATAAACTCGATTTTTAACCACTAAATGGCCGATCGGTGACGTCACCGACTGTAGCAGACGACGTACGTAGGGCGCATGCTCCGGTTCGGTGGCTCCAAGGAAGGAGCAACTATAGGCTCAGAAGCCGTTGGAGTACGGACCGAGAGAACATGGCGACCCTGACTTGTAGGGTTCAGTATCTGAATGACATCGATCCATTTTCTGCTAGTACCAACTTCCCGGAACCGACGCGTCCACCCCTCTACACCTTCAACGTTAATATCCCACTCCTCAACCAAATCGCCGGCGTCCATCGTCTGTTGAGGGCTCCCCACAAGGTGAGAAAAGAGCGCCGTCCGCTNAGGGTGTTCACAGATTGCAAACACTGATAATTGTTATACAGTCAACCCCCCCTATAACACTGTTGATAATTCCATTTTATATGAATTCCATGTTGTACGAGTCACTTAGATTTTACAAATATGTGAGCCGTTCACAGCCCGGCACATGTATTTGTAAAATCTAAGTGACTTGTACAACGTGGAATTCATATAAAACAGAATTATCAACAGTGTTATAGGGGGTCAACTGTAATTAAGTTGTTTTGTAAATACAGAGTCTTCCAAAAAAACATGCTACTATTTTAAATTATTGTAATTATTATTATCCGAGAAGTATGTGATGTATAGCAATCAATATAGTAACCATCTGACTTTCATTCCCCATCTGTATTCAAACATCTAATCATCTATTACCTGTAGAAAGTGCCATAAATGAAAATGGCAACTCCTTAATACAGAAAACATTTTGTGTTTTGTGAAAGCAAAACTTATCGTAAAAGGTCTGAATAACTCATTATCATGTAACACGAGAAATATGCAAATGTAGAATTCTGCCTGCCACAGGAGGAGTGACAATGGATATGCCATAGTGAGTGTAAGAAAAATTTGTGTCCAATGTTTTAATGTACATTATGATGTTCTCAGATAATAATTTACACAATTACAATAATTTAGAATGGTAGCATTCTTTTTGGAAGTCCCTGTATAGTAAATGAATTTAAAATCAATATCAAATCTATGAACAAAATAACCATGTTTATTTGTTAAAAATTATTTTTTGATAATTCTAATATTCTTGAAATTAATCCATTCTAAGTAGCTAATATTAAAGTGTTTCAAGGTAATAAATGTGATTTAAAAATTTTAAAATTTGTGTCTAAATAATGCATACAAGATAATGGAAAAATTAAGATATAAAATAAATTAGATTAAACTGATTAAATTAAATTATAATAATGATAAAATTTAATTTAAAAAAGTTTAAATCTTAATTCTTTGTTTAGCAGCTGTCGATGAATCGGATAATGAAATATCTGATTCATTGTCAGCTGTCAATGACATCACACACCCACCAATATCCAACACACTCACCAATAAAAAAACAATTAAGTGAAAAGAAACAAAATGAAACTTTGTGTAAATGTAATGACAACAGTAATAAATGATTATTAGCACAATATTATAGCAAAGGGACGATTTTCTTAAATAACAGCACAAATTAAAACACTTTTAGTACTTCATAGGACCTCCTCTTACCTAGATATGACAATGTGGTCAGATACGGCAGCTTATAGATACTATATACTATCTTGCAATAGATTCGCCCGCAGATATTGCAACTGCTGCCCCAGATCCTTCATATTCATAGATAGCAGAAATTGGCATTTCATCTGGTTCCATAAACATTTGATTGGTGACAGTCTGGAAACCAGGCAGGCTAAGGAGTGTGGCAATGTGACATTCCTTAAAAAATTCAAGCTGTACAGCCAAGTATTATCTTGCTGGAAAATGACTGTTTGCAGCCTTGCCATGAAGGCAATACATGTGTCAGAGATGTTCCTTGCATAACTACTAGGGGTAACTGTCATACGAAACGTTCTGCAGATCAGCACACCAGTAGTGGGAATGGTGCACCACTCAACAGTAAAGACAGGATAGCTGAATGCTGAATTTTGCAGTAATTGGATATTTCTATCTGAATGAGTAACTGTTTTTTTTTTAATCGCAATCTGAATTTTTACAGAAAGATTACTTATAGAAGATGTATTAAAAATATTTATAAATCAATTTAAATTCAAATTATTATCTTCATACGATACAATAAGGTATAATGGAACAAGAATAATTTTTTTATTAAAAGAATGTGTGATAAAAGCACAATATAATTAGGAGCTATCTTTATTTTATTATTTTAATATTCAATGTTTTAATTTTAGTGTCTTTAGTGTCCATTGTACATAAGAGTCATTTAATTGATATAATTCACATCAATACTTGAATGTTTTTTTAAATGCATTTGCACAAAATATTTTTACTTACCTACACAAACACAGCATTCTGAATAGAGATAATCAAGACAATGGAAACAATCTCGACTACAGGTAGCATTTTTATTATCGCACTTGCACGATTGCGTCAGCATGCATTTACTAACAATGGAAGCGCAGACGGCTTCGTTACATCCAGGTTTTTCTTCTTGCACATACAATGGAATAAATCCACAAAACAGAAATACTGCTACCCACTTCATGCCTGGAAAATTTATAAAAGAATAAATTATATGTTTCTTACATTCATAAATTATGTTTCTATCTAATTAACATTTAATTTATACAATTATTATTACAATGATCATAAAACTTAAGTATCTTAGTGATAACCTCCAAGAGCTAGTCACGACGTTAAATGTCTTCAATGTCAATAAAATGTGTGTTATTCACTTACAATCTTAATTTAGGGAATAAAAATAGACATAAAATGGCAAATCAGGCAAATAGGAATACAATTAATAACCGCAATGCTACTAGATGCCAAAAAAACTAACGAATGTCAATGACATTGTGAGTCAGTGCATTGTCAAGCAAGAGCAGCCAACTGTTTTATTTCAAGTATTGTGGGAAAACACTTCAAAACTTCCAATTATTAGTTTCTATCAACAGCTAAACAGTGAAAGTGCTGACCAAATACATAAAACTAGTCTTTTATCAATAATTAAATCAGACCGCAAAATTTTACAACAGCAAACTGTATAATAAAAAGTTTTAAAACTACATAAATTTATAATGGTTATTAAATACTTTTAAAATATAAATTACATTTAACAGGAGAATCCACAGAAAATTTTCCAGGTGGAAAGCTTAGAGACAAATAATTACATCAATAGACTTTTATTTAATTATTTAATATTTTAAAGTGTTTTATCCACAAGTATATTATAGAATACACAAAAAGACAAACAGTCCCACGGTCAAGGGTGTAAGGTTACATATCTCGATCACTTTTATGATTATAATTTGTGGAATTTTTTACTCAATCTCCGTTTGATCCCCTCTTCAGACCCCACGATATTAAGTAATATTTAAAAAAAAGGTCATATTAAATGTAATTTTTGTAAATCTATTTTATATCTTATAATTATGTTACTTTACTGCTTAAATTCATTAAATTCAACTGTTTAATGTTTCAATTTTATGCAATATTTATTAGTTATTAAACAGAGTAATTTGCATTCATTATAACTAAAACATTTATAGCATATATTTATCAAAAAGTATGATTAATACAAATTGTCAATTAATAATTAATTTATTTATTATATTTCTTAATATATAAAATAATTTTTTTTTAGTTTGATATACTTTGGATGACTAAGACAAAACTTTTCTCACTTGTTTCTAGCCATTTATAGAGTACAAATGTTTTCGGCCTTCTTCGGGTATACTGTCTAAGAAGGCCGAAAACGTTCGTACTCGTGTATAAACGGCTAGAAACAAGTGAGAAAGGTTTTGTCTCGTCATTTTAAATAGTTCTAGTTCCAAATGCACAAAAGTATACTTTGGATGCCAAATACTTTATATTTACCATACAGATATGAACCAGAAGTCCCATAAGGTTATAACAAAGCTGAAAAATTTGTAGTTTCTTGTACCTTTTCTGTGTTTAGATATGCTCAGATACAAAAATACTTGTTATTATTTTACATAAAGGCTAAACTTTATAGGTTTGCTACATGCGCACAGCTACGAACAGTGATTCTGATTTCCTAACCAGACTTTCGTCTCTTAAAACATTGAAAATATAATCAAATAATAAAAAATAAGTTACTAAAATGTATAAAAGAAATAAAAAATGTAAAATAATAAATTTTCCATTCTTCTAAAGCAACAATTAGACTTTGTGAATGTTTGAACTCCTTCAATCACTCTCACACACTAATAAACAATGGCAGTCCCTTATATTTACCTTTATTAAATTTTTAATGGTATTTTATTTAATGTAAAGTAATTTTATCATGTAATATTTCCTATTTTTAAATTTTCCATAGTTATTTTTATTTTATTTATTAAAAAAATAGGTAAATTTAAGATATAAATTTTAATTTTCAAATAAGAAGTTACCCTATTAAATAAATATATCGCACAAAATTAATCTCGTATGATTAAATAATTTGTATCTTGAATGATTACATAATGATAATCTTTCATATGCTATCTTTGACAGGAAAATATCACACATCAAGATAGCTGATAGGCTGTGCTGATAATTTTCTATCACTCACTCTATCTCTCTCGGCTATTATTAATATTTCATTAAAAAGTAAATATTGTAGCTAATATGTATTTTGTTTTTTATTCCGTTTACATGTTGTTATAATTACAATTCTTTTGTTTTCGTGTGAACATTAACAGCGCAAAAATGTCACAGGCTTCTGCAGAAGAATTATTGTTAGTAACCAAGTTTATATTTAAGTTACTGCATACAAAGTTCATAATATTTGAAAATTATTTTTTTCCTTGCCAATGTGTTATTAATCAACTAGTCCCACACATACACCTGAGGTGCAGCTGGTGTGGTATGCCAGGGCAGCTGGTGCAAACCCTGACACTGTACCAGCTGCACTTAGTTAGATCCTGCTACTAGTGTAGAATACATTAACATAAATATTGTGGTTCAAATGCCAAAAATGATTTCTATCATTTCAGAATTGGTATAGAGTGTATTTATTTAGTTTATTATTATCAATATTACTATGTACAAGCCTGTCAATATAAGCTTACATGTTAGTTGTATTAAAAACCGTTTTTGTAAATGTAAGTAAATTCAATAATAATAATATTAATGAGTACATCTGACATACCGTTAAAATAATTGATGTTTCCATCAAAATATAAGAAGGAAGAATACGACGGATGGTCGCATCACAAAAAAAAAGGAGGAAAGTTATCTCGGGATGTAAGTCACAATCACGGAGACCGTAAGAAATGAAACAGAGAAGCCAAGGAAGGGATGGATGTAGATGACGATATAATGAAAGAAAAAGAGGAAAGATATGGCCACGAATCAAACACAGTAAAGGAAATTCATCAAAAATAGCAATCCCGTGTACAGTGAAACAAGCTACAGAGTTAGAACAGTTTTTGGAAGCAGTCAACTCTGCATATTCATAAAACCACAGTTTGAAAAGTATCTTTGTTTTAGATTAAACGTTTTTGACACATTAAAGGCTCGTCATCAGATCCAACTTAAACAACATTAAGTTTAAGAATATCTTGTATCTTGATTTTTGTTAAATGTAAACTGCTTAGTGTTTTTTATTCTGATGACTAAATAAAAAAATTCAATATTCCATACCATATAAAATACTGTACTACTGGCATGATCAAGTTATTAAAACTTAATATAATCTTTTTAATAAATTGCATGTATACAATAATTTAAATAATCACATTTTAAATTTTATTGCTATAGACCTTCAACCTTTCCCTCATTTTAGACTGATAAAATTACGAATATTTTACACGAACCAGTAATTATATGCAAGTATGAATTATGCTTATTTATGCTTATCTAGAGATCTAAATTATTATGTAAATCTCATCCATAATCAACTGCTCTAGCGTCAGTACAGTAAAATATTTTTCTGTGGACCAATAGTTGAAAAACACTGTTGTAGACCAGTGGTTCTCAACGTTTCTTATGTCGCACACTCCTAAAAATCCACACTCCGATGGACTGTGAACCCTTACAGAGTTCTGTGGACTCATACGGGTCTGCAGACCACCGGTTGAGAAATGTAGCTATAGATCATAGATAAGCATTATTTTTCTATAGTTTATTTTCTTAAATATAAATTTCATACATTAATTATTACTAATTTTTTTATATTTAAAGTTTATAAATCTTATTTTATGAATTACACCAATTTATACAGTATGGTTCTGTTTGTTTGTTTGTTTAATTATGGCAATGCAACACTTGGGCAATCTGCCTAGGGGGATGCATTCCGGGAGGTCTTTTAAAGCCCCTATTTAGGCGTTACAGACATAAAGAAAACCCAGAAAACTCCACGTGGCCAGTCCATCCGAGCAAAGCAAGAACCCGCGACCGAACTCCCAGCGTTCGGGGAACGAAGACCGCTCGGTCACCAGCGGGTCCCCGGTACGATTCCGACAAGCGGCTCGGATAAGATCGGTGCATTAAAATTACTTTCACGACTCCTACACACAAAATGTTTGATTTATTCGGCAATTAGTAAATCGCAAATTTTTATGTATTTTAAATTTATAGGTAAAGAGGGGGTCCTTTCTGCCCCCAAATATACCTGTTTTCAATTATTAAGCCAAATACATCAACAGAATCCATAAGTTTGATGTAATGTATCAAAGTTATGGACTCTGTTTAATGCCCCCATAGATCAAAAGTAAACACCACACGTATACGATCAATATGGGAAGCCAGCATTCATATCATTCCAGGGTGGGGGAGTTTGAAAGATAAACAAGAGAATGAATGGAATTCCGAAATGTATACAAAAATATTACGGTCAAGAATCGATTCTTATCATCCCCAGAAACGAATTAATTAATGAAAATTCGCGATCCCCTTTCACAAATATTTAGGCTAATTAACGCTTTAAGCGATTGTCCCACTAACTTTAAAGCTCTTTGANATAATTCCGTTTTATATGAATTCCATGTTGTACGAGTCACTTAGATTTTACAAATACGTGTGCTGGACTGTGAACGGCTCACGTATTTGTAAAATCTAAGTGACTCGTACAACATGGAATTCATATAAAACGGAATTATCAACAGTGTTATAGGGGGGGTCAACTGTACTTAATAGAATTCGAATTAAAATACTCCTATGTAGAGCCAAACCCCGTCATAACTGGCTTTCCACATCACGGGAAAGTGAGCAATTAGAAAGTACAGTAGTTTAAATATTCACCGATTGGAAAAATATGGCGCCTCCAGTGAGTAAGGAGTAAACTTTGATCGAGAAATGAACCACGCTTCCACGCTGTAAAGATTTTAGTGAAGATCTTATTGCCGTTTCTTCCCAACTCCGTCTGAGTTGGTTTCTTGAGTATCACGACTCGATGTAATGAATCAGGTTCGTTGGAAAGTACACCTCCACATTCAAATTGAATATATGTACAGTTTATTTACAGTTGTAGAAAGTACAAGTTGGAAAACATGCGTAGTGAATTCACGTGCCAGATTGGCGTCTGGGAACTAATAACCTTTGGAGAGACTTCAGTCAGATTGTGGAGTCGGCTCAACTGCACGGTCGGTCCGGTCTCAGCACTAACCCGTCTCTGAGAAGATCAACAGAGGAGAACACTCTCTCTTTACGCTTCTGTTGATCTTTTCTGTTGATCTTCTCTGTTCTCCTTTACGCTCAGCGGGCTTCCCAAGTGCCTGAGACAACCGTGTATCAGTCTCTTGCCCTTCTCTCCTTGACTCTCGTTCGCCCCGCAATTTAAGGGATTTTGGAACGGGAACTTCCGACCAATCACAACCCTTTTTTNTTTATTTATTTATTTATGTGACGAAGAGCGTAGACGTTGGGTTGAACCCATCTCCTGGACGGAGCGGGTCGCGATCGTGATGACCTTGATATTCGGACCTGTTAAGCCCGGGGCACTCCTGGTTTGGCAAGTCTCGAAACGTCTCTGACAAGTCGGCGGATAACGGAATAAGCGGGGTGTATATATATTTATATATATATCGTCTTCTAAAAACCCTACAACCCTAATTTCACTCGTTATAACGCCGTCGTCACCCACTATAAGTTACTCCCGTTTTCGGTCGTACGAATATTTTGGGCCAAGGACACCGGAGTTTTTCGTATTTCACACTCACCTGCGGGGGGGAACGAACGTTATAACGAGGCGAAACTGTATCGAAGGACGTTCGAATCGTAACACCTGTTGATACCACGCGGCTCCCTCTCGTTGATGCGTGGTATATATTGTTGATTTGGAGTTTTTCTTTTTCTTAATAATTATGTCCGTCGAAGGGAGGTTTGACGTTTGCTGATTTTATTTTCTTTTTTTGTAGTTGGACGACTCCTGCCTTCAACTGTACAAGTACAGCGGAACGGAAGGAGACTATGGGAATTACTTGGATTTGGAATCGACCATCGACGAGCAATCCGAAGAATTCGAAGGTTTTCAAGAAAAGTAAGCCGTTTTACGTATATAATATACAAACAAACACACACAGAGACACGAGGAAGGGAAACACAGGAAGGACTTTTACAGTTTCTGGGGCGGCGTTACCGTCACGTGTCTTGCATAGTTAATCGGGTCGAGCCTTATTTCGTCCACCCACAGACTTTTTTTTTTTTTTTCCTCATGTAGGACAGTAGGATGGCTTTTTTCGGGTGATCGCTAGTTTTATCGATAGCCCGGTTCCATTTCGGCGACCTTTTTTTTCCCCCTCGAGGTCGCACGTGACGCGAAAGGTGAGTAACCCCGTCTCGCAAAACACACACATTCTCTCAATAGAGGAGACGATTCTTGACGATGGTCCAGGTTCTATTGTAGTCGTCTCCTTGGCCGCTTTTAATACTGCCCCCGATAAGACGGGAAATCTGCCAGTAGCCAGGGTTAGTAAACTAGACGAGCGTTTGCCACTATGCCACACGCACACAAACCACCGTTGGCGCTGGTGTGGTTCCTCCCCAAACACGTCCAACGCACCCTTTTCTCAGCCTTGAACCAATTGCCGGTTGCGGGGAAAACACTAAATTTAGGAGCCGAAAATATTTATTTTAAAAAGAATAAAAAATAAAATACCCGCATACTTCGACGGGTGTTTAACTTCGTCCGGGATGGGCATTTTCGGAAGGGATGTACTCTCGACAATTACATAATTATTGTCGTTGTACGGTCGGGGACAGTGACGCATCTACTGGTTTCTTGTTCGGAACTGGACGATACATAAAAAGTTTGGTCGTAACAAAGATTTTATTGCGTCACTTTACGATCCTTTCTTCCCGGGTGTTTCGTCCTGTTAATGATTTATTTCCGACACGACCGCATTCGGGATGCCCCCTTTTTTTCCTGTGTTGTCTTGTTTATCCACCCCTCGAACCGATCCGCTCGATTTTATCTTCTCAATACGATAAATCATCCCTACATTCCAGACGGTATCGGATTAACGGAATTACTGTCGTTCTCTCCTTTCTCCTGTTGATTTTTATAAATTCTATAGAAATAATGGATTAAATGCCAGTTTATCTACCCCGGATTCATCCTCAATAGGGTGTTTTTTTTCCTCCTTCCATATTTATCGGTTTAAAATTAAGTTTAGACTGCAGATCCGGTCGCGAAATTCTATATTTAGTGTACGAAACGCATTAACTCGAGTGCCTAACACTTAATTTTAACCGATTTATGGGTTATATTCTATAAAAGACCATCGCTTGAAAGAAGCGGGGAGGAAAATAAGATTTAATAATTCCGTTAAATTCGGAAAAAAATCGATATTTTTAGTCTCGTAGATCGGTCGGAAAGAAGCAGGAACTCAATAAATCCCTCTGACGTCACACGAATGAAACTTTGAATCCCTCTGACGTCACACGGAATGAAACTTTTCTGGCGATCGTAGTTGATTGCGTACGCGAAGGCGAAATATTTATTCAGGAGGATGTCGAACCAGTCTTACCTCCTTCTGTCGACCGGGAGATAGTTATTATCTGGAATCCCTAAAACTTTATGTGAGTTCAATAGGTGATATAATATACGATGATAATGTCCATCTTGTCAAACTCGTGTTCTAACAAATCACCTAAGGGCTTAAATAGATCTAGATATTGAATGGTGGCATTCTCAACCTGTAGCTCTGTAGAGGAACAACAACCGCTTTGATTCGCTTAAATTTCGTCTACAAACCTTCGGGGGGAGTCTTTATTGTTGAATGAATGGTAAACGCCGTTTTTCATCCATTAAATTCTTTCTCGTGACCGCGTTATTTAATTTAAAACACTTTTTTAAAAACTTCAAATCATTGTTTAATCCAGGAATTTTCGTGGTTTGCCTACCGTTAAAGAATTTCACGGCATAAGTCGAACTAACCGCCCATCGGAGAGGCCTTAGCCTCTAAATTTTTTTTTTTTTGTAACTTGACCTTCTCGGTTTGCTTTTTCCTCCTTCCTTTGTCCACTTGAAATTATATAAATCGATTTCTATAGATTTCATAATGAAAATTTTAATTTACGATACCGTCTCGGGCCTCACCAGGCTACACACTCCGCTTCCCCCTCCACATTATCACTCATTAGTCGTAGGGAACTAGGCTTAAATCTAAGGCCCGATTTAGGCTTGTCGATACCCTTAAACTGTGGCATACAAGAGTGGCCCTTCCCTTCGTCTTATTTCTTCACGTGTTGGTTTCCCACGGCAGATTGCGTCGCCGCATCCCTCAAACCGAACTCTCTACCTTATAACAATAGAACAAGGCCCTAACTTGTAGCTTCGTGCAAATCTGGCCCTGCTATTGTAGAATTTAATGCGATGGAAGGATATCCACGACAATGATCATGAAGTGGAAAGAGACTTTTATTGAAATCCTGTTTGTGCCCTCCTGTTTCTGAAATCCTGTTCTTTACCATAAAAGTCCGATATTAAAACACTCTGCCCCTCTGCTCTTAACTAAAATCCTGTTTAAAATCCTGCTTATGTGGTTCGCGGTAACTAATAAAGTCAAAGTGCATTCTAAACTCATCTTGATAATCATATTTCTATGTTCAAACACGAACTTAGTGTTTAGAACACCAAAGGTCGGTGTAGCCTCTTCACCCGATAAATCTGGCAGTGTGTGTAGATGTAAACAATAAATAATAGTGTTAACTATACGCTATTTTAAACGTTATTTTCTGGTTTAGATCGGGACCAGATTAGCAAAAGAGTAGGCCTTACGCATTCAAGTTTGTGGGCCTCCACATAATAAATACTTTACAACTATTATAGGGAACGAGCTTGTTATTACTGTGTTAGAAGAAAATGAAAAAGAAGCCCGATTATTTTACCTGTAGGCCCTACTCAGTTGGGTATCTTTCGTAATTTAATCGGGCCCTGGATTTAGTATTTGTTGGAATAGGACAACACTTGGTATTGTACCTTTCGAGAGGACTTATAACGACCATTCGGGAGGCCTCATACTTGATGTTGTGTATCAGCCAGGCCCGCATGGAGCAGCAGGGTCCTCGTGAGGGCCTGGCTGATTTGACTCTGGGCCCCGGATACGGAGCGCGCCCAAATTTAATCCTTTACGTAGAAAAATGGGGCTCCCCGATATATTGTCTAACGTTATGTAATTTACGTTAATGTTTGCGCGTAGAAATTCGATTAATTTGATACAATAACGTGTTTAAAAACCGCACGATGAATAATAGAATAAATTATTTATGATTATGCCATTGTTAAGAGTATCATTTATCATCCCCAATTGCGTAAAGTTCGAAGGAATTTCATAGATTTAATATTCTACACGACGATGATGATGATGATGATGTCAGCTCTTGTCAAATTCGTGTTACCTAAGGGCTTAGGTATGGATCAAGTTATTGAATGGTTAAATCATTCTGTTGTGAAACAAGAAATGCTTTGATTCGTTTAAACGGGGGCCACTTAATTACGTTTTAAAAAATGGGGGGGACTACTTCGGAATTTCATGAGTTATAAGGAACGAGTTCCTCCCAAATGAGATGCAGATTATATATCTCAGTTTATGACTTATAAACGTAACCGGTGACGAATCAAGAATGCCGCGAAAGAATAAACCCTAATAACTACCAGTCGTAGCCGAAAACCTCGGTAAAGCGCCACCCTCGCATACAGCCAATGAATACCGTTAAGGGATCTACGGTTTTGCGTTGTTAATGGCATTTTTATGCCACTCAAACGTGCGTTTAGGCTTTATTATTTTGTCAAATTCGAGTGTTCTTAATAGAATTCGATCGATTTCGTTTAAAAAGATAGACAAAAACTACGCTTGTTTTAATCTTATTTGCGCTTTTTGAACTATTTTGTCTTAATTATTATCCGATTTAGCGCTAAACCGAAGGGCCTGGAAAGATATGAATCGGAAACGAAGTTCGAGTTCGGGTGTTTGAATTTCACGTGGTTTGACGATAAACAATGCCATCGTAGATAACTAATATTTATGGGAAAGGTCTGTTACCCACGAGTATCCAATGGCGCTATATCGAGGCTCGGCCGTATTCTTACGCCACGCCGGCCAACTGAAGCGATCGACTATAGGATATAGCTGTTGTATTCCGGAAAGGATAATAAATTAGTGTTCAATTTTCTCAACCCCCTAATGAAAAGTAAGCTTAGAAGGGTGTGGAATTTAGATTAAGTCCGAGAAGAGGCCCTTTAATTTAGTTTAGGCCGAACGGAGAGTTACGTACGGTACATACAATAGGCGAGGGCCCCATTCGTCTCCGTTCGCGCGGCCCATTCTGTTAACATTCGATATAGAAGAATTAGGTGGGAAAGAGAGTTATTTGGCGATACAATGGGCGGCCATGCGTACTTCCCCACTATGCATCAGGCCGGAACATTCGTAATCTCGAGTAACACCCGCTATCTGGAAAGCACCACTTCACCGTTTACTCTTCGCATATTTGCCTTTTTAAATTTAGAAGGCCAAGGATTCGCCTCCCTACACCGCGAATAACCAGAACGCTAACGTGACGTAACACAACTATCGGCGTAACCCACCGACTGTTACGCAGCTCCGGGTGCATTCACCAACCGACAAGAAATCCCCTCGGCATCCTGGAAAGAAAGCGAATTTCGCAAGTCGAACGCACGGAAAATCGAACAGATAATATGGGTAATTGTTAATAGGCTACGCCATCCTGTTTCATTCATTTGCACATTCCGTTTCGGTTCGCCGAACCCTAAAAGGACTTAAAAGTCTTCCTTTCCCCCCTTTTTTTTAGTTCCTACTTTCTCTGTTTGCGTTTACTACATTTGTATTTTTTATTTCTTTTTTATTCCTTACAGCCGAAAGAACGCCATTATCCTACGTACTCAGCTGTCCGTTCGTGTCCACGCCATCATAGGTAAGGATTTATTTTATCGATAAATTAGGCAATTAGCCAATGAAAAACTAATTAAGGCCCATCGCCGAACGGTTAAGACACAATTTAAAAAAGCTTTCAAGGACGCGAAGTGTCAGTGCATTTCCTCTCTCCCCTCCGCTAGGAATTCGCCTAGACTCCACTGACGTCATTCTGTCAACACGCTTGGAATCCTTTTTTCCTCACGAGGAGATTCGTGACATCGATAGCCCGTATCCAATAATACTAACCTCTTCCTCCCCCCGGGATGGAATTAGAGGTATCTGTCTCCCTCCCCCCGTTTAGGGAAGGAAACGCTTCCATCCCTAAACGGGGGGAGGCGAATGTATCGAGGCGAGTTGCGGTTTTTTAAAACAAAATTGATTATCCTGTTATTCCCCGCTGGTGTGTTCGACTGTCCCTATCTAGAAACTGCTTTTATTGGCTGACTGCTTCGTCTGGTTTTCTTTACCTCAGGGCAAAGGTGTGATGGAAAACTCGTCTGACCTGGAAAAATAGTTGATGAAGTCTTGTGTAGGCGTTCATCTCTATGCCCGTGTGTGTCTCTTTCTGTTTCGCAATTATTATTATTCCTATCGGTTTACTTGTTAATCATTCGTTTCTTCCCACCGGTTGAGTCATAATTTGTCACTTACACACACACACACGTATATGCAAGCATGCACTGGAATACTGTTTGGTTGCCAGAAAATATTTACTGTTTATAAAACTAAGTTTCACAATTTTTGGAAGGAAGTGTTGTTTTTGGACACATTCCTAAATCCCCCGCTCTACAAGTTGCCAATACTGGAATGTAACTCCGATTTTAATAACATTGAAATTATGTTGGGGTGGAAAGTTTAACCTTTTTTTTTTTTTTTTTGGCAAAGTCGAGGAAAGCTATAAATATGAGTAAAGTACGAAGAGGCAGGTGTAAAATTCGAAATTTTGCCCGGTTTATTTCTGATTACGCACACGTACGACCCTCGAATACGTTGCCGTAATTTACGTTTATTATAAGCGTAAATTATTCCTGAAAGAGAGAAATTTGTAGGTTATGATCGTGCCCCGATATCGGATAAGTGTGTGTTCTTCTTAACCGGCGATGGGAGCACACCCCGATATTAAATACTTATCGTAACCCGATATAAAAGTGACAAATGGAAATGTCGATCTAGATTCTTCCTTAACGGTTTAATCTACATAAATGGTATCGGCCGATTAAACTGGGTGACTTATAATTCCTTTTCTGTAAACTCTGTGCTAATTTGATTCGGTGGGAAGTGGCGATTTGGTTAGTGGGCCGAGAAATTTGCTTAAAGAAATCGAATTCTGTCCGGATTTCTTTGGAGGATTTCCAAATCTGCATCCCAAAATTGCCACGGTTGCATAAATGACACACCAATAGTAAAGGTAACCTAAATTTTATTAAAAAAAAAAGGAGTCGAGTTTATTACGCCAAATTAAGATTTTTGTGTTACATAAGAGTATAGCTCAAATATTCATCCCATTCTATTTTTTTCCTTCCAGAAAAACTTGTAAACTCTACGGGAAGAGAGTTGAGAAGAGCATTATTTTCCCTAAAGCAGATCTTTCAGGTAAGAACAAGATTTTAATAAGTGGGCTAATTAGGATTTATGAGCAATAATTCAATGTAAGTAAGGGAAAAAAAAATGAGTCAACTCAGGAACTGGTTCTGATGTAGGTGTTGTTGACTCACATCAAAATATGAAGAATTATCATTATTAATTTGAAGAATTGAACCATAACAATTAAAACATAATTAAATATACATTTATCTTTCTAAGAAGTTTCTATTTGTAAGGATTAGCATAACGAATTTGACTGTTTAATTCATTTGTCAAATGTTTTAAATATTTGCAGGATGATAAGGATTTGGTTCACGAATTCGTACAAAATGACGGACTGGCCTGTCTCATCAAAGTGGGCTCCGAAGCCGATCAGAACTATCAGAATTACATTTTACGAGGTAAGATGAAAATTAATCCAAATTATGATTTAAATTATTTTGCATTACGTTAACGTATTACCATATTTTTAGTAATATTCTTATTCGTGGCTATGCAAAGGAAGGATATGTGTACTGTACAGTACATCCTATCTCTCAAGTCCCTTTCTGTTCATCACAAGTCCTTGATCATAAGGAGAACGTGTGTCTCCTTTGTCCCTCTGATCAAGTCTGTGTGATGACAGATAAGGATCAAAATTTGTTAGGGTGCCCATAATTCTTACAAACAACCCTGTACATATAACATAAAAATTTATTATTAGAATATAATTGGTAAAGGAGTTGCTTGACTAAAATCGATAGCACAGTCCAGGTCACAATTTTCAATTGTAAATTATAGCATAAAATATACCAGTTTAGAAAACTAATACAACATACCAAACATTTTATTACTGTTTTTACAGCTTTTTAATATTGTTTAATAGGAAATTTCATATTGTTTAGCAAAATTAAAAAAAAGAAAAAAATATACATAATTGATATTATTTATAATTTGCATTCGCTACAAAAAATACAGCATTTGAATATAATTAGTGCATGGCCATTTTGCGCATTCTATTTTTACATTGGCTGGCGTTATAATGTTTATAATCCCAAGGCCGTTTGTAAAATTGTAAATACCTTTTTTGCGTGTAAAAAAATATTTATTGTTATAACACATATTTTTATCCTTATTCCAATAGGGAAATTATTTATCTGTTTTAGTATTGTTAACAGAAAAGAATGACTGAATAAATATTTGTAGTATTAAGATTTTCATCAAGGAATTTAGCTTTTTTGCTTCAAAGATGAGCATCTCGTTGTGTACAAAATGAGGGTACGAGCAGAAAAAAATCTAAATAAACTCGCACGTTTCGTACTGCGTAATAAATGACGAGGTTAAATCAGTTGCTCATCTTGATAGACCTTGATAATACATTTTATATCTGTAACCTAATTACGTTATCTGTAGGAAGTGTTTGTCATTAATAATTATTAGTATTTTTTTTTTTTTTTTTATAAAGCCTTGGGACAGGTAATGCTCTACGTTGATGGAATGAATGGCGTAATTGAATGCAACGAAACGATCCAATGGCTTTACTCCTTGATATCGTCTAAGGTAAGGATATTAATTATTTTTAAATGATACAGATCTTCTAATTAATTAGTTCAAATTTTGTCATTAAGTTAACAGATTTTAAAAGATATTAATTTGCATGAAAATAAATATTTAATAGCATCTTCATTATAATTAATTGATATTTTCTTTTATGTATCACTAACAAATTTAATTACATTAAAAATATGATTTAATTTTATTTCTTTATTAATAATCAAACTGTTTTATATTGCTGTGATTCATCTAATATGGAGATTGATGTGGACATTATAGGTGGTAAGATCTGCATGCTTTCTTTCACTAATATTAAATGCATGCGTAATTAGCTACAGCAATCAAATTCTGATATTATTAACATGATTTTTGACTAATTTTTTGGAGGTAACAAAGAGAAATCTGTACTCTTATACAGAAATTTTTCATCTATTTATTCTTTTTATCTTCTAAATTATTAATATGTACAGGATGATTGAAGTTAAAGCATATCTATTTAGAGAAACAATGGGTCAAATGCCTTTATACTTAACATGTACACTTTCCACATTATGAAGAAGATATTTTGTGATAAAAAATATAGTGAAAATACCTGAGAAATATGGCATTTTAAGTGGAAAAAGGTGTAAAATTTGCATAACATGTAAGCTGTAAGGTTACATGTTATGCAAATTTGTGCTGTCTGTGTTATCTAATGTGGTAGATAACAAAGACAGTTCTTTGTTTCTTACCAGTATCTAACTGCTTTTATGTACCACTTTATGAATGCAATAAAATCCACTTATTAAACTTTATATGCTGTTGAATAGGATGCATTTCCCAATCATACATCCATTCAGTTCACTCTGCTGTAATCATTTCCCCTTATAGCACCATATTTCCCTATCGGCAAGTATTTAAACTGTATTTTTTATTGTCAAGGTCTCTTCCGCACAATGTCGAAAGTGTACATACCAAGTACGACGACGTGTCCACTGGTTCTCTCCCCAGTGTGCTCTGAATAGGATACTTTGATTTGAATCACCTTGTCAGTACTTACAGTTAATGTATTATTTTATATTAATTCCTATCCACTCCATTATATTTTATATATATTTAATATAATAATTTATTTAATATTTAAATGTATCTTTAAATGAGATACTGATTATGGAAATATTAAATATTTTTTTAGTATCGTTTAGTGGTTAAAACTGCACTAAAATTACTATTAGTATTTGTGGAATATACAGAGTCTAACAGCATTTTATTAATGAATGCTGTCAATGTCATTGATGCAGAACGAGGTAAGGACATATCTTCTATATAATTAATTTTTTTTTTTTAAATATTTTAAATTATTCTAATACTTTAATTGGATTATGATATATTTTTTTAATTAGTTTGTGTTTTTTTATATTTAAAAAATATACTGGAAATAATTCTGTAATAAATTGTTTTATAAATTATGGCACACAAACTAAGATTTGATATAAAAGAACGTTCAAATAACATACTTGAAAAAACAATTACAAAAGCTGTTTTGCCTTTTTACTGTTGAGTGATAAATATATTTATGCTCTTTCATTAACAAGATTTCGATAAAAAAAATAAGAGTTAACAGAGATTATTTAATTATAATTTAAATATAATCCACTATAAGATTAAAAAAATAATAATATTTTAATTAAGACAAGAAGTATATAAGAATAAAAATAGTATGTGAATGTCTAAAGTGGAGGAAATATTATTACAGTCAAACCTCTGACCAATAGCTACTAACAAAAACATAAAAAATGTTCATTGTTTGGAGGTTATTTTGTATGCATTTTTGTTAAAAAAAAAGATTCCCGAAAAAAATGGCTGTTATTTAGATGCGGCCATTATTGGAGGCTCAACTGTATGTAGTAATTGTTGATGATAATGAAGTCTCATTGCATTCTCTTTTTAATTTGATAATTTAATTAAATATGTTAAATATTTTAATATGTTTATTATCAAATTAAATTGTCTAACATGTCTATACAAAAGTAAGAACTGTCAGATTTTAATTAATTAATTTAAATCCAACAGCTCAGTTAAATGTGAAATCCACATTCCATATAATCGTATTGAAATTAAGATATTTGTGAAATGTCCAATTCAGAATTTAAATTCTAATAAAAATTAGTGTTTTAATTATATTTTGATAAATTTTATGTATTCCAACATAAATCATATTTAAAAGTACAATAATAAATGCAATTTCTAAGCTTTTAATATTCTTTCATATAATACTAATAATGTTTTGATTGTGCGAAGTTCATAAAAATTTATATAAATTAATTGCATAACATAATGCAATACTTTTTTTGCTTTGTTTTGTTTGATAATACAAGCTTTGTTTATGTAACATCATGGACACTTCTCCACTTTTTTAGAAGTTAAGATTGTCAGAGAGATAAATTGATTGACACAAAACATCATAAATTATAATTAATTTTATTCTCTCTTTTACATACATTAAATATTCTTCTGCCGTCCAGTTGGAAACATAATTTTGGAACTAGGCCGAAACTAGTGGGTGGCTCGAAGCACATTTGCACATTGCGCATTGTACTGTGTCAATTAGATGTCTGTGCTAAGGACAATGTCGGTATGATTGAATGGGGAAACTAAGGCCTGCAGGTCACGTGTGGAGGCGCAAACCGGCCCAGAGCAGAAATTTCCTCAAATTGCATATTTAGAATTTGAGAAAAAATTGTGTATTTTACATTAAATTATAATAATTATTTATTATAATTTGATTCAAATTTAAAACATATTTCAACCTTTGCATACATGTATTTAATATATGTTAATCTTTACGATTGCTCAATACTAGAATACCATTAATAACAATTTCATGTTTCAGTGGAACAGTTTAAACTATTTTTATATATTTTTTTTTTCCTTTTTTCTTCTTAAAATTAATGAAATTTTACAAAAAGTTTAACTCTTTCTTTATGTTTTTCTTGCAATCAAAGCATAAAACAAAACAAAATATCAATATTTTTTGCAATAAATGCATTAATTATAAGAGAAAAAAGAGAAAGAAAAGATTAAAAAAAGACAAAATTATCACATCTAAAAATAAAATATGGATATATTAAAACTTGAAAAATGAATATGGAAATTTCATTTTTATCACATGCTTTAGGACAATTGCCATATTTCATAAACTAACTCTTCATTCTATTTTAAAAGTGAGCTTGTCACTTAGAGATAAATTAGGAGAATTATTCAAAAAAATTTTTCAAATTTATTTGGCAGTCGAAACATACTATTAGTCACATAGACAGATGTGAGCACTATGTAGGCTGTTGAAAAAATTTTTGGTGGTGATGTTCAACTTAAAATAGTGTGTGTAAGACAGTTTGACTGAATTTATGTTCTTAAATGTTCAGCTTGTTTGGTATGCCTGCCGATATACATGTCGTCGAAAGATATGTTTATACATAAGCAAATAAATTTAATATATAAATCATAGAAATTTATTATTATTATTATTATAAAATATCTTTTAATAAAATTTGAACAATATTGGAAAGTATATAATTAATTTTTTATCTGTAAAATTTAGTAGTAAATCTTAAAATTTCATTCTAATCAAAACATTGTTTAGCTGATAAAAGATCGTAGCATATTCTCTATTAATAAGACAATAAAATAATAAGATTTAATGTGTAAATAAATATATGTAACTAGATGTTTGTACATGGCATTGCTCGGCTTTACAGGGGGTGGGCGATTGGCGTATCTTAAACTTATTGACCTGAGTATTTATGATGATGAAACTGCAAAACACAAAAAGCTGCTCGGGCTTAAGTTAAGAGAGGGTGGACTTTAGGAATGGTTTGGGGTGGACACCTCCACAGTGTTTTTTCTAGCATGTCACAGTATTCTTGCCAAATCTTGTGCAGATATATTGAATGGTACAGAACCCTTTATCTAGCACACATACATATTTTGACTTTGTATATAGAGAGATTTAAAAAACTTCAATTAAATTATATCAATATGAATTTCTTATTGTCAAATCTATGTTTGTTATATAATATACTCAAATATACATGGCATTTCCATAGATAAAGTGGCCAGACGTCCCGTATTCTGACTTCCTTGTCCTGTTGTCCCAGCAATTTTTGTCCTGGAATACAGAATGTTTTGGCGTCCCATATTCCAGGATATCCTAGAAATGTGCCCCATATATCAAAGAATACTGGAGAATTCTCTGTTTAGAATCCTAGTTATTTTTAAAAGCATGTATATATATTAGTAAACAATTGCTACCATTCATTAGATGTTTACAGTCATAGATATAAAAATAATGTCTTTGGCATCCCAATCCNTTTCTTCCATTAAAACAGTTTTGTTTTCATTAATACCATATTACTTTGAACATAAGCCACCATCAAATTTAAGCTGCAGTAGTTTAAAATTGGGAAAAGTAATAAAAAGTAAAAATGATTTTATATATATGATTTGCATCATTTGCAGGGTTTTTTCCTTTTTTAGGCCTTCAGACAGGGCCGTGCCGTGCTATGATGCAGAGATGCGGCCGCATCAGGCGGCACCGTAATGGGGCGGCATAAGCAGCATTTAAGGGGTGGCATAAGCGGCATTATCAGACGCGGCATTTCGAAGACTTGCATCATACTGAGAAAATCTATCGCACGGCCCTGCCTTCAGAATAATTTTCTGTCTCTTTTACACTGAAATAACTTTTCCTTTGTGGCTCTCCAATGATGCACGTTCTTTTCATCAACCATAAATTTTTTACCTACTGCACAATTTCCAATTTCTTCGGCTCACAATATAACTTTTCATTTGAATTCAGCATCATCTGTAAACTGTTTTTCCATTATTGGTGAGAATGGGTAATAAAACAATTTAAAATTCAATTTTACACAGCTGCTATCAAACAGCGACTGGATTAAATCAGAAAAGTGCAAATGGAGAACCATCAAATAAACTGCTATTGACAATCATAATACTGTGTGCATGCGTAGAGTATAAAGCAAAGACCCAATTGTTGGGGATTGGAGATTGGCAGAAATAAGAAGTTAAAATATTCACTTTTAGTTTAAGCCACACCCTAATTTTATGTCTTAAAAATTGAATAAAAAGTATGGCTTAAATTCAAAGTAATAATGTATTCAAGAGCCATTCATTTATAAAGGCATTTGAACATGTTTGACATATTAACAAAAATTTATCTTTGATCCCAAACAGTAATTAATTTGTATTTAAAGATTGTTTTATCCTAAGTTTTTTGAATCTTTCTGCCGAGTGGGTGCTAAGAGGGGCTTTTTTCCAGACCCATTGTAGGTTCGACCGGTCCTGGACCAGGTGTCGAGGGATGAGGTTGGACATATCCGGAACGGATCATCCTCAAAAACTTTTGGAGGTTTTTTGATCCAAACGTATTTGAATCTAGAACGTTTGGAGCAGTAGGCTTACTCCTTTTACCGTCTTGGCTATAATTTTTGGTTAAACTTTGTGCGAGTCTGTGATATTTTGAAAATCTTCCAATATTTTAGATTCTTATACATTGGATCTATTTTAGAAATAATATAAAAGGAATATAAATAATTTGTTAATTGTTATTAATGAATAATAATACAGTTATTAATAGTGACAAACTTTGCTTTCTAGCAATAAATCCTAATTAAATAGAATAAATTAAAAATTGAATTAAATTAAATTAATAATATCAAATATTTTCTGAAGCAATGCTTAAATAAATATGTATATATATATATAAGTGGAAAGTAATTGAATTTTCTAAATTTTTCATGTATTTTATTAATATTAAATGACATGAATGATTTTATGTATATAACTCTCAAGCGTGCAAAAAACTCTCATAGGTATTATTAGAATTTTTTGCACACCAGTCTCGGGTTTGGTTAGATCCACAACGTATATGGCCGACGACAAGAGACGGAACTCGACCCGTCTAGGTTGATCAAACTATGAAAATTTCCAGGTTCCGTCCTGGATTCAAACATGGAATGGTGCCTTTGTCGTCGGGTCGTCTCATCTCAAATCATTATTCTCGAAAGTGTTGTTTTATAATCTCATACTCTAGTTTATTCCTTCATTTGAATGAAAACAAACCAGATTAAATGATGATTTTTAACATCAAAATGATATTTTGTGGTTAAAAACTTTGCATTTTCATTTTTAATCATTTAAATGTAACTTTTTTTTTATAATTATTTCTTGCAATAAACTTTTTTCAATTATTTGTAATAATTAAGGAAATTAAGTTCTGCATAAGATTAAATATAACATAATTTTAAAATTTGAATAAAAAATATAATTCATAGTAAAATCGAAATTCTTAAACTTTAAAAAATGCTAAATTTAGAGAAGAGACGTAATACAAATTTTGGAACCTTTCCACGCTTCTAAGAATTTTCAAATGCGCACACACAAAAAGCATTTTTAGATTTTTAATAAATGTATTGTTATCTACGTTGCGAGGTAATGAACGAGAAATTTATTTACACAAATAACAATGAAAACAAAAAGTAATTAACGCAAGCAATTAAGTGCCAGTATCATTTACGGATACTTTTTGTTTCCATTCTAAGTTCTGGGAATCGAATTGTTACACTCTGATTCTATCTTGACATTTCCTGTTTAATTTGCATATTTCATAAAATTTTATGTAAATGAGTTACTCAAGTATAAAAGACAATTGTGGAAACAATGAAGCGATTCGACAGATCTGTACCGGTCGGCCGTAAATGATTATAATAATTGAAAGTTGTCGCATAAATTGTCGAGAATTTGGTTATTGTTGCTTTGGAATTTTTATTGTTGATATTAATTAGGTATACTAATTATATTTTATAGATTTTTGTAATTAAGTAACAAGTTTTGACTTTCTGGGGATTCTTAAAACAATTTGTGAACTGTTAAATTTGTAAAATCATTTCATTTTTATATTATTTAATAAGAACAAAATGGGTTTTAGTTTCAAAGTTTGCACTTTCTTCCTAAATTTTTATTTGTTCAGTTGCATATTTAAATGAATTTGAGCATTTTCTATTTTATCATTCGTCATTATTACTTTCAAAGCATTCTAATTGTCTCCATAACTACACAATTCTATAAACATGTGTCTCTGACAATGAATACGTATTCTATTGTTAGAGGTGCAAATTCATAGAACATTCAAAAATACTCAGACTTTATGTATTTTATATTTTTATTTTCTTCCATTAAAGCAGTTTTGTTTTCATTAATACCATATTACTTTGAACATAAGCCACCATCAAATTTAAGCTGCAGTAGTTTAAAATTGGGAAAAGTAATAAAAAGTAAAAATGATTTTATATATATGATTTGCATCATTTGCAGGGTTTTTTCCTTTTTTAGGCCTTCAGACAGGGCCGTGCCGTGCTATGATGCAGAGATGCGGCCGCATCAGGCGGCACCGTAATGGGGCGGCATAAGCAGCATTTAAGGGGTGGCATAAGCGGCATTATCAGACGCGGCATTTCGAAGACTTGCATCATACTGAGAAAATCTACCGCACGGCCCTGCCTTCAGAATAATTTTCTGTCTCTTTTACACTTAAATAACTTTTCCTTTGTGGCTCTCCAATGATGCACGTTCTTTTCATCAACCATAAATTTTTTACCTACTGCACAATTTCCAGTTTCTTCGGCTCACAATATAACTTTTCATTTGAATTCAGCATCATCTGTAAACTGTTTTTCCATTATTGGTGAGAATGGGTAATAAACAATTTAAAATTCAATTTTACACAGCTGCTATCAAACAGCGACTGGATTAAATCAGAAAAGTGCAAATGGAGAACCATCAAATAAACTGCTATCGACAATCGTAATACTGTGTGCATGCGTAGAGTATAAAGCAAAGACCCAATTGTTGGGGAATTGGAGATTGGCAGAAATAAGAAGTTAAAATATTCACTTTTAGTTTAAGCCACACCCTAATTTTATGTCTTAAAAATTGAATAAAAAGTATGGCTTAAATTCAAAGTAATAATGTATTCAAGAGCCATTCATTTATAAAGGTAAATTGGTGGTCAGATGGCCAAGGTAGTCAAGGCAAATAAACAAGAAACAGTTTATTACTGTTACACTATAGTATGTGATACATTTAACGTATTGCCTTTGGTAGCAATGTATGATATGTTCAATGTACTGCACAAAATTGCAATAAATATGATGCATTAATGACGACACACAAATTAATATTATCTATGTTCAAGTAACCAAAAAGTTTTATGTAAAATTATTTTTGGCATCTAATCAGGTTGTCCTTAGCTTGTATTCCAAGCAAATGTCAGAATAAAGTTAAGTATACAGAACATTTTAAAAGATATCTATCATTGGTTTTGGAAAGAGAACACATATTGTTGATTTTGTTATTGTTCTCATTCCAACATCAATGATATAAGCTGTAAAATGCTCAGTATTAAACAGTAATATATATTTGACATAAGTTGAGAATGCCTGATGGAGGCTAAAAAGATGTTTTTGTATAATTAAACAGCTTTTGTATTCATCACATTTTATATTACGATGCCAAATACACCACCAGTGTATTTGGCATTATGACGAAGGTCCAGTAGATTAATGGGCCCAACGGTGGCCAAACGGAAAAAACAACCAATACCCATGGTCAGTCGGGTATGCCAACCAATGGGTTGACCAGGTGGAGTTTTCTAGTCTAACACATTCACATGTCTAACACCAAAATAGGAGCCAGTTTTCCATAGAAAATCTATGGAAAACTGATGCCCTTTGGAAGATTGCCCATTGTGTTGTATTCCTTCACTCATCAAACTAATCCAATCTATAAACTAAAATTATTTTTAATATTTTTTTGAACTAATTAATTAAATAGTATTATTTACATTGTGTATTGTTGATTTTATTAAAAATTAAATTAAATAAAGAATCATTTATTTGCATATGATTTACCTAATTGTAATTACTTAGGAATGCTTCCATGGTCAATCATAATGAATCTCCTCAATGAAAAAGACTCTGCCGATACCGAGTTATTGATTTATGCTATCACTCTTATCAATAAGGTAATAATATGATATTCCGATAGATAATTTAATCATTTGCTAAATTATTTTGTATGTTATTGATATGTTACGGTTTACTTACCCTCAGACATTAAATGGCATTCCTGATCAAGATACTTATTACGATATTGTCGACTGTCTAGAAGAACAAGGAATGGAGAGAATAATTAAATTTTATATGAATAAACAGGGAACGGATCTCGATCTTCTGCAACAGTTTCAAATATATGAGGTAATTACTCAATTTTATTATAAAAAAAACAGTATATTAATTGAAAATCCACAAAGCAAACTCTTTATGTAGTGTCTAATTGCGACCTTCAGAACCATTTTTTTACTGTAAAAGCAATGAGTAATATGAAAAGTAATCTATAATTAATGAACCGCATTGAAATTAAAACACATTAATTGAAAGTGCATTAACCAGGACTACATGTACATTATTGGATATATAAAACAATGTACGTAACACAATAATATGTAACTATTACATCTGAACTTTGCTCACAAACATAAAAACAAAGAAAACTGAACTTTAAATTATATAAAAAAATACAAATGATATCTTTCCTCGATGTATAATTGTTAAAACATATTACATTCAAGAAGTTGAGTATAATACTTTTTAATGAATAAAGTCATATGATTACTTACAGTATAAATTTCTATCAAAGAATGATCAATATTAAATTTCCTTCTCAGACTATTGGATATAACCTTTCCATAATAAAATATATTTGGTTTGTTGCTAACCTTACCTATGAAAATCATACTAAAATGTCACATAATTATTAACTAGTATTCCTCTTAATCTTATAATATTACATTTAAAATTAAAATGACTCTGATATTCAAGATGGTGAGGTTCATCTGTTGCATAAATATTTTTAGAATTCTTCATCTGATATAAATTTTTCTGTTGGCCAGATGGTCGAACAATTAAGACAGCAGCCTGAGATTGGATCCAGATGAATCAAAAATCCCTAGCATATTTTGCAGTGGCCCGATTGGATATGTCAGACCCTGTCCCTCAACACCCACCCTTCCCATTGTGGGCCTGGATGAACCCATAATGGGCTTGCTAAAAAAAAAAAAAAAGCTTTTTAGTGCCCACAGAGTTGAGAGAATTTTAAAAAATACTTTACTGTTAGTTAAATTGATTTAGTGCTTTATTTATTGCACGAATAATTTGGTCTAATGTTAAACAATTAGGTTGTCTGTCATACTGCATTAATATTAATAATTAAATTAATGTAATTTCTAATTAAATAATTTAGAAATTTCTGGATGAAAAGATTGATTCAGCATCTTTGAACCATATCTGATAGATATATTGAGTTATTTATTCCAGATTTCTAGCCAATCTTCACATCCAGATCAGTTTAAGCCATACATATACCATCATACCAAACACCTTTAATCTCTTGCTAACTGATCAGGTTTTCAGTACTTTTGCTATTCTGCAGAAAAAAAATCTATATTGAATGGACTTTGAAAATGAAAACTTAAAAATATTTGTGACCGATAAACTCAAAGTTCTAAAAAATCTGGCTCTTGTTTATTATTCAGTTTTTGTGTATTGCAGTTTTTGTGCCTTCCATTAATTACATACACAGTTTAAGGGGGAGAGTCACAAAAAATAGATCATTATACATGATGGGAGGAAGAGGGGTTGAGGCATTGCCTACACAGACTAAAAAGTGGTGCTAGTGGCATACATATTTATTCATACGACTGGTAAATAGACTTTGTTCGGACCAGCAAAAATATTTTTATTTTATTTTATTTTTTCTTTAATTTAAAACTGCCAAGAGGTGGTGCACTTTACAAAGGGTTGTAGCATTCGTCAAGAGAACTTTTTTGTCTTTGTTTGTGCCTGATATGGTGATTTGTTCCATGGCATCATTCAAGGCTGAACCTTGAATGCATGTGCTGTTTTATTATATACTTTTGTAAATTGTTAAATAAATTCACCAACTATATGTTGGAGATGTCTGTCATGCTAATTTACAGTTCATTTCTTAAGTGAGTACACAACAGACTTATAAGAACAAACTATCAGAAAATACTTGTAGAATGTTTTATTGTATATTGAATATTGTACATGTAATTGAAAGGGGTTTGTCAAAAGTGCATCATTGTATACAACAGAGGGTGTAAAAAATGGCTTGAAAGCCATGTACAGTACATAATTAATAGACAACTTATAACATATTAATTAAATTTAATTAATCAATATAATTAATATTTTTCTGTATGAATATTTTGAATCGTTTCTTAATTATTTTTTAAAGTAAATAACTCAACTGAAAAGCTTTTTTTTAAATTAACAATTAAAAGTAAATTATTTTTTTATTTATAATTAACAATAGTCATATTAACTTTAGTGAGTAAAATGTTTACAGATTTATATAGACTTTCTGTATTGTTAAATAAGATATTTTATATCCTGTTCTCTTTGTTTTTATATCTGTTTGCACTTTGTAATTTATATTCAGTCTTTTATTTAATAAATATTTTAGTTTTGTTAATAAAAATATTTAAGTATGAAGTACACATTAATTCATAAAATATTATTTTTATTTTGCAACTAAATGTTTCCAAATATTCCATTCAAAAACAGAGAAATCAAATATTATACAATGGGTGATCGGTTAACAAACAAATCAGATAACAAACACTTTCGCGAAAGATTTTTATGATCGGACAACAAACACATGTTTGGATAATGAACACTTGACTGAACAAACACAAGAAGGAGCGACATAAAATAACAAATACCGATTGGTCTTCCTTTGTCTTCAGGCAACAATTCGAAACTTTTCGGAGCACGGGAGACGTCGACATCGATGTTCTACCCAGTATATACTGATCGGATAGTATTTCCACGAACTTTGAAACACTCCCTTGTAATTCCAGCCCTTGTAATATTTCTGACAGAAACAATTCTGTTATGTTTTCTTCTGAAAATGCGAATTTATGTCGATATCTGCTATTAAAGATCTTTTGAAGAAGTGGGAGGATGTCAGAACAACGGTTTTAAAATGGCATCCAAACCAGGTTGAGGTTAATAGGCCTAGGGATCTCTACAATTACAATGCTATTAATTACTTCTGAAAAATCATGAAGAAGAAAGAAAAGCAATCGACATTAGACAGATTCTTTAACCCCACAAACGGAAAAAAAACATGACTAATAAAAATGCAAGACCATGTATATATGTATTTTTATTATTACATATGAATAAACGTAGTAAGAAAGTATATATTTTTTATTTATGGGGGTCTCCAGAACGAATTAATCAAATTCCCATAGAAACCTATGGTAAATCAATAATCGGTTAATGAACAATTCGGATAGTGAATGAAGTCTTGGAACAGATTATGTTCGTTAACCGATCACCCACTGTATTTTTAAAAAATGAAAAATGTGCAAAATTAATATACAATATACATTTTAACATAAATATATGTATCAAATACAATATTAAAAGTTTTTAAGTACCATATTTACTCGAATTAGCCACATTTTTCTCCAAAAAATTATGAAAAAGGTCACCATGTATCAACAAATTAATTTTGAAAAACCTCTGTAACACATGAAGTCAGTGGTGCTTCTAGCCTCTAAGCATTTTGCTTAGTTTGCTAGTGATAAATTTCACTTATCAACTGGATGATTTTGCTTAATATAATGACTGTCTGTAGTTACAAGCAATATTATTAAACATTTTCAGGCTACTAATTTTGTGGAAATGAGGAAGTAAGTTAAATATAGATGAAACAGAGTAAATAATCTTTATACTTATGTTACCTCTTAGTTTAATTGTTGTTCACGTTTGATTCAAATTAAAGAACATAATAAATTAAATGAAAGTAAAATTTCTTTAAGTTAATTCGATGTGAAATGCATTACTGAAAATGACAGATAATATCTTTGTCAGATATAAAAATAGAAATACTGAAGGAAAAAAATAATTTATCTTTTACCGTAAAACTATGCTGATCTGTAAACAGGGCACTACCATATTGAATGCTACAAATTGGAGAATGAAGGTTGCTATTGTGTTATGAGCATAAATTAGTAAAATATGTAATTAAATTGGTCAGGTTTTTCCTTTTCCTTTTTTAAAACTAGTATTTTAAAATTTGTGGGTGTGCAGATTATTTAAGTAAATATGGTATATGTATTTGTCTGCAGTTCTTTTTTGACTTTATTCTTTATAAGTAACTATGCTAATTCAGAATCCAAACAATAATTTACAGTAATCAGTCAACTCAGATTAACAAGAATGCACTGTATTTTTATTTATTTACAAAATATAACACTGAATTAAAAATAATTCTATGAATTTTTCTGTAATCTACAAAATTTTTTTCAATGTAATATTTAATTAAAAGGTTTTATATTAATATTTTATAATTAAAAGGTTTATTTTAAAAATTTATATTTGAATAATATAAATTTATAATTTTTTGTAAATGTTAGGAAAAGTAATGAGAAAAATTCAGCACATGATGTTTTAATGGAACATAGAGAATTATAAAACATAAATCTTTACATTTTTTTAATCTCTTACAAAGCAATTTATATTGAGTTTTCTTATAATTATTCATTCAATTTAATTTCAGGCAGTTCTTAAACATGAAGATGGCGATAATGATGGAAAACCTCTACCAGTCGACATGAGAGTAAGGTTAGTGACATATATTTATTCATACTTACTCTTTGTAATTTAAAATGTTTTTATATCAATATTTCATTTGTTTCAGTTTAATACATTAAAATTAGTATTAACAATAATTATAAGCTGTTGTTTAATCATTCTTAACAATGAAGAACTTATATTAAGAACAGAAACATTTGAAGCCTGTAGAATTTCAAGATCATAAGCCATATATTAAGTTCAAAAAGCAAAAGATAACTATAAAATTATTAATAATTTCTGTCTCGAAGTAACAAATCATTTTAATTAAAATAATCCTACTTATGAGAGAATCAAAACCTGCTTTAATGGAGCTAAAACAACAAAAACAATCTGAAAATATCAAAGCATTTTCAAACTACAATATTCATCATCAGGGATAATCACAAAAAGAATTTCATTGTTATGAAGATTGATGTAGCAAACTACATGCTTGTGGTCCATTATATCAGTCTCCTGCAAAACTGTTTTCACAAGAACCCATGATGATGATGATGAATGTTATGTTATAGTTCGAAAACACTTAGAACTCAACAAACAAACCTGTTTATCTCCACTAAAGCAGTTTTATTTTTATTTTCAAATCATTTTAACAATTAACAGATGCCACTTTATATTATGTGAGATTTTAATATCAAAATCATATTTTAAATAGAATATTTTTCATTTTTGATGCAATACATTTTTAAATTCATTTATATATATGCAGAATACTTATAATTTACACAAGCATGCACTCATGTACAGATTCCTCCTGCTTATGAATGTTCAACTTAGAAACTTTCAAACTTACAATTTGACCTTATGTCTAAAATTCAAATTTTGCATGAATTCTGGGATTCCATTGCCATTTATGAATTGGCGTCAGTCAGTAATATAGGAGTAATGGCATTTTTTATAAACTTTTACAATTAGTGCTTCAAAAATGCATCCAAAATGTAATAGTGAATCTAGCAATGGAGATAAATGCAAGAAATATGGCACTTTTACCTTGGAAACTAAACTGGACATTATAAAACTAGGTGGCATTAGGTGGAAAAAAACATATTTCAAACACCTGCTACCAAGCAGTAGTGAGGGGGTAAGTGAGCATAATGTATTCTATTAAGTAAATTGAAGGATCAAGAACTAACAATAACTGGTTATTCTGTGTATAAAAATACTTTCTAGATTAGTTTTTGACTTACGACAAAGCCTCAGGAACTAACATGTTTGTAAATAGGGAGCTCATATAATATATTTTTCATATAAAATTACATAGGAAGAATGTAAAATATTTGATTTGAATACAGTATCTTCTGAATAATCAATAGAATGGATTCCATTTTAAAATTTTGTTGCCAGTATTAAATACTTCAACTTTCAAGCAAATAATAATTTCATAATCCAATTAAAAATATAATTTTGACACATAACAACAGATAATTATAAAGAGTTATGATATAATAAATTTTTATCCTTGACAGCTGGACATATATCATATGACTTAAGTAAAACAACTTTATCTCTATATAGGGGTATCATATTGCTATGATTATGTTTATAGTTAGCAGTATGAAAAATGTATACAAACTTTTATTAATATATTTATTATAGATTTTTACATGAAATTACACTTAGGTTGCTAAATTTCTATTAAGAAACTATTTCTCTGTTGTTTACTTGAAACTGTTCTAAAATTTAATTATTTTTGTTATTAGAAATTGATAAAAATCTTGTAACTTTTTTTAGTCATTTTTAAGAAATTAATTGGAAGTATTCAAATCTTTTCTCTCACAATCAATTTACACTTTGTCAGAAAATGTAACATGAATTTTTATCGAATTTTTCTTTCTTATTTACTTATAATAATGTATTTTCTCTCATTATTAAACAATTGCTAATATAAAATTTTAAGACTTATACTTAAACACTTCCTTGAATGATAACCCTTAATCAAATATTTTTAACCTCGTAATATAATATCAAATGAAAAACTTAGTACATTAATATTTAAAATAAATTCTTAAGCTGTTATACATTTTTTTAATGATTTACAAAAAAGGTTGTTTGTGTTTCTATATTTAAAATAACCAGTAAAATATAGAAACAGTTTTTTCTACATTTTATTACTTACTATACATAGAGAATTTAAATTTAGGATTTTCGTTTTGATATTTATTCATAAATTTCTTAAGAAAATAATTAATGCTTAATATTAAATATTTTGTGAATTTAAACAAAAGTTTCTAAATTAAATAAATTAATATAAGAGTAAGCTTATTTAATTTCAAATAAATTCATAAGGACATTTAATACAGATATATTGTCATTATTTGGCTGCTAAGGGCCTTTTACTATAATTGTCATTTTGTAATCCTTGGCTGTATATACATACATACATAAATTAAATACAGTACATACACTGTAGGTAGTGTAGGGTTATACAAATATACTAGGAAGCCTCTCTGCTTATATCAAGAATCAAGACTAATATAATATTTAATGCACTTGTTTATTTTATTTTTAATTAATGGTTGTGCTGTGCAACCATTATATTTATTCTGTTTATTTTTTTTAAATTTCATTTTGTTTAAAGCCTTTTAGATTATGGGCCGCAGTGCAGCTCATCACTCCCACACATACATAGGCCTATATATATATTAAAGGAATGAAATCATTATTGAATTTAACATTTTCCTCCTTAGTTTGACAGAAATTCAGATTACTAGTTGTACATATTTTAATATATCAAATAATATATATTCAAATATAATAGTTTTAGTATTTGATGTATGTACTCCATACATTTATGAATACAACGAAATCAAGAACTTGTTGTTAAAAAGTGTTTAAAAAGTTTCAATGTGAAACTGATATCAATTATTATATTATTTCTGGTATTAACATCAAATATAATTGTTTAGTTAGGTTTTAATGGATGACTTGTTCGTTATTATGTAATATATATGAGATCCACAATCTCTAATGAAACTGTATTTTATATAACAGATACATATTCTCATTTATTTAATTATAATAATTAAACATAAGGGAGCTGCAATGAGGGTCTAGAAGAAATTTGTGTGGTTCTCTAACCACAGTTTGACTATTGCTGGTGTATACCATAGTTATAAAAATGTATTTTCATAGTATATAAGGTGTCATATATATATATATATTCTTTTTTCTGAATAATTTTAAAGTAGATCAATGAAAAGGAATTCTGAACATTCTTAATTACAGAATTTGATTTTATGAATTTTTATTGCAGTACTCTGTCATTTATTAAATGCATATTTATAATGAAATACCTCAAAATAATAATTAATTTATGCATTTCTTAAAATTTTTATTATTTTACATAAGCCATTTGCAATTGTATTTTTCAAATTTCTCTGAAATATGAAATCTGCTGAATGCATATAGTGTTTCATAACTGTTGTTTTGATGAACGGTTTCACTAGTCATATTCACAATAAAGAAATGATTGATTAATTCATAAATTCAAATACATAATCATTGTAATAAGGTAAACATACTTGTAAATCAAATACATTAATAGTAAATAAGTATGCACACCTTAGAAATTTCGTGAAAATGAACAATAATTATGATTTATAGTCCCTCCCATTAGCAATTTGCTAATTTCTATAATCTTCTTGACAATTTAACTGAAAAACATGCTCTAAACATTATCAAATGAAGACATATATTATCTTTCGTATAGTTTCCTGTTATTTTCATAAAATTACAATCTTTCAAAACATCTCAATAAAAGTTTCCTTTGAAAGTATCAAAATAACACGTCCATAATTATAGTTTATTTATTCTCTTTTTTAAAATATGAAGATTACTACTTATGTAAAAATTGTTTGGTAATTTATGTATTTTTTTCAAATGTTACAGGCAAGTTCCTCGTAGCAGAAAATCTCATCCGGATAACGACAGACGTAAAAGCAGGCGCCATTCTTTGGGAACTCTGTCATCTCCGTTACAGTCCAAGTCTCACGGACCGACTTTAGAAAATACTCCAGAAGAAGCGAATCATTGGTTAAACAATAATCATCATAACGAATCTCCGAAGATTATCGATTCAAATAAAATGGTTAATGGAACGGAACCACAACAGCCAAGTAAATATTTATTTTGTTTGTTTTTATTTTATGCCACTATTATATAAGTAGTCATAAACTTCTCTTGGTACAAAGAATCACAGATTACAAAACTTTTTATTACATAGTATGATTAATAGGAATAGAAAGACTTTTTTTTAATATATATTTCCTAATAATTATTTAATGCAAACAGGAATTTATTTCTAAATTTGTTCAAATGAAATAATATAATAAACAGTTAATTTAAATATAAAATTTCAAATAAGCAAAAATTTAAGCCAAGAAAATTTAAAATAAATTGGATCTATCTTCATTGAAGAAGGTCCAGGAAGTAGTATCTTCTAAATTAATTGATCTAGTAGAGAAGATTGGACAGAAATCCAGACAGCATAATTGGTAAGACAACTGTATGATAAAACAAGAGTCCCACTTTGAGTTTCTTCCAGAATTTCGAAATTAAATTTAATGCAAGATGGCGACTTAACCATCTATCCATAGTGTCCAAATTGCTTAATATCTTTATAATTAAGTAAAGTAGAGCTTTGATTATCCGAAACAATTCGGGTCTGGGGTTGTTTGGATAACTGATCATTTATGGGAAAATATATTAAACACAAAACTGTATTGTACAGTACTGTATATATTTTGTACACGTCTTACAAATACATATCTTACCTAAAATAGCACATTAAGGTAAGCCTACAGTTTGGGTTGGCAGGGAGGAGGAGAGTGCTGCAACACCATAGCACTAGTGAAAATTTGAATTTGTCGACTGGAATGCTTTCAGTTAACCGATGTTTTGGTTAATTGGTATTCAGATAATCAATGCTCTACTGTAATCATATTGTATACTATTAAGAATCCAGCTGCATCATTCAATTAAATATTTGACTTCTTCAACAAACAATTTATTGCTTTAACAGTTTCATTCTAAAGTTTGTCTGAAAATAAAACTTAAATTTAATATAATGACAGACTGTTTTTACAAGATATTTTAGGGCTAATAATTATTTACATCAAAATATTTCTAAAGAACATACATAAATTCAAGACCTCTCAGAAATCAAGCAAAGTCTGAGCCACTGAAACTATGCTTTAGAACAGGGGTTGCCAAACTTTTTTAACCGTCGACCCAACCACTTTCCAAAGCCTCACATTGACCCCCACCATAAAGTTTTATTACAAGTGTATGTGTATGAGCAAAAAAAAAAAAAAAAACATTGTGGTCTCTGTATAAAAAAAAAGGTTGTGACACTTTAGCCGCATCGACCCCCTCAATCGGCCCGCTATCCGCTTTGACCCCCAATGATGTTGCATTGACCCCTAGGGGTCGATATCGACCACTTTGGCGACCCCTGCTTTAGAAGAATCTTATTGATGTCATACTATTGGGTTATTCAGAAAGTAATTTTGTTTTTACATTCCACTATACCTTTAAAATGCAGTCTACTTTTGGATAGTTCTCTAACGTTTTCGGTTTAATTCATAGACCTTCTTCAGGATTGATGTAAAAAATTGACCCCCACCATAAAGTTTTATTTTTAAAATTTTTTACATCAATCCTGAAGAAGGTCTATGAATTAGACCGAAAACGTTAGAGAACTATCCAAAAGTAGACTGCATTTTAAAGGTATAGTGGAATGTAGTAATTAATAATGCAGTTAGAGATTTAATAATTTTGTTTTTTACCACCAAAGGAATTAGTTGTATTTTTACCTGCCAATTTCATTTTAAACCATATTGGCATTATATATTTTGACAGCTGACATTTCAAGGTTTATTTGAAAACTTTTGTTTGATTCTGTGCAATTGATTTTTTTTTGGTGTCCCATCAAATATAGAAAATCGAAAGCAGCATTTTCGGCATATTTTGCAAAGATCAAAACTTTTATGAATGTGGAATCATGCTACTATCAGAAAGATGGCAATAAGTATCTGACCAAAATGGTCAATATATAATTCAATAACATATTTATATATTATAAAAAAATTGTTTTTTCCATGAAAAAAATGAAATTAGTTTCCAAACAGCCCAATATAATTTGTGTTTTAATCAAGTGTTTTAACCATACATATTTCAATATTCTGTAGTTTCTATTTAATGTCGTATTATCTGATGGAAAATTTTTATAGTAAATTTTTCTTTTGAATATATTTTATTGTCATTAGGAGTAAATAGCAATTACTTAATAATGTAAATCGTTATTTAGCTGTTAATGGCATAACACCGGCACTGAGAAGGCGTAGAGAAAGAGATGCACGTAACAGATCTCTAATTAAAGAACAAGAAGAAACTGGAAGAGAAGCCGTATATCACAGGACGAATAGTGTATCTTCTACAGGCAGCGTCGATTCGACTAGTAGCGTCGAAGATAAACCAGTTTTTGTTAATGAAAAAAAATGTAAGTTATATTTTGTTTTTGATTTGAATTAAAAGCTCTTATAATATTCAAAACGACAAATCCTCGTCTGTACTGCTCTATTTAAGATTTTATAAAATCAGTTTATAATTTAATATATGCAGATTAATGAGATTATTTCGTAGTGTTAATCGTGGGCCCCCAGTCTTTAAACTAGTGCCCACGGTGGTTTAGCCATATGATACTGGGTTACAGAGCAGACAAGCCAGGATCAAATTTTTATGATGGTACATTTCTGCCCGTCCCATTCTGTGCAATTCTGAAGTTCACTCTGCCTCCTTGTCAATGAATAACTAGATGAAGATTTCTGTGAGGTTACATTAAATAATATTGGATGGAACTGGCTTCTTTGCTTAGGTTCTAAATAAGGAGAGCAATATGAATTATACAATATATTAGGGAGCTCTTTTAAGATTAAAAAAAAAAAAAAGAAAGGTAAAAGAGCCGCTTAAGACTATAATTTTAATTTAATTTCAAGGCTATTATATTTTTTATAAGACTTTATAAAAATGATAACCTTAAAATTACTGCTTAATTATACCAAAATTTTGCCTTAAAAGTAATTAAAAATTACTGGCTTTTAAAATTAATCTGGAAATAACCTAATAATTTAGTTTATTGAGCTTAGGAAAACTAATTTAATATTGAAAAATAATATTATTTTGATATTTGTGACAATGTTCACTCTTGATATAATAAATAATGATTATCCATTGAATCCAAAGATGTCATGGTAAGCTACAAAACAAACTTTATACAACATTCAATAAGAGAGATAAACAGCCTTTATTGTAGTAAATATGAAGGAAACAAACACACTTTCAAGTGGAGGGTTTGTCTCTGCTTGAAAGAGTGTGTTTGTTCATAGCTATCAATGCAGATGGCCAGGTGGCTGAGGTAATTAAGGCATCAGCCTATTGCTCTAGGGAACTTAGGATCAACTTTAGGCAATCAACCAGGAATTTTTCACAGGTGGTCTCTTGGATATGTCAGGCTTCATCTTAATTGAGCATGGAAAAAAGGCTGTCAATGCAGTGCATAGCAGAACGTTCCATGCATTAACATTTACAATCTGATATCTGTTGTAAAGGAAGTACAGTATTGGAGAATGTCTTGGAACAAGCAGATGTAGTCTGTTGTTTCTGAAATCTTTTATATCAGAGTCATATAATTGAGGATCCCAATAATAATATAAATCACAAGAATTTAAATTGAAATATTTATGTGCAACAATACACATTTAGAGATTTAATTTTTGGACTATAAAATTCTATAAAGGACAATATTATATACTATACATAAAATAACAAAAACTGATTTAAAAATATTATTTAGTTCAAACATGAGAATGCTATTTTAAGCATATTTTCTCAAATAATACATTTGAAACTTTAAATACTAATTTAGTTGTTTATACTACAAATTCTTACAATTAAAATCATTTAATTTATTTCAGTTCCTTCATTAGTACAAAGGCAAAGATCTCAGTTCGAGAGTCGAATAGAAGATGAAAACAGAAAGAATCAAGAACTGTCGAGGTTAAAAGACGATCAAAAGTCAGACAAATCGGCGATTCCTTTAATGAAACAAGGCAGCAGATCTGACATGGGTCAAACTCGTCACGGTCCGGTACCCTACACTCGTAGTGACACTAATAAAAAATCGTGGGTTTTGTCCATGATGTACGGAAAGAGCATCGACGACGAAAATAAGGAAGCATTTGTAAAATACTCTCCTTCGCCTCAGACTGCCGTCACTCCTACAGACAACAAAGCCACACATTTAAGGCAAAAAGAAGAGGATTCAATCACTCTACAGTTAAGAAAGGAAGGAAGTGTTCGTGATATGCAAGAGAAATTTTCAAACAAACAGGATTGTAATTTGAGGTCTCCAACTACAGAGAATCGTTCAATTATCAACAACTCTAGTGGAATCATTAATCGTGCCAAAGAGTGTCTTGCTGCAAGTACGCGATCTGAACAAAAGCCATTGGTTTCTTCTGCCGGTCTCAGTTCCACATCGGAATTAAAAAAACCCGAAAATGATTTACAGTGGGAACAGCTCATGAAAACAATCAATCGTCCTTTGATAATTAACGATTTAGATTTTACAGATCTTAAAGACGATGATGATGAAAATTTTCTCAATCCACCTGTAATCTGTAATGGTGGCCCTCCTCCTCCTCCGCCACTTCTAGGTGCGGGGCCACCTCCTCCTCCATTACCACCTGGAATCGGGATCGGTCCCCCTCCACCTCCACCGCCGGGAGGATCCATACCAAGATTTGGTGCACCGCCGCCTCCTCCTCCCTCATTTTTTAATAATGGGCCGCAGAACGCTACTCCCGTTCCTCCATGGTGCAGAAGGAATCAGGTGGAATCCCAACAAATGAGCCAACCTAAAACGATACAGAAAACCAAAAAAACCGTTAAATTATTTTGGAGGGAGGTGAAAGAAGATCCAAATTTGTTAAAAAGAGCAGGTAAACACAAGACGATATGGGACGAACTTAAACCTGTTCAAGTAGACACTCAAAAACTAGAACATTTGTTCGAAAATAGGGCCAAAGATATTATGAATAAGGTATGATCACAAACCGTTTTCCTTAGATAACATTATTATATGATAAATTTTTAAGTATAGATTTAAATTTACCTTAAAATTTGATAAGACATGACAATGTATTAGTTTTTTAAGTTACCTTAAATAAAATCAAAGTCGATTATTAGGTATACAGGAATTTAAAACCAAAATAATTGTTATAAAATTAAAATAATTATATTATAAAACTTTAATTTTAATTAATAGCATGTAAGCTTAATTAAATCTCTTCTTCTTTATTCTATTTCTTTTATATGCTTTTAAATAATGGAGCTTACAAATGTTAATATATTAAATGATATATAAAATTCTCTCTCTCTTCTGCTGACTAAATTTATACAATATGCAATTTAAGCATTTATGATGAGCATGAATAAATTATTTTTTCTTCTTTGCTACTGAAACTGAAATGGCCACTTGGAATCATCAGGAGGTAAGCAAAGTTTAATATTCTAATTTAATAATTTGTATTTTTTAAATTTATAAATAATGATGAAAGAATTTAGAACAGTATTTTTAATATAAGTGTAGAATTTAATTAATTCAAAATATACTAACGGATCAAATTACCAGGGGAATTCTTAAGCATCATAAAATTTTACGCGTTAACTTATTACAACCGAATTTAACTTGTTGGGGCCCTAAGCTGAAATATTTGGAGGCCATTCCTCTTCTTCTACTAAGTAATAACACATTTAAAAACATATAACTAAGCTGCAGCATCACAACATGAGGCCCTACATTATAGTTTTTTAGCTAAATATAAATCAGACCATAATTACATGCCTAACTGACTTACGACCAAGTGAAAAACTAGTAATGAAATCAATTAATACTTTTATTAATCTGCAACTTATCCACATAAAAGCTCTATTAAATAAAAACAATACAGAAGTAATTATTTCCTAAAATAGTTACTGTTCTTCAGTTAGAATGTTTGAATTCACATAGAAAATTAATAGATATCTTTGTGAAAGTGTATTAGTATTTATAATGATGTTTTTAAGTCATGTGCAGGGAGGAAAAAAAAACAAGAGAGACAATTCTTTTTTTTAAGCACTTAGATACAGTATTTTATTAAACTGCCAAAGGAATTAAACAACATATTTGAAATTTATAATGTGGTCAGTGTTAGTTTCAGATTGTAAGAGGTCCTAAGCAGGCATGGACTTATAAGCTTGTATGAAAGGAACATAATATAATGTAAAGTCTGTAGATTAAAATTCTAGCTCCAAAGTCCTTAAAGGCCTCTGAGGCAAGAACGCTGCATTTGATAGATAAATTATTTATTTGTATAATTGCTATTGGCAGTATCATCATCTACTGTAGATTATTTCTGATAATACTTCTGCTGGAAATGCAGTACAGTTTCGGCACGGAGATTACGGAGGAGCTGTTTGTAGATGTTAATACCTAACTTTTTTTCTCTCGACATAACATATATTATATTTTCTCCTATTGTGCATCTGTCTTAGAGTGTAGATGCCATAGATGTCCTTGGGGAACAACATATTAAAAGATGGTTATGTGTGTCAATGTAAATTATGTAGAGAGATGTAATTTTATTTTTTTGTATTAATTTTAATTATATTGTATTTACTTCTTGCATGCTGCATTAGTACTGTGGATATTGTCCTGCAAGCGATCTTATAACAGAGCAATAATACGAAGTCAGCAGCATGTGTCCTACCAAAAGTCAGTTAACTGAGACTTATTTTAAGACATTGTTTTCTAAAATAAATCTCAGTTAACTGACTTTGGCTTCTCTATATGCATACATGTGCATGACTAAGCTGCTTTTTTCATTATTATAGCCTGTAAATTATGCACAGATAATTCATGTCTTCAAAATGCACACACAGTAATGTTTCTTCATTCATAGCATTTTCAATATTAAAATGCTTCATCCATCTGGCCTTCTGTTAAAGTACTTAATTCACTGTTGATAGCCCAACACTTGTTTCACAGCCATCTTGTATTTTCTCGCATGTGTGGGATTGTGGGATCTCTCTTATGACTGGATCAAGAACTCTCTTGAGTCGATCGCGATTGAACCTCATTTCAGTCAAGATTGAAATGATCGAGAGAGATTGCACCACGGCATAGTCGCCGACCTTGGTCACAATCTAGATCGAAAGGCTTGGTGCGAATGGGGTATTACAGTGGATATCCATATAAATAATTAAATGAATGAAAGATGTTATTTTATGAGATCATTTTGAAAAGTTCTGCCTCCTACATGATAACTTTAATAATATGCAAGATGCTGATGTAAACTGTATGCTTGCTGAAAGTTTGGAATATCCTCTACTAGGGATGTTGTTACTTTTCTACATATGTAGTCATGTTTCTGTCCAAACACACGCACACAGTTGGATGAGTTGTTTCATTCTGTCAATAAAGAAATTGGATGTTCTCCCGGCACCAGCAATGCATATCTGCACATACCTCTGCAACACCAGTGTAATGGCATCCCTTCGGGTGTTCTTTGAGCTTCAGAAAGAGAAAAAAGTCATAAGACTGAAGATCTAGGTGTTTAGTGGGTATGGTAAAAATCTCATGAAATTTGAGACCCTCCAGTAGAAGCTTTAGAAGCTTCATTTGTCAAACTGTGTTGGCTAAGCATTGTCTTATATAAAGGAAAAAGTCATAATTCCTCACCAAGACGTAAAGAACACCCAAAGGGATACCATTACACCAGTGGTGCCAAGGTGCAAGCAGACGTGCATTACTGGTGTGAGAAGGTGCCAAATTTCTACGTCAATGGAATGCAACGCAACGACTTTCCAACGTGTGCAAGTGTGTGGATAGAGAGAGTGATTACGTGGGAAAAAGACGTCAAAACATTAAGAAGTGTCATCAATCAATGAATATTGATATCAATTAATGCTTTGCTGGAACATAAGAATCTATATTTTAATTTAAGTACAATATTCCATATAATAGAATAGGCTAGATTATTCAGAATTATGAATTTTAAATTTATAATTGACTCAAAATATGGTAAAAGTCCTCTAATCTGTAATCTAGATTGTCTGGTAAACCTTATGCAGGAGACTGAAGATCCTAGCAAAGATCAAGGTTGTGTGGTTATAAAAGTACTTGCAGCATAAATATGATCTTGGGCAAGGACTTGTCGAAACATGATATTGTAAATTCACATAAGTGAGATAAATATGTAGAGAAGAGATAGATGAAGAGGCCATGCATTAATTACATGTACAGTTTAAGGGGAAAAATTGTAAAAAGTACATCATTTGTATATACAGTGGGGAGAGGGGTCATCACATTGTCTACATGGACTTTAGTGCAATTAGTGACATACATATTCATTGTTGTAAGCCTAAACTATAATATGCATAATTAAGAGAGGAGATTGCCAAAAGTACATGTAATTAATGAATGGCCCCAATATACAGTAATAATGCTGGGTGTCTCTATTATTCAGAGAGATCTTGTAAAGTTTTATTAATTCTGTTTGTATTATAATTATCATCAGAATAACTAATACTTTTTATAATATATATATATATTATTTATGATTTGTGAAATTTTAATAGAAAGTTCAAGAAGGAGGGAAAAAGAATGAAATAATCGTGCTGGATGCGAAAAGATCGAACGCCATTAACATCGGGATGACTAAACTCCCGCCTCCGAGGACGATCAAAACTGCAATATTAAAAATGGACAGTACCATTATGAACAGGGAAGGGATCGAGGTAATGTCAATTTTTAAATATAGTTTTGATATAGTTTTAACAGAAATGATTTGTTCTTATATTCTAAAATCGTTAAAACATTGCTGAGAACATATAGTTTCATTTTGAATATCTTAGTACTTTATAACAGTGGTATGTATGTAATGTATCATCATTACATACTGTACATATTATACTATAATTTACAAATTGTCAATGCTGGTTTTACCACTAGGGATGGTAGGCAGTTGCCTACCAGTACCTGTCCATTGTTGCAAAAAAATGAATGAAGTAAAAAGAAATAACTTTCCCTCCTAATGGCCACCTATGACGAGTCACTATTGCTACTCATTTGTAACGCATGCACATTATTTATATTTATCAAGGGAGCAAGATGACTTTTTCTTATTTGATATCTACTCATCTTAAAGTATGCAAGGGATGAGCCAAAATATTGCCTAAGAATGAACAGATTCTAAAACAGTCCCAGTATATTGTACATTTGTAAAGGATATATGTATATACATAACAAACTTTCTTTGGCTGATGAATACTTCTATACGTCCTTCGTACACTTATAGAAAAATTGATAAATGTATATTATTCATCAATAAAAATCAATTCCATCCCTTCAAAGATATTAGGGTATGAAGTTGAAATTCCAAGATTTAATTCCTTTTTAATTTAATTTTTCAATAGATGTTTTGGTATTATATGATTAAGCATTACTATAATGAAACAAAAGAAAATTTTTTCATTTTATTAAAACCCACCATTTTTGTTACATTTTTTGATCGAGAAGATTAAACCATTGTTATTAAATATCTGCAGTAATTACTAGTTCTTAAATTGTGCCAGAAATAATGAATTATTATAGATTATAAAAATAATATAATATGAATTTTGTCCTAGCATGTTTTATTTATATTTATTTTTTTTAATTGTAATATTAACTTATCAGATGAAGCTCATACTTTTGTACTTTTCCACTTTATATACAAATAAATAAGAGTAATGATGTGAAAATAGATACATCATCTCACTCTTCATTATTAAACATTATTTGTTTGTTCAAAGGGTTACCCTATAAGCCCTAATTGTTCTTATTTTCTTTTCCTAGGAGATAATGGGGCCTGAGGGGTGCTGCACCCAAAGGTATCCCCCTATGTATCAGAATGCACAATTTGCATATTAGTCTTTGCACAAATATGGAACCATTTTCATTCCATCATTGTCATTTAGGAAGCAACAAATGTGCAATCTGCTAATTTGTAGCCTTGATACCAGAAAAGAAAATATTGTGATCATGTAGGGTTTAAGTATCCAAAGATGCCCGGTGTCGGTTAGAAGCAGACACTAATTTAGTAGGCACGTAGCTATGTCAATGTAAATAGAAAATGTTCATTCCTTTTAAGTCTGCATTAATTTGCAGCTCCGAGTGTTCGGTTCCAGTTTAGACTGAAGCTTCAGAAATTCTTCATACATGGTTTCACCCAGATATGTTAGGACTCGTTCTTCTCTATCTAGCTGCACCATTGAGTCTTGTCAAATCCACGAAGACATGAAAAAAGGCTTTCTTATTGCCTGCAAAACAAAGAGTTATTTAAAAAATTATTTTTAATTTAATTTGTAAAATGATTGAATAATTATGATATTATTCGTATCTACAATGTGAATAACAATAATAAACAGTTTCCATCTGTTTAATAATTTGGTTAAGCATCAGAAATTTGTTTTTAATTCTAATGATTTAATAAAAATATTTAATAAACTTCTTAGAAAATTTTGACGACTATGATGCCGTCGGAAGACGAGAAAACGAAGATAACGGAAGCCCAAATGGCAAATCCCGAAGTGTCCTTGGGTTCGGCGGAACAGTTCCTATTAACATTGTCATCAATCAGTGAATTAGAAGCCAGACTTCGTCTCTGGGCATTTAGATTAGATTATGAAACAGTAGAAAAAGTAAGAAAATATTATAACTTTTAGAATAATTTGAAATTAGAATATTAATTTTTATTTTCTTCATTTCAGGAAGTTGCCGATCCGTTAATGGACTTGAAACAGGCCATTCGGGAATTAGAATCAAATGAGACATTTCGGGTTATTCTGTCAGTTTTAAGATCAATAGGAAATTTTCTAAATGGAGTCGAGGTAAATTTCATGAATAAGTGTGATAAACTTAAAAATAACTAAATCATTATCAATAACAGAAAAAGATGCATCTACTTCAAACTTAATTCTACAAACATATGATACACACTTAAATATAAGAAATCTTCTCAGTATTTATTAGCTGACTGAGTTAACTATCCAATTGTCAGACTAGAAGCATTTTTGACTGGTCAGCAAGTTAGAAGAGTAGCTGGCCAAATGACCAATAAAGGAAGATTGCATGCTTTTAAATCCAATAAATGCCCTAATTTCCTTTAAGCTGTAATAATTATAAAAAAAAAGCTTTGACATCATCGTCGTCTTCGTGAAAAATAACGCTATTCCAAATTTTATTTGCTATCATTTTTGGCAAACGCAAAAGCTAATTATTGTTAAGTTTAGTTAGTATTAAGTTAGTATTTAGAATTTGAAAAATTTTGAATCTCATTATAAAGATAACTTTGAGGTTTTAATTCAGTTATCCTTTGTCATATTGAAGGCTTTCCTCTTACTTATCTTTAATCAAGATTTCTCATTTTCTTTGATACATGTGTGAATAGTAAAACCATATTTTGCATAACAGAAGTCTGTTGTTGTTTATTAAATGATGTGATAATGAGAAAAAATTGTTTATTTTAACTGAAAAACCATCTAAAGTAATAAGAGGACAGATTGTTTATAACAACATGCTATAATAATTTGAAACAGACTGCCAAAAAATTATTAAAATGATTTCAATTCTGTGAGAATTGACAACAGAATAAATATATATATTTTATTTTAAATATTCATAAATATGCATAGATAATTAACTATTCATATCCATTCAAGTAGTCAGTCTTATTTAAAAATGAGGTTGAATCATGATAGATCTAGTCCAGATGATGATGATACAAGTCCCTCATATGTCTCTAGTTTTGTGGATTAATTTTAGGAAAAGAAATGTGAGTATAGTACTGTAGATAACGGTAATAGAAAGTTCATCTGAAAAAGTTAGTTACTACATTAAATCCATATATTTCCACATATACCCGACACCAGTACATTAGGATTCACATTGTTAATGGTGATTTTTGTATGTTGGGCTCTCATGTCTGGTATTTTTTTAGCACACACATTATCCTCACATGCCCACAAAGAAAAACGTTAAAAGAGATAATGTCGGGTGATTGGATGAACCAAGAAATGGAGACTCTGCAATCTAGACTGTGCAATAGTGGCAGTCCAGATTGTCACCACATAGCAGCAGCAGCAGCCCTTTTGAGCACATGCATTTTATTTACACATATGAACAAATGGATCTTCCAGAATAGTTTAAAACTAGAGACATTTAAGGGGAACCTTTATAAATCTAAATATTAGCTTGTTGCAAACGAAATGGCCAATTTTTACACAATTTTGGACATTTATTAATTTAATTTAAAACTTGCATATTTAATTAAAATTGTCTCCAACATTCATACACTTTTCCCAATACAATAGAAATCATGAGAATGAGAACTGTCCAAATGAATAAAACAAGTGATAGTCTGTTGGGAAAAAGTCTGAAGAATAAGTTGGATGGGAAAAAATTTTGTTTGAATACTTACATTTTTATGATGAATAATTAAAGAACAGCAGACCTCCAAATGATGCTTCTTATCTCTCTGAGTTTTTGTGATACCCATTTGTCGAGCTTCTCAACATTCCCTAACCTATTTAGACGTTGAAAAATGATTGAAGAATGTCAGTATGCTCAACCTTTCCGTGATTTTCCAGACAGTCGGACAATGTTCTTCAATTCTGATTTTTGAGATCTGTATTCCCAAAATGAAACTTTTTGAACCAGTGCCTGATGGCCTACTCACTCACAGAACCTTTGCCAGAAATTTTATTGGTATTTCGGGTTGCTTTAGTTGCATTATGTCCATGTGTAAACTCAAAAAAGAAAATTATTTGATTTCCTTTTTTCCATGATGTCATAAAAAGTACTCTTAAACATGTGGAACTCACAATATAAATGAGATTACATTTTTAATTCACATATTACATGTATGCTCTCTCAATTGCAAACATACAGCACTGTTCACATGGAAAAAAGTTGAACTACAAGGTCGGAAAGTTTAAATTTTAAAAAAATGGCCATTTTATTTGCAATGATCCAATATTTTGATTAACAACTAAAGTAACAGCATTTGTTTTATTGTGAATTTTGAATGATTTCATATCATTGTATGATTCTAGGTGAAAGGTTTTCAAATCGATTACTTGGCAAAAGTGCCAGAAGTTAAAGATACAGTTCACAAACATTCACTTCTGCATCATCTCTGCCACATAGTTATGGAAAAATATCCAAAATCCAGTGATTTGTATTCTGAAATTGGATCCGTTACTAGATCGTCAAAGGTAATTTGCATTTTTGTAACAATAAATCCAGTATAAGCAATTTAAAAATGTATATAACATTTCATTCGCAACCAATGATTGATTTAAAATTTAGGTCGATTACGACGAAGTCACTCGTAATTTAACCAAGATGGAAAACGAATGCAAAGCGTCGTGGGACTATCTTAAAGTTATTGCCAAACACGACGGATCGACTTCTATGAAAGTCAGGTAGATTTAAAGAAAGAAAGAATAAAGCTAATAATTATTATTAAAAAAAATTACACAGTATATATTGTGGGTGTGGAACTATAAACACTTGTTGAATCAGTTTTACTGAGGGGTAAAATCAATCAGCCAAGCAGAAGTTTGAATCTGCTAAGCTTGCTTGACAATTGGGATGGCTGGAAAATTATGAGCTAAAATTAGTTCATATAATTAATTTTATTAAGTTAAACTTTAAACCAAATGTTGCAATATAATAATATATAAAGTAAACGGATTGTCAGACAGCATTAAAATCCTTTTAATAACTCCATCAGACATTATGTTTGCTTTATATATCCTTATAATTAATTTTCATTTCAGCAAATGTTTCAATAATATGCACTACATTGAACAAGTACACAGAGATTATAATTATGTATTGATATTTATCGCTTATAATATATTTTTTGGAAAATTATATTTTAACTCCATTAAAATTTTTAAAATATTTCTTATTTAAACTTTACAGAATGTCAGAATTTTTAGCAGACTGTGCAGAAAGAATTATTGTACTTAGTGTTATACATAGAAGAATAGTAAATAGGTATTCTTCATTATTACATTACATAAAATACTTAATTTCTAAGTCTGATTATAATTAACTATTTTAAAATATGTTTTCAGATTTCAGAAATTCTTAGTATTTTTGGGTTGCCCGTCTCATATTATTCAGGACATGAAAGTTCAGCAGATATGCAAGACCATCAGTGAATTTGCACTGGAATATAGAACAACCAGAGAAAGAGTTTTGCAACAGTTAGAGAAAAAAGCCAATCACAGAGAAAGAAATAAAACGAGAGGAAAAATGATCACCGATGTAAGTTTGTAGAAGTAACGAACGTGAAATAACTTTAGTTTTTTATTAAGCTAGTTGCATTATAGAATAACTTTATTTTGGGTCTAAGCCTATTGTTTACACCCAAAACAACTAGAATTGCTAATCTATCGCCAATTATTAAATCCATGGACTGCAGACAGCCTATGTATGCTCTGCTCACTTCTTACCCCATAATTACTTAGACGTACGTCATAATATTTTGTCTATCCAGTAACCTAATGTGAAAGATATGCAATGCATGAAAATGTTCTTTCCTCTGACAGACAGCATAAAGCTATATTTTGGAAAAAAGACTAAATCAGTCTGCAGACCTCAAGTATACTTTGAGATTCATTATGTTATGGGATAATTATTATATTTATAGTATTATTAATCATAATTTCAGCTCTATACAATGATAAATGAAATAATTATATTAACTCTTTTAAGTAATCAATCTCCAATGTTTGAACTTGAACAAAACAATATAAAGTACTTACTATTATAAACGACATATAACAAACATTCCTATTATGTTATTTTATTACTTGGGCACCAAGGTGAACAAACTAAACTTTGAGTCAAAGTATTGCCAAACAAGGATGTAGTGTCCAAAATCCAGATGTCAGGCCTTCCTAAAAGTATCTGAAATAAGAATTATATCGATACATAAGAACAAGGTCTACACACAAGTTTTAGCACTCAAAAGTCACGCAGTCCAATGGTTACAACTGGATACATAATGCAAAACAGTGTACATTTACTAATGTAATTCACATATACAACAGGATAATTTATAGCTTGTTTAATATTTACAATTAAGATTGTTTGCAAGTATTCAAAGGCACTAGACAAAGGCTATTTAAGATAGCACTATACATAGGTTTGTTACAAAAGTATTTGTATAGATTTGAAAATAGAAATTAATGAAAAATGACTATTAAAATATCAGTTTATTGAATTTCTACTGTATGAATGAACTGTACCAAAAACACTGTTTACATACTAGCTAATTTTAGAACTAAAAATTAATTGAAAGCATTGTGCACGACTTAATTTTTCTTCTTTTTTAATACTTTAGACTGAAAGATTTCGAACCAAGGAACAGCAGGCGGATCATGAATTACGACAGCTGCTGGGAAATGGCAACATGGATGGAGAGGATCAGAAATTCCAAAAATGGGGAACTGTGCCGGGCATCAGGGGTCGTCCTAAAGTGTCGCCAGGTCAGTCTTTTACTCATTTATTTAAAACAAAGTACAATATATGTTTGTAGAAATGGGCTGGCAGAATTACAATTTAATAATACATAAAATTCATCTGGATACGAGTCCAAGTTTACTTGCCATGTCTAATCACCAGGAACAACTATTTCCATTGCAGAGACAACCTTTCTTTAGAGGCTATGCCTCTGCACAAATGTGTGCAGAGGCATAGCCTCTAAAGAAAGGTTGTCTCTGCAATGGATGCACACAAATGTGTCTGCAATGGATGCACACAAATGGATGCACACAAAAGGCTGTCTCTGCACACAAATGTGTGCAGAGGCATAGCCTCTAAAGAAAGGTTGTCTCTGCAATGGAAATAGTTGTTCCTGGTGATTAGACATGGCAAGTAAACTTGGACTCGTATCCAGATGAATTTTATGTTTTATTAAAGTACAATATAATTTTTGTCATATTAACCACTGCCATATAAAATTTATAATTAACGAGCATTTTACAGTTTTAAGCCAGCCACGTGCGTACCTGTATACCCAAACATGTGGATGAGAAATTTATCATTAAAGAATACCCTGTTAGGTCTCGGGGCAGAAAGAGTAAAAATACCTGCAAGGCCTAGAGCACAATGGCAATCTTAGTTGACAAAATGAAATACATTTATTCAAATGCCATCAATGGCACTAGCATTCAGATAATTTCGGCAACTAAAAAATTACGTCACTCTCTACTTTTCAGGCCATGAAACTTACTTTCAAAATAGAATTAATAATATTCGATGGCCGTACGCCACTAAAGATTTAATTGTGGAGTTACCGAATAATCTGCAACTAAATCACAAGTGTGCTAATTTGAAGTTGAAATTTTAAAGTTATCAGTAATTTACCGGTAAATTTGCAACCCTTAATACATTGTTTTTGACAGATAGATGCTAGTTACGAATAAATTTACATGCCAGTAATGAGGTGACGTTCCTCCTGCAATCTAAACATTAACAGGTTAATTCCTCATTAGAACGTAAAAAAAATATTACCTAAAACATTACAATTACACTTTGCAAATAGACTCCAAATGTTACGTTTTGCAAATGGATGAAAAAATTTACAATAGACTCATTGTATTTTTTTCAGCAGGTTCAGGCGGCAGTCTGGGACGCAATTCCATTCCGACCAAAGACGAGAATCTGACGGATGGAGATGACGAAATTTTAGAAACTTTGGTCAAAACAGCCACCGCTCCCTCCGCCAGGAACGAACCTCGAAGTAGGAAGAAGGCGCGCTACGGAGACAGGAAGTCATGTGAGTACTTTACTCCCATTTCTTAGCCAAGGTTCCATATAAGCATGCATAAACCTCTTAAAACAAAAAAATAAATCCTCCTACTAAAATCCATTAATGCTACATGAGGGTTTTCTAACTAACTTTAGTTGGTCATCTCTTTTAGAAGATGAGGCCCATTGGTGCACAGGGTATGGCCACCTCATTCGATAATGCAGTGCATCTTTTACATTGTTGAATGGCGATGGCCATCCCCATGCAACAACGTCCCGGGCTCTTGAGATGGCTTTATAACTACAATAAGCACTTTGTATTGTTTTACTCGAATGCATCGTATTCTCACTAACACAAATTCTTACTTTTTCCACCCCCTCAGTGCGAAGGACTCTAAAGAACGGATTAGATCTGTCAGAGGAGGAGCGAAGGATGTTAACCGCCCTTTCCACTTAACAGCTAATTGGAAACAATTTTTAAAAAAACAAAAGATACTCTTTCTCTCGGATAGAGGAGAAAGTTTTGTTGGTGTGTGATAATTTTTCATTGTGGAGATCAGCGAGTTTTTGATTTGGCATCTCCAGAAAAAAACCAGACTTTGTTTTTTTGGGATTAGAATCTCCAGAATTCTGTGATCGGTCCATCGTCGACGATAGACGTTCGCGAGTGTCGCCCGTGGCCCATATACAGCTTTGATAGGGGAAACAGATATAGTGGGAAAGGACCTTCTTGAGACCCATTTTTAACGCAAGATACTTATAAGGTGAGATGTTTCTGTTGAAACGTTTTTTTATCAACCATGTGCCGATGTAGGTATTTTTATATTTTTTAAAGATACTACAATTATCCTATTGTATCTGTTTCCTTCATTTTTTTTTTGTTTAGCTTGCAAATTTTTAGCGTTTGCAAGCAACGTCTCTTCGAGAATAAAATAAATATTTGTTGATTCTCTTTTTGTTTGTGCCTCTTAAAATATCCACCCTAAATCATTCCTCTCTTTTTAGCTACTGGGATTGGTATGGGAATGAGGGGCCTCATTAGCAATTATTATATTGGTTCACTTTTAATCTAAATTTTTCTACCAAACCAGGCATATATTGTAGAGGGCATACATAGTAATCAATCTACACTTGCCACAGCAGTTACATAACAGTGTGTGCCATGGGAGAATGAATTGACTGAAATTCATTGTTGTGCCCCAAATGTACTCGGGCCTACAAGATCTAAGTGATAACATACCTAAATCGCATTTTCAAGGCCCAAGAGATAACATCCGCTGCATAAATAATCCTTTGTCTACAAATCTTATTACGGAGGGCCTATTTGGATAGGGCCTCACATTTACTAGAGCCTCAACTGATGCCGAGAAAAGTACCATTTAGGCTTTGTTGAAAATTGTTCATTCTGCAAAATTTCTTGTATATTATGAGGGGAAAACAAAATTTGACAAAATAATTATATTGCATTACGGAAGCCTCTTAATCAAGAATAGCTTTGAACTTTAATAGGGGCCTCCCGAGCCTGAGAATTAATAAAACAATGAAATATATATATATGATTCTGCAAACTTTCTACCCTGTGGGCCTCCATTAGCAGGCTCATTATGGGTTCGGCCAGGCCCACAATGGAGCAGCCAGGTAGTGAGTGACGGGGCTCGAAATATCTGGATGGACCACCCCCAAAACATTTCTGGGAATTTATCGATTTGTCCAGATTCGATCAGGACGGGTCACGTATTCCTCGAGCGATGGCACTTACGACATTTGATTAAGTTTACTAAATGAAAAATTACAGAGTACAAATTGGATAAAATGGAGGACGTTACAAACCTGTTGAAACGAAGAGAACATTTTTCAAATTCAAAATTGAGGACTCCCTTCAGACACCTACGTTTAGTGAAATATTAAATATGTCACTAGTATAATACAATACACTAAGAACAATACAACTATATCTATTATTATTAAAAAACAAGATGTATATACAGTAGACCATTGATTATCCGAATATCGATCAACCGAAACGTAAGTTAGCCGAAAGCTTTCCAGACGGCAAATTTAAATTTCCGCTAATGGTGTAGCGCTGTTATCTTTGGCTACTCCAATATTATTTTTGTTGTTGCGCGTGTTTTAGCTGGCAGCACTGGCACGCCACGACAGGGTACTTAATGACATGCCAGGATTTGAACGAATTTCAACACGGGATAGGTTAATATATTTTTTCGTACATAATCGGTTATCCGAAAAATCAAATTTTTTTTTTTCGAACGACCCCAGTCCCCAATTGATTCGGATAATTGATGCTCTACTGTACTTAAAAACGATTGTGCAGTTCGTCGGTTGGACACCATATTTGATTCTAATAGCATTACAATTTATACAGTTTTGCAACATATTCACTGGCTTTTAATTTGGTGGCGCTAAATCAAAGTTTGCATTTAACCATTCGTTTACTTTCGAAATTGGCATTAAATAGAGTGCAGCGCTAAACCGAAGCAACGTTCTCTCTACTCTTTTTGTAGCTGAGCGAAACATGTACTGTACCTCTCTGAGCAGATACATAGACAATCTTATATTAGTTTTTAAAGGAAAACACTTAATTAATTATAAAGTAAAGATTAAAATTCCTTTTAAAACATACTTCCATACAAAATATTATCTTTTGTCAATGATTTAATCTGCTGTATTTAGTCGAAATATACTTATCAATAATCGTGTCGCAGACGGAGTGAGAAATCAGTGCGCATGCTTGCCTGCGCGGCCTCGCAATTTAGAGGGAACGTCGAACGTCGAACTCCGTCTTGTGTGTAAATATCTATGGAGGTCCTTTCACCAGCATACGTCAGCGCTTGATTCGAGAAGGCGTTATATTGGACCGTAATTTTTAGAAATACTGTATTCCGAAATATTAAGCACTTTGTGTGTATAAATTGTACTGTACATTAATTACTCATATATGGATAATTACACAAAAAGATTGCTTAATGTATAACCGGGCCTCACGTTTATGAGCTTGGCAAATGAAATACAGTAATTCGTTTGATTTTTCAACATACCCGTAATGGCGCTCAAAAAGGGGTAAGTTGGCTCGGGCCATCCAACGCGGCTACTAAAATGCAATCGCTTACAGAATACGAGTACGCAATTCAAAAAATTTTATTTGGCAATCCGGTACTCGCCGCATGGATATCGGACGATACGACCTCGCACTGCAAAATGGCAGCGTGGCACAACTCGCCAGCCTCGGCCGAACCTGGCGTTTTTGACAAATGGCGCCCTGCCACGTCGGTCTTATCCTGCGAGAATTTCTTCACGCGCATTTTTCCGGGCGCCGGGTCGAGCGCGGTGGACCGATTCGGCAGTCTCCACTTTGACCCGATATTACGCCACTCTGGCGGGAATAGGCCCGCGACACCGTTTACGTCACCTGCCACTTTTCTCCGCCAACGAACCTCGGAGATAGTGTCATTATGGGATTATACTTCTGGAGGGCGTTCGGAGGGAAATTATCCCACGTTACCAATGCCAACATAGGAGGTTTTTTCTCCTAAATTTAGGGAGAAATCAGCCGGACGGGGAAATTCGGGGAAGAAATGTAAAGTCCGCCGTATCGGTTAGTAGAATTCCGGCGACCAGTAGGCGTTTCCGATAGTTGCGAGAATCGCAACTATTGTCGCGGCGAGATCGGAAGTGAGTCGCTTCGTTAACGCCATGCTTTTGTTGGACCGTGCCCACGCAGTGAAAATTTTTGTTTCTGTGGATTGTCAAAAAAAAACATTTTGTAATTTTTCTTCTTAAATGAAGTTAAGACTATTTACAAAAATATAAAATTTTTGAGCCTATCTTAATCCCTTCTGGGGTGGTGTAAGAAAGGATTAAGATAGACTCAAAAATTTTATATTTTTGTAAATAGTCTTAACTTCATTTAAGAAGAAATATAAAAATCCTGAGTAATTACAGAAATTGTATCAACATTTTGTAATGTTCCTGGGAGCAAGTGTTTAGGGTTTCACGACGGAAGGTTGGCAACACTGCTTGAAAATATTACGTGCTACGAATGGTAACGTATGGGAAATTTACTTAAAAACGGCCAAACCTCGATATGGTGCCGACGAATCGTAAAATCTTATTCGCACTAAACTGTGATTAGAATTAATATTAAAGAAGAAATAAATCAAAATCGCAATATCAGAAATAAGATTAACCACTTTCGCGGTTTTTTTGTTTTTTTTATAACTCTCCGCCCCGTGGGCACTAAGAGAGTCGCTTGTAGCACATTATGGTTTCGGTCATGCCCACAATGGGGTGGCCGGGTGGTGAGGGACGACGGCCGACATATCTGGTCGGATCTCACCCCGAAAAATTCCTGGGGAATTTTCGACCCGGCTGGGGACCCGGGATCGAATCCCGAATCTGGACCGGTCGCGTATCCCTCGAGCGGTGCCACTCGACGTTAAACTTTAAATAAAATTATANTTTTTGTAATTCGGTCTTTCTTCCTTTTTCGCCGTAGCTCCGCCGCGTAAAAGGAAGAAAGCCGCCGTCTTTCATATGCACGCGTGCAAACAAAAGATGGCGACCGGAAGCGCCGACCGCCGCCACCTTCGCTAACTAGGGTAAATATAACCCATCGGGTTAATGTTACCTTAGGTTCCAAGATGACGACATTTCCGGTAATCTCGAAACGGAGGCGTGCGCATTATCGGCGATAGAGGGAGCTATTTCGTAATGTGACGTGATGCGAAATTTTAATCGACGGAACGCGCGATGTTGTTACGAACGAATATGCAAATTTGTAAGTTTTGACGTCGCGTCTGTAGTTTACCGTGGAATTATACAAATCGGTCGGTAGTCGTTCGAAATGGACGGTGTTGCGACAGGCGTACGTTGGAATAATTGCTGTCTTCGTTCGGATAATTACTTTTCGAAATTGGATATTTTTTGTAATTATATTTTTTATTATTTTGGAAAATCCATTGTAAAATCAGTTTATTCTAATTAAATGATCGATTTCTAAAAAAAAATAATAATTGATGCGTTACGTAATTATATTTTTTATTATTTTCGAAAATCCATTGTAAAATCAGTTTATTCTAATTAAATGATCGATTTCTAAAAAAAAATAATAATTGATGCGTTACGTAACGCAACGTCGTAAGCTTTATGACGTCAAAAACGATTTAAGCTTGTGTTCGAAAGCGAATTAAGTCGATTTCGTTCGCGCCGTGTCGATTATTAAGGTTAAAACTCCCGCCGAGCGAATAGCAAAAGCGATTGCGAATTTTATAAAGTCAATCGTTTGCTAGCAAGAGAAAACATCATCTCCAAAAACCAAAATTGCTGCTTCCGTTATTCATCACGTTTGTTTATTGAGAAAGAAAAGGATAAGAAGAAGATGGACACATGAATTTAATTGTGTATATGAATATACACTAGAGTATATTTTTGAATGACATTGAAGGTTGAAAACAAACACATTTTTTAAGAATTTAATAACAAAATTTCTTCGTAATTAAAATAAAAATTTTCGTAAACGAATCGTAGTGGTGCAGATTCGAACCCGAACCCAACATATATTTAAACGCGTTTAAACGCCGATTACCGGAGGCGGGGATCGACCCATTAACAACGTTGGTGTTTAATTTAAATTCGACCGATTAATCGGGCTCTTTACGCGTAGACAACGCAATTAAAGATTATTGTATATACACTTTTAAACGAACGACGTTCGGATTAGCGAAACTCTGTTCCAGAAGAATAAATTACGGTAGGATCCCGTGACGCGCGATAATACAAGATCCTTGGCGTAAAATAGCCAACCCCATTAATTGCGCATCACATTTTTTTAATAAATAAGGCAAATAAACACTATATTAACAATAAAACTGCGTAATACAGTATAAAAAATTAGCCAGGATTTCATGCGCCATTTTCCTTCTTTAGGATTTCTAATACAGCGCGTGGCGGGTCCAACCGTAATTATAATTTACGACGTTAAGTCGCCGGAAAATCGAATCGTCGAAACGTAAGTTAACGCAAATATATACTTCGCGACAACGGAAGACGACATAAAATAGGTTAGTGCGCAGTACTTCGCGCATGAGTGGCGACGTACTTCCGTTCTCTCGGTCGATAGCCCACAATTCACTGCGCCCCACGAGACGGCGACCGATAAAATTGGAAAAATCAGAACTTTCTTCGACGAACCGTACATCTCGCGTATTCGGATTTGATTAAAGACCGATTCGGACTTTGCCAGAACGGGAAGAGCAAAACTCTCGATAACGAATTCGTGTCGTGATGTAACGAGTGCCGTCGGCTCCTTTAATCTCGCGTAACCAAGAAACGTCGCGGCACCGCAGCGCACCTGGCGTCGAAAGAAAGAAATCCAATTTCAAAGAAAACGTCACATCATTTTATATAATTTAGTAAATTCTGCATTAATTAAAACGAACGGAACTGTGTCTAGCTTTTGCCACATCTAAATAATAATCTTTTAAATCCGGACTTATTTAAAAGCGTGCCTTTGCTTTAAGCGTTTGTATAGGAACCAAAATGGCTACTCGTCGATGGCCGAAACCGGAAAACCGTTTTTGTTTTGTAAACAATCGTTTAGTCCATCGTCTTAATTAAAATCGGGGTAAAAGTGACGTATTTGAAAGCGGAGGGGCCTCTAATTTCATCTTCCCGTGTTTACAATATATTTAATTATCACTTAATTTTATCAATTAATAAATATATAGAAACAACAGTGCAATGTATTCAAATGATAGAGTATTATATAAAACTTAAACAGTTAAAAGTAAATTTTCTTTCCGTTTATATTGTTATAGTTTGTCTACGCAGAGAATCGACTCGGGTATTGGCCAATCAGCGTCGGCCATTCATCGCTCAGTTGTGGCGAGTTACTTCCGCTTTCTTCCCCATAAGTCACGCCATTATAAACAGTGAAACGGAAATTTCACGTTCCGGTGTTGGAACAAGAGATAGTTCGCAGTTAAACGCACGATTCTTTACGGTTAATGAATGCTATAAAATATTAACATAATTGACGGAAAAGTCGTTCTGCCATCTACTGAGAGAAAACAGAATAAAATTTACGTATTGCCCGACATATTAAGCGAGAAGTGACGACGTCACGAGGAAACGTGCCGATTGGTTTAACCGACGACATCACGCGTGACGTTGGCGCAAGCGTTTTCGGCATGCCAAGTTTAAAATATGGCGCCTCTCGGTACAATCGAGAGCGTTCTTTGAGTCGAAGTAATTAATCGAGAAGAGAACGGAAATTATTATAAACTTACGAGAGAAATTAAGGAAGGCGATTCCAAACATTTTAGGCAGGTTTTAATCTGTTCGGATTTGATTAACTTACGCTAAATAAACGATTCGTCGAAGATAAATTCCAATTTAATTATAATCGTTTCGATTTTAAATCTCCGTGTTAAAGGCGCAGAAGATTGTGGGCTACCGATTTAGGACGGAAGTACGTCACTAGTAATGCGCGACGCGACTAGTAATGGCATAACGAACTTATTCGGTGCCGTTCTCTCTTCTCCCTTCCGTTCCAGAGACGTATAAATCGGCCCGAACTTCTTACTTTTAAGTACAGTACAATACATATTTAAAACTTACCTAAAATTTCGAAAATGCGTTTCATTTTTTTAAGAATTTCGCACTCGGATACTCCTTCAAAGCACGCTTTCGATAGTAGACGAGAGGCGCCATGTTTTAAACTGCAGGTACTGAGAACGCATGCGCGTTTCTTTTACGTCGTATCGCCAGATCGAAATGCGTGCGCACGTCTCTTTAGTCGCTTCTAATTGCCAACACTTACCGGAAAAGAACAACAGGAAACCGAACAGAACGCGCTTCTCTTTTCCCTTCTGGCGAAGTACGAACTAGTCTTAATTCGTGTAAATTTTTCGTTTTGTCGGCAGAACCGGAAGTTGGCACTCGGATGCTAGTATAACCGGAGTCGATAAATATACTGGTCCTCGAGCTATTAATGTGTCGGATTGCCGATAGCTGGCGTTCGAGTCGCACTACGGCGAGAAGTTTTATTTTATTTTTTATTTTTTTATCTATTTGGTTATAAAAAATAAGATGATAATTTGAAATTACAGATGAGGATGTGAATAATAATTCATCCAGATTTTAAATAGAGATCTGTCCAAAACTATTTTATTGCTACATACTGTGAACGTTCTGAGTATAACGTAGGTAATAATATAATAAGTAAATAAATTTGCGTGTTACTGTTTTGTTTTATTACATATGTATAACAATACAATTAGGAAAACCATAGCTTATCCTCCGATACATTTAAATAGCAATAGAAATTTAATTCGGATAAAGACGAACTATTTTTTAAATAATTTATTAACTTTAACACTACATAAAGTGTGATATACAATTTCACTTGATTTGGTATAGTGAGAAATAGTATTTGGGATGAAATCGTTTTGTATTTTTGACACGAGAACTTACATTCCTTATGACACTCTCATTGACTCTACATATTTTGGTAATTTATATCATATCAAAAGTAGAATATGAATGAAGATTACTACACCTGTCCTTTGTTTATATAGGTTTAAAATATCACTAACATGTCTTTTAGCCTCATCACTACCACTGTCATTATCTAATAATACCATCTGAACTCTTGCCATCCCACATTTACCTATTTTATTTGTCAACCTCCAACTCATCATCCTCTAATTACCTCTAAGTTATTATGTTGAATATGTTGCCTAAATAGTTGGAATTTCCTTTTTCCTTTAACGGCCTATATTTGAAATCCGAGAACTAAATCTACTGACTTTTAATCCCCTGTAATAGAAATAGAAGTATTAACGACATTTACGAATAAATAATGTTCAAACCCGAATTAAAACAGTATTTATAAGCGGTCCTTTAGAAAAGACGAAAACAATATCTGAGTTAAAAACGAGAAAATTTCATATGTTAAAAGAATTTCGAATGTTTACAGCTGACTCTCCCTACGCTCGAGCCAAACTTACGCCGCGAAGCGATCGCGGCGCTCGAAGTGGCAGAAATATTGATTACGCCACTTCCGTAGCATTAGAGCTATTGGCAGCTCAAGGAACCAGTATATCTATCGACTCTGGTGTAACGATAGGAACGAAATGACCACGCTACGCGAGCGAAACCTCCCAGTCGACCCTATTGGGTGTCAGACCTGATTAAGATGTTCCTCGCGTGGAAAATTTTTATGAACCGATTGGAATGGCGTTGGTGGTGGAAGGGCCGAACAATCAATTAATTTGCTAACTAATCTTCGTATCTATTCACCACATCCAATGATGAAAGTCGAGATATGGAAGAAAGGGGGGGGGGAAAGATTCGGATTCGTAGCGTTTTCCTGGTGTGAGCATTTTCCCCTCTTCCGATAACATTTTTAAAAAAATCTGAATCGATTATTTTTGTTCATTAAAATAATATGACGAAGGTATTTAAGAGAAATTCGTCGAAGCCCGTCTCGTTCTTCTCGAGATCGATCTACGACCAATAAAATGTGACGTTAGATTTTAAGAATGAAATGTGCAATTTAATTGGACGATTCACTCACTTGATCGTTGTTTTCTCGAAATCCCGGTGACTGTAGCTCGATCGAAGGAAGAAAACTGTAAATTTCTTTTCTCCGCTTCATATTCTATAAATATTTTAAAAAATTTGATTTGTAAAATTAGTTAAATAAATCAATTTTCAAATTGACTAAATAAAAATATTCTATTTACAATATTACAAAAAAAAATTTAACTTGTTTACGACTTTTTTTTTAGTATACTCGTGGCCTTTCGTGTAAAAGGAGAAAAGTAAGTAATCGCATTTAAAAAAAAATGCAGAAACGAGTTGCTTAACTTTCCCAGCAGAATTTGGTGACGCCATCTGTTTTCTTTTTTTTTAAATAAAATATTATTTTTAACTATTCTAAAATGGCAAAAATCTTAATTTTGAGGTCAGGAATGGGTTTTTATAAAAAATTGTAAACACTAACGACGAGTAAAATCGTCATTAAGTTCGGTCCTATTGGAGATACACAAACGACCCCATTATCTCCCATCTCTTCGAGCTTTAATCACCAAAATTTAACGGCATCGATCCCCCTAACAAGCAGATCGCCCTGCAAAATTTCAGAAATTTTCGACAAAAAGCACAGGAGTTATTAAGCTTCAAACAGGATGAACAAAATCGTGCCCCCTGCACAAACATCCATACATACAGATAAAGAAATCCGAATATTTTAACATTTCTCGGTGTTTCAAGATGTCGTGTGTCCAAAAATGTGAAGATCTTAAGGGGTCTGTTTTGACCGATCGTCATACTTTACTTGTGTTATATATGACAGCCGGGAAAGTAAAAATCTGTCACTGAAAACCGCGCGCATTAAATCTGGAGAGACGGCCTGACTTGCAGCGCCAAAAGTGCCGTCGTGGCGAGTTTCGATACCAGCTTTCTTACGGAAATGTCTTCGTCCTCTCGAAATACCATCTCTAGAAACTGTTGAATAGGGGTACTCTTTGTGTGTAAAAGATAGTAAGGCGCCATTTTGAAATGGATACGGATTCAAGATGGCGCCTCGAAATTGAAGAAAACAGGCAAGTATTACCCAGTTCTATGTTAAGAAGCTGAAGGATTCGAATGATTCGGGAGGTTAAGGAAACCGTTAGGAAACCCGATGATTTTCGATTATACTAGAATGTGAAATTTAAGTAATAACAAAAGCTTAGCCTATACACACAAAATAAATACACCCAAACACACGGAATTTTCTGCTTTTTTTTGTATTTTTGGGGTTCGGGGAGTCTCAGAACGTCGAGATTTGCATAAAATATCCCGGAAGTTCGACTCGACGCGATTACAATACTTTCCCGGCTTCGGGAAAGTAAAAATTGGATGTGACAAACTCCGGTTCTCGTCACACATTCCTATTATCTGAGGATAAATCGTTTATTTTTGAGAATAAGTTACGTTTTGAATCGTCCGAGTATCTGGATTTATTAACGTTTCAAATAATAATTTACAATTGAACGCGTGGAAAAACCTGAGAAACTCGTAAAAAAATCCTCAAGGTGGCAATTTTCGCAACTAATTTTATTCGAAATTTGTGCCATTACCGATAAGTGACTTTCGACTCGTCTTCTTGTATTCACGCTATCATCACGAAAGATTTCGTAACAACGAATGGATTTCATTCTTCTGACTTTAAAAAAAATGGCGATCAGTGCCATTTATATATAGGCTATGTACAAGTTATCACTGAAATGACGTATCTCGTTGACAGTTTCGTCTCTAATACGATTCGTAATAATTGCTTAATACTCGGGTGTTCGAGTCTAAATCACAAACTATGTTTCGCAGATCGGATTCGTAATATTTACTACGTCATTCCGTGTTTTTTAAATAATATTCAAACAAAAGCTGAGTATAATTATTTAAATTCGAGTTTCTATAATGGCATGAACAATATGTTAATGAGTGTCTCGCGTTGACGTTTCGTGTGAAAAATCAGGTTTTTCGGGAGCTCTGTTGAAATTGACGGCCACTTTTCTACTAACGCAACTTCTAAACTCTGGCGGGATTCGAGGAGAAAGAATTAAAATCGGAAACGCGCCTTCCTAGAACGTTCCGTTCGTATTAAACGGGTCGAGGTCGGAAACGAGCCGGCCAATTCACACGGCTCTACTAGATACTGCTCGACAATTCTGGGTATATGGACGGCGTTATTATCCGGTAGGACGAAACTGTCACTAATCTCACTAGTGAATGATTTGACACGCGGCCTAAGATCTCGTTCGTGAAACTTGTTTCGAGCACGAAGATCTGTGCGCCCGTCCGAACAGATGTCAATCCACATCGCGACACTATCTACACCATATTCAAAGATACTTGAGGGATAATTACGTGGATGTCAGAGTAAGAAATTGCTCGGACTCCTCTGTAGCGAAAATGTGGACTCGTCTGTAAACAGAACGGACCTTTATTGCTCGCGAGTCTAACCGACATGTTACAAGCACCGAGTCTCTCTTTTACACTCGGGAACGAGAGGAATTGAAATTATAGAGTGGTCTAACATAGAGATTACATTCGTGAATCCTTCTAAACACCGCGCTACAGATGGCTAGGGAGTAGACGTCCTTCTCTTTAAAACAAATAACTTTGGATAATGGTTCTCTCCTGTAGTTGCTTCTTGTGCTCTTCCGTTGCTAAGCCTTCTTCTTGCATTATTTCTCCTTTGGAAGACTTCCAAAATCTGTGGATCGACTTATTAAACCACCTGGTACCTCCACTTGAGATTGTCCAGTTTCGAGGCTTTGAAAGAATTTAACGTGCTTTGTATGTCCCGAAATCTTGTAACTTAAATTTCGTCCACTTCTGAAACTTTGAGGACATACTTAACCCGATAGTGGACTATGTCCGAAATGTTGTTTTAGAGGTCCATCCTCTAAAACAAGACATAATCGTTCAACAACACCCCTATCAAACGTGCCTAGCCTTAAAACTCGTAACAGAATGTATCTTTTATATCCATCTATGGAAATCTAATTCCATAAAAGTGGAAGAAGATCCAATTTCGTAGCGTATCGACTTTCAAACAAGATTAATTCTAATTGAATCAAACTATCGGGATAAAATTTGTTCGGTGTTTTCGCCGTAATGTGTTTCGTAATCGGAAGATGCGTCATCCGTCCAAAACCTTCCCGAAAAAAGAAACTGATTTGTGAGTTAGTTTAATCGCAATACATCAGAGTCTATTCACTTTCAATTTCGAAATCTCTGTCTTATTCACGGTTCTATGGACGATTGACAAAATGAATTAAATCGTCACCACCATTCATCACTGCCATCAAAAGTTTGATGAGTTGGTTAGACGGAAAGGTTCGATGACAAAGATACAATCTGTGTGGCAAGAGCTTAGATGATGTGAAACTTGGACCATTTGTAAACGGTGACATCATCCTTTTGTCACTCCAGTCATTGTCTCGGTGCGGTATCACCGAGATAAAATTAACCCGGGCGTACACAATCCTAGAAAAATGAGAAAAATATTCTATTTTCTGGATGTTTATGACAACTATTACGACGTCGGACACTCGAATGGATCGAGCCGAGGGGGGGTACTGATGATACCAGACACGAGGAGTGACGTTTTTATTATTCACCAACCCCGTCTTGGCCACATCCCACCGACTGCACGTACAATGCCTCAGACAACAGAATGACAAGCCACACTCTCTATAAAAGGCAGCACCGCTTTGGCAGCCAGTAACCTGAGCTTGTCCAACTTCGCTACCAACGGGGGGAGAAGAAATAGCACGTGGGGACCGAATTTAAGGCATTAAGTCGAAACAAGACTTGTGGAGTGTGGCAGTGAATCGCTGTGTGAACATCCCGCAACTTTCGAATCCAAGATGTCTTCGTCAGTCAAGACCACCACCAAATATGTATATCGTTCCTCGGGAACCTCGGGAGACGTGTCTGTCGAATACGGCACGGATCTCGGAGCTTTAACTCGTCTCGAGGTAAGAATTTTTCGCCTTAATTTACTTATAAATTCGCCTTTTTTTACGCCAATTAATTCGGGCTATCGAGAACCGGCTCGACCCCTTGGGTACGAGCTTCCCGTTAGGACTCGTAACGGTCGAAAGCACTCGTAAGGTACTTCAGCAACGACCTATAAAAATCGATCAAAGTCGAACGGATCAAAGACAAGAATGCCCTATTTTAGGGGAAAAGGAAGGGTGGCCACGTGCCAAGGAGCAATGAACTTGTCGAATCCGAAACGAGAGTAACGGGAGAAGAATGGACGAAACGTGAAGATCGCCTACCCCTTTCCGTCTTTTGCCTTTTTTACGAATTTGACGGGGACGATTTTGAAACAAATTTAGTTTCGTTCGGTTTCCTTAAAGGATTTTTCGAAATGAACCAAGATAAACTAGCGCGAGACATTCGCAAAAAGTGAAAATTAGTAAACGCCATCGCGGATTCTTTTGGAAACGAAACTGGTGCTTGGGGCCAAGTTTTGGTGACTGCACCCTTGTGCCGTAACGTAGACGTAGCCGAACGATTTACGAAACCAAGTGACTCTCTCGTTTTATAATTAGACGATTTATAATATTCCTACAAACTGTTAATTGTGTTCGGTGTTTCCTGCGCTGGCAGGAGTTAAGTGAATGAGGCAGAGTAAATCTTCCAGCCTCTTTAGCGCTATCAATAGCTAAAGGGCATCCAAACTTAGACTGGCATTCCTCGCTCGCTGCGCCTGCGCCCGTATCGCTTTAATATGTCATCCCGATCTCGCTTTTGCTCCCCCATTTCTTTTTTTTTTTTTTAATTTCATGTTTTCCGACCTTGCGCCGGTTGTAAAAATGTCCGCAAAAATTTTACCCCATTGTCGAAGAATAAGTAAACTGACGTCACCCATTTTCTTCTGCTTCGTCATGCGAGTCGGAAGTCGAGTGACATGTTTGAGTTGGAATGCATCCACTAGAACGGGAAAGGATACAATAGGATGGTAAAACAATACCCGAGAAGTGTCTGACCTTAAGTTTTATCGCCAGACTGATAATGTCTGTTAGAAAATTTTGTCTTAAATTTCACTTATTTTGGTGTTTTTCGGGTGTCAAACGGGTGGGAAAAAACTGGGTTACGAAAGCCGAATAATGATTTTCTCACGTGTCCATATGTTTTTTTCTTTTTTGTTGCGTAACTGCGACGTTATACGCGATAATTTCGTTAAATTCGAAGATTATACCCCGATTTACCGCCGTTTCGGTAGGGAAAACTCGGGTGAATTAACGGAGGGAGCTAATGAGACGAGACATAAATGGAATTGCCACACGACACCAGAGGTGACAGTGGCTATAGTCCTACTACAATCCCATTCGAAGACAATGCGGTTGCGACATTTATAGCAACACTGCTGCGCGGAATATAAAAATTGCATTCCAAATCAGACACTTGACCTACTTCCTCGACAATTTCTTGTACCGCTTCCAACTCTCTTTTGCCAGAAGCTTTAACAAATGAACTACATTGATCTCTACAATTAACGGCCCGCTACGTTCCGACCCCCCTTAATAAACGCTGTAACGCTTCCCCCACGTTTCTCGTGTTTGAAGCCGCGAATAATAATAATAATAAATTTTCTACGATAATAACGAAACCCTTTCTGTTTTCAGGATAAGATCAGGCTGTTGCAGGAAGATCTAGAATTCGAGCGGGAGCTGAGACAAAAGGTAAAAGGATCGTTTAATGCTTTTTCTATTTTCGACCCAAAACAATTTTTCACTGTTAGAACAATGTTCCGATACGACCGACTAAATTTGGAGGGATAAGTGCAGCTACTAATAGAACCCGGCTTTTCTGATTACTTCTAAAATTGAACTCTACAATTATCTGGAACCATTCCTAAGCGCTGCCAATCTACTGATGCAAAAATGAATATTAAATAATTAATATTAGCATTAAGTAATCGTCGAGTGTATCTATAGAAGTTTAAATATTTAAATATTTTATATCGAAAATTTTTGGACATTCTTCCAAGTTTCGTGTGCCGGAATTTAAATTTATCGGCCCGAGTCGTGCAATGTTTAATTTTTCCTGAAATAAAATGTAGAACTTGAGCTTAAAAAAAAAACGGGATATTTTTTTCTTTTTTTATCAAAATTTTTCATACGAGTCGTATTTTAAGCTTTAGTTTATCTTGGATGTTGCTTCCAAGTTTGATCTTTTTTATATCAAAGCCTCATCTAAGTCGACTGAATAGAGCATTATCTTTTTATAAACACATACAAACAAAAGGCAGTGTGGATCAAAGGAGCATTGTTTCTAGACGAAAATAAAATAAAATTATATATACATATACATATAAAAAAATTCCTTAAATTAACTCGAATTAATTTTTTTATTTTACAGATTGAAAGGGAGAAATCTGAATTAACAGTTCAGCTCTTTTCAGTCAGCGACCGATTAGAAGAAGCCGAAGGAAGTTCCGAAACCAACGTAAGCTTCCATTTTATTTACACGAATTTTTCATAAAAGCCGTAAGAACCGATCAAAGATATTTTCTGTAAACGAACAGGTCGAGCTCAACAAACGAAGAGATGCCGAACTGGCTAAATTACGCAAACTGTTGGAGGATGTTCACTTGGAAAGCGAGGAAACTGCCCATCACCTCAGAAAGAAACATCAGGAGGCCATCTCCGAGATGCAAGATCAAGTCGACATGGCTAACAAGGCAAAGGCTAAGTACGTAATTAATTAGATTCGAATCGCCGAAGAAAACTGGCCTCACTAACAATACTTTTATCGATGTTTTAAGCTTTAAAAATAGAGAAAATAAACACGACTTCTTGTGGATTCATTTATCGGGAGTATAAATGTTAAAATAATTTAGATATTTTCAACTATTTACACCGATATTTTCAAATTACCAATAAGGGTATGGCCACTAAAGGAAGGGTCTTCCATAAATGATGTTCCGTGTGTGTGTGTGAGGTCATTTTGTAAGCGTCTGGCATTGGATAATGATAATAAAACACGTTTATATTAGAGATTTATATTCCTCTCTTTCAAAGAACACGAGAGAAACATGTTCGTTCCACCTGAGGAAATTTCTAAACTATTCCAATTGTAATCTGGTAAGAGCAGTTAGCCCTATGCACTTAACTGTATTTAACTAAATTTGATACTTAGTTATCTAGGAAAATGCCTAAATGGAGGAATATGCGACAATGTATAAACATTTCTTCATTTATTAATGGTGTATGAGATAACGTTTTACAATCTTTCAATGTAGTAAGTGTCCAGATGTTATTTACAGTACTAAAACAAACTTCGGCAACAAGCTGCGTAGTTTTCCCGGGAAGAGTTAGAATTGCGTATGGCGCCATCTGTTACGAGATTATATTAAAACACTTTTTTTATATTATTAATTATTATAAAATAGCAAAAAGTCTAATTTTGTGGGTGGAGACGGGTTTTATTTTCTAAAAAAATTGTAAAGGCTAATGACGTGTATCAAATCCGACTACACTCGAGATACGTCATGCGACCCCCTGTATCTCCTCACCCCCTTGGGCTTTAACCACAAAAATTTAATAGTGTCAATCTCCCTAACAAACAAACCTCCCTGAAAATTTTCGATAAAAAATACGGGAGTTATTAAGCTTCGAAACGGATAAATAAAATCGTGCCCCCCTCCGCACACTAACATCCACACATAACGAAATTCCCAAGAATTTTTTTTGAACTTCTCCACGTTTCGAGGTGTCTTAAATGCAAAAATATAAAAATCTTGGGTGTCATTCCCATACCCATCGCCATACTTTCCCTCTGTTGTATATAATAGCGTGGTAAGTAAAAATTTGATTCTAAATAATAAATAATTAGTTTAAAATATTCGAAAAAAGAACACAATATTACATGAATGTCATTTTCCATACTTTTCTATAAATTAAACATTTATGAAGAGTGTGCGCCTCTATCGTTGTATGACTCTGAAAAGTAATTGTGAGGAGTTATGTAATAAATTTAGCGTGTAACACAATAAATGGTAATTAATTAATAAAATATTTAGAATTTCGATCAGAAATACAATGTCTTAAATGGAAATTAATGTTGCCCATAAACGATTGGAACCAAAATTTTAAAAACCTATTCGTGAATAAGTTAAAGCACTCTCGAATCGAATAATTCGTCTCTCCTGAGGATGAAGAGTTTTATCCGAGAGCGCCTAAACGGTTTTTTTAATGTATAATTTTGTAAATTTTGGCTCTAATGAAGCAATCTGCCGCTCGTTTTAAAAAGAATATAACCAAATACAGCCAGGAGAACGAACTAATATAGATTTATAAGCCTTAATTGATGATATTCCAGAAAAAAATTGGCATTATTGTTATTTATTTGACTTTTATTCCAGACTCTCAGGATACGAAATTACAAAATTTTATATTTTTTCCATAGCCAAATCGAATTTTAATTTACACAATATTTTGTGGGAATGCTATGTATATGGTATGCCTTAAAGATTGGGTGTACAAATCTCAAATAGGAGTCTCGCGTAGCTACTCATTACCTAATCATATTATTCTACGTAATGCCTGTAAAGAAATTGCCCTGGAAAGCCTCAAAAAGTATATAAAACGGCTCTGATTTTTTGAAATTTGAATTTATAGCCTATATTTTATCATCACCGCCACAATTAACAGCAACAACGACATTAAAGAATTAAATTTAAAATGCTTAATTAATATTATGCAGTTAATTCTACTAATTAGAAGGAAATTGTATAACCAAGTTAGTATATAGATTCATTATTGTTAATATAAATTCATTACACTAATTTGAATAGAGATTTCTGTTGTTCGGGATTTAAATCAAAATGTATTTATTGAAACACCGTATTTGCTGATGAGAAAAATATAGTAAGATATATATATATATAGAAGCATTCGTTCCGATTGTGACCATAAATACTGAGCCAAATACAGGGACATTGATTCAAGGACACATACTAAGCTAAAGAGACACAGCTTAGCATATTTAAGTTTTAATTAATTAAAATATTTATTATTTAGAGGTTAAAAATATCCTTTGTTCGGTGTTAGAGTTATTTATACAATATTTTTTGTACGATTAAAAATTCTTTTGTTACAAAGTAAAGGAAGTGAGTGAAAAAAATGAAACAGTGTTCGAATGTTCTGTCAATTTTCAGATAAATAAGATTGATTATTACTTTAAAATAACAATAGTAAATTGTAGAAGTATTGATATTTTATCTTTATTCTCTAGGGTAGAGAAGGAGAAACAAAAAATCCAAGCAGAGTTATTCGAATTGTTGGCTCAAGTGGAAAGTGCTCACAAAGAGAAGGTAAGGAGCAAATGAAATATACAAACAACGATTGTTAACATTAGAAACGCTGGTACACACCAGGAAAATAATTTCGAATAAATGTATACAATTAATATACAGTAGAGCGTCGATTATCCGAAAGAATTCCAGTCGGCAAATTTAAATTTTCGCTGGTGCTGCGGCGCTGCAATCTTTGGCTATATCTTGGGCTACTCAAATATTTTACGTTTTTGATACTAAATTAACTTCTGAAGTATAATTTTTTATTGTTTTTATACCCAAAAGATGTTAGAAACATTAATTTTTAAAAAAGAAATTATCAAGGCCACAGGCCAGATATGAAGCCTTAATGGTAATGGGCTGTATCAGGCCTGCAGGCCACCAGTTTGCAACCCCTGATTTAAAAGAATAAGAACAACTGAGATCCTGAAAGCTGTGAAGTTCAACTTGAACAACATTGAGTAAGAATGACTTTGTCAAGGACTTCAGAAACAGCATCATAATGTCAAGCTTGACTTGAGCAAAATAGATTGATAATGACTGTAGGGCTGCAGAAACTTCAATCATCAAAACAATATTAAAGTGTCTATTAATAAAGGAAGACAAGTGAGAAAATCTTTTAAAAGACAATAGAGTGTTTACTCGGAATATAGTGTATAAAGAAATTTTTATAAAGCGTTTATTATTTTAATATTAAGGCCTAAGTCTGTCTAAATCAGTGTTTCCCAAACTTTTTTAGGCCATGCCCCACTTTAACATTTCTAAAATCATCATGTCCCCCCATAGATAATTTTAGTTATAAAATTTATTTTTGTTTTTTTTAGTAATATGAATGATAATTTTAAAGCNATTACATTTTAATAAAATATAAAATTCATCTGGATACGAGTCCAAGTTTACTTGCCATGTCTGATCACCAGGAACAACTATTTCCATTGCAGAGACAACCTTTCTTTAGAGGCTATGCCTCTGCACAGATATGTAAAACAGTTTAAAATGTCCACAGGTGACAATCCCAACACAATTAAAAATATAATATTTGTTTGTAGAAATGGACTGGCAGACAATGGGCTACAAACAAATATTATATTTTTAATTGTGTTGGGATTGTCACCTGTGGACATTTTAAACTGTTTTACATATCTGTGCAGAGGCATAGCCTCTAAAGAAAGGTTGTCTCTGCAATGGAAATAGTTGTTCCTGGTGATCAGACATGGCAAGTAAACTTGGACTCGTATCCAGATGAATTTTATGTTTTATTAAATTATTATTATTATTATTATTATTGAGGATAGGGGCGAGTTTTAAAATATTAAATACCAATAACAAGTAAAATTTTTAAGTCTTACCCCCACTCGAGATATGCTCCTAGCTCCTCTATTTCCAAAATATAATAGCATCAATGTCACTTATATATAGAAATACTCTTGCCATATTTCAAACTTTAACAGCCAGGAAAGTACTGTAATATTTTTATAAAATACGCAAGCAATTCGTAATATACTCAAAGAAAAAAGAACGATTAAATTATTACAGAATTTAAAAGATTTTACTTAATTTTTCTTAATTACAAAACAAATAAAAATAAAATAAAATTCCTGTTTTTCTAGTTGACTGCTCACAAGACGGTAGAGAAGTTGGAAATAACAATCCACGAATTGAATGTGAGAATTGAAGAACTGAGTCGCACTGTAACCGAAGTGACCGCTCAGAGAGCTCGCTTCAGTTCCGAAAATATCGAATTATCCAAGGAAGTTCAGGAATACAAAATATCGTTAGAGAACGTCAATCATCTGAAGGGTCAACTGGCTAGCCAACTGGAGGAATCACGACGAAGATTAGAAGATGAAGAACGAGTGCGTATATTTTAATCGAGTAGAACAATTACCAAACATCATTTATCATAATCTTACAATATTTATGTATTATATAGAGAAGAGTTAGCGTGGAACAACAGGTGCACACACTCGAAATGGAACTGGAATCCATCAAGGTGCAGTTAGAAGAAGAATCTGAAATCAGGCTCGATACAGAACGTCAGCTAAGCAAAGTCACTGGTGATGCTTCGACTTGGAAATCTAAGTATGAAACAGAATGCATGGCACACGCAGACGAAGTAGAAGAACTCAGGTAAGATGGTGTGTCTTATATTCCTGAAATTACATAAATGAAGGAGACTGCAATCGAATAATCCATTGCAGACGAAAGATGACCCAGAGATTCACAGAATACGAAGAACAGTTAGAATCCCTCCTCAACAAATGCAGCAACTTAGAGAAGCAGAAATCTCGTCTCCAGAGCGAAGTGGAAGTTCTTATCATGGATTTAGAAAAGGTAAAGTGTTGTAAAACGTTAATTTTTTAATGATTTTCAAAAACGTATATAAATATACTACAGAGCGAGTCAAAAGTCTCCATACGAAACCTGGCTATCTGAAGGAATACATTCGTGATACGTGCAATTCGATAACATCAAACGTGTTAATGCATAATTACCATAAGTGGGAGGAATGCATGCAGGTGTGCATTTGGTTAAATGGCATCACAGAATATATTTTGTCATTGACAAGCTCCCGTGTAACAATGTGAGCCACATACATAAATATGGACACTTTTGAATCACTCTGTATTTCGAAAGTATGCTTTATATTTACTTTAACGTTTATGTTTTTGTTGAAAAATTCAAATAAAATTTAAAATTCGTCTAAAAGTTCAGACTGCTTCAATATAATCAGAAATTATTTCATAAATTAAGAATTTAGTGTTGTTCAGATACAACACAATACTTTTTCAATCTGTAGCCCTTCATCCTGCAAAATAATACTTAAATAATCGCTACAAAACAATAGTTTATATCATATGAATTGAATGCCAATATTTAAAATATAATTTATACAGGTCGTAGGCAAACCTTGCGATATAGGCCTCAAAAAAATTAATTTTATTATTATATTTTCCACTAGACCTTCTCGGAGAAGCTGCGAAATTTACTAAGTTGACACTGTTCGTTATACATTTAAAATTTTATTTATTTACATATTAATTCATAAACCGATTTAAGGGCCCGTCAATCTAGACCGAGAAAAACAAGCAAATCGCCCAAGTTCAACCTTTATATTTACAATGAAAATATAAGTTAAAATATACCTCATTGAAAATATGTTAACAATTTAAAATAGCCAATGACTGCTCGGTTTCGTTGTTTAATAAGGGAAATGTAAATTCATTAACAGAAATTTTAAAACAATAAATTTGCCCCTTATTTATATTTTTCAATATACTTATTTTGTTTGTACGAATAAAAAAATAATTTTTAACGATACAATAGTCTTCGTTAGGCTTAACATCGACGAAAATTCAACACGAAGCGACGCGCAACGGAGAAAAATTTCAACATGGGATAAATTAATATATTTTTTCGTGCATAATCGGTTATCCGAAACACCGATCTTCCGAACAACCCCAATCCTTAATTGGTTCGGATAATCGACGCTCTACTGTAATTCAAATTTGACATTTGGCATGACGGAATATTGTCAAGCAGTACTTAATTCAGTCGCGATAACTCGAGAACCTTTGGTTTCAGAATAATCTAATTTTCAATTTTAATTCCATAAAATATCCTATAAAAGCTGGCTATTGCACGACTTTCCTGGCACTCGAGCGGGAGGATAAGGGGACCAAGAAGGAAATCCGATAGTTTTCAATTACACTAAGATATAAAATTTAAATAATAATAATAATAATAAAAGCTTAAAAGGAATAATTTTGTTGATTTATGAGAAATTTCTCTATTTTATAGAAGGGAATATTTAAGTTGAATGGATTATTTTTAGGGGGATACGCTNATATAAAATTCATCTGGATACGAGTCCAAGTTTACTTGCCATGTCTGATCACCAGGAACAACTATTTCCATTGCAGAGACAACCTTTCTTTAGAGGCTATGCCTCTGCACAGATATGTAAAACAGTTTAAAATGTCCACAGGTGACAATCCCAACACAATTAAAAATATAATATTTGTTTGTAGAAATGGACTGGCAGACAATGGGCTACAAACAAATATTATATTTTTAATTGTGTTGGGATTGTCACCTGTGGACATTTTAAACTGTTTTACATATCTGTGCAGAGGCATAGCCTCTAAAGAAAGGTTGTCTCTGCAATGGAAATAGTTGTTCCTGGTGATCAGACATGGCAAGTAAACTTGGACTCGTATCCAGATGAATTTTATGTTTTATTAAATTATTATTATTATTATTATTATTGAGGATAGGGGCGAGTTTTAAAATATTAAATACCAATAACAAGTAAAATTTTTAAGTCTTACCCCCACTCGAGATATGCTCCTAGCTCCTCTATTTCCAAAATATAATAGCATCAATGTCACTTATATATAGAAATACTCTTGCCATATTTCAAACTTTAACAGCCAGGAAAGTACTGTAATATTTTTATAAAATACGCAAGCAATTCGTAATATACTCAAAGAAAAAAGAACGATTAAATTATTACAGAATTTAAAAGATTTTACTTAATTTTTCTTAATTACAAAACAAATAAAAATAAAATAAAATTCCTGTTTTTCTAGTTGACTGCTCACAAGACGGTAGAGAAGTTGGAAATAACAATCCACGAATTGAATGTGAGAATTGAAGAACTGAGTCGCACTGTAACCGAAGTGACCGCTCAGAGAGCTCGCTTCAGTTCCGAAAATATCGAATTATCCAAGGAAGTTCAGGAATACAAAATATCGTTAGAGAACGTCAATCATCTGAAGGGTCAACTGGCTAGCCAACTGGAGGAATCACGACGAAGATTAGAAGATGAAGAACGAGTGCGTATATTTTAATCGAGTAGAACAATTACCAAACATCATTTATCATAATCTTACAATATTTATGTATTATATAGAGAAGAGTTAGCGTGGAACAACAGGTGCACACACTCGAAATGGAACTGGAATCCATCAAGGTGCAGTTAGAAGAAGAATCTGAAATCAGGCTCGATACAGAACGTCAGCTAAGCAAAGTCACTGGTGATGCTTCGACTTGGAAATCTAAGTACGAAACAGAATGCATGGCACACGCAGACGAAGTAGAAGAACTCAGGTAAGATGGTGTGTCTTATATTCCTGAAATTACATAAATGAAGGAGACTGCAATCGAATAAGCCATTGCAGACGAAAGATGACCCAGAGATTCACAGAATACGAAGAACAGTTAGAATCCCTCCTCAACAAATGCAGCAACTTAGAGAAGCAGAAATCTCGTCTCCAGAGCGAAGTGGAAGTTCTTATCATGGATTTAGAAAAGGTAAAGTGTTGTAAAACGTTAATTTTTTAATGATTTTCAAAAACGTATATAAATATACTACAGAGCGAGTCAAAAGTCTCCATACGAAACCTGGCTATCTGAAGGAATACATTCGTGATACGTGCAATTCGATAACATCAAACGTGTTAATGCATAATTACCATAAGTGGGAGGAATGCATGCAGGTGTGCATTTGGTTAAATGGCATCACAGAATATATTTTGTCATTGACAAGCTCCCGTGTAACAATGTGAGCCACATACATAAATATGGACACTTTTGAATCACTCTGTATTTCGAAAGTATGCTTTATATTTACTTTAACGTTTATGTTTTTGTTGAAAAATTCAAATAAAATTTAAAATTCGTCTAAAAGTTCAGACTGCTTCAATATAATCAGAAATTATTTCATAAATTAAGAATTTAGTGTTGTTCAGATACAACACAATACTTTTTCAATCTGTAGCCCTTCATCCTGCAAAATAATACTTAAATAATCGCTACAAAACAATAGTTTGTATCATATGAATTGAATGCCAATATTTAAAATATAATTTATACAGGTCGTACGCAAACCTTGCGATATAGGCCTCAAAAAAATTAATTTTATTATTATATTTTCCACTAGACCTTCTCGGAGAAGCTGCGAAATTTACTAAGTTGACACTGTTCGTTATACATTTAAAATTTTATTTATTTACATATTAATTCATAAACCGATTTAAGGGCCCGTCAATCTAGACCGAGAAAAACAAGCAAATCGCCCAAGTTCAACCTTTATATTTACAATGAAAATATAAGTTAAAATATACCTCATTGAAAATATGTTAACAATTTAAAATAGCCAATGACTGCTCGGTTTCGTTGTTTAATAAGGGAAATGTAAATTCATTAACAGAAATTTTAAAACAATAAATTTGCCCCTTAAAATGACAATATTTGAATTTATATATTTGTATAATACTTTGCTGTACTTCGGTAAACCATAAAGTTTATTATTTAAATTTTTTTTTATATAGTATAATTTGTGAAAATAACCCATATAAAATACGAAATACAATATAGAAAAATTAAATATGAAGCAGTAATCAAATATCGAAAAAAAAAAATCTCTAGAAAAAATAAAGTTCATTTCCGCTTCTTTAATGCTGTGTCGCCATCTGCCGTTCAATAATTGAAATAATTTGTTAATTGTTTCGGGATGCGCCGTACAGCCGTTCTTTTTCTGCTGCTCTTTGGCACTCCCCAATAATTTGATAATTAAATTTGTTTTTAAAAATAAAAACGCTATTCAAAAACTCTACTAGTCAAAATTACTGGCGGTTCCTGATTCGCTGTATTATTTAAAAAAAAAAAAACTTTTTAAATTATTACCAAAAATTTTTTTCTAGTCTTGGCACGAGGTGGCGCTAAGTGTCCAGTTCACACTGTCGCGCCATCTACGATTTAAATTTTAAACTAATTCATAAAATAAAATTGTGTTTCGTTAAGTTACTTTTCTCGTCACTTGCTAAATCGTAATATTGCATTCTTCAATTAATTCTAGTCAATTTTAAACGGTGTACGAAATTTAACAAAATACAGTCCGATTTCATGAATTAACTCGAACTTTATGTATATTTAGTTTAAAATTTAAGCCACAGATGGCGCGACAGTAGTCTACGAGAGGCGCCTCGATAGTTAGCGCCACCTGGCGCCGAGGCTATGAAGCATTCATGTAACTTCGGCTAATTATAGAAGCGGTGTTATTTTTTTTTTGTTCAGAACCAACGGAGCAGGGAGGGCAACTCCCGAAATAAATGTCAGTGTCAAGCTTCATCCATCCGTTAAAGTAAACATTTCAGTCATTTTCCGTTAATTCTGTTGTGCTAAGTAGAATTTGTCATTGGATATTTAGTTTCCAAATGTCGGTTACACGCTACAGATATTTAACCGTAATACCAAAATATCAGTTAGGGCAACATTGCGTCCTACTTAAGTCCAGCGCAGCATTAATTAATTTCGGAGCCAAGAATGGTGGCAAGATAATCTGGAGTGCCGCGCGTGATCTCTTCCGGATGCAATTAAACTCGATCGGGCCATTTTGAAAGTAGAATATAGGACCCGATCCAAACCCGATTGGGGACTTATCCCATTTCCCCAAACCATCCTCGATAGCACCGTCTAAGATAAGTGAGGTCTGGCTTTTATCCAGTCATTCGGAGAAGACAGGTCGAATAGTTTTGGCAGGTCGGGCGAATGTTATAGAGAAAAGAAAGAAAGTCATTTTGCTAGACTCGTAAAACTTCTCCGAAGCGAATTAAAAAAGATTTAAAAATTGCCTTTTAAGTAAATTAGATACAAAAAAAAACTTTACTGATTTTTTATGCCTTAAAAATCATCAAAAAACCAATTCGAGCTCGCTACAATCAAATAATAATATCTAAAATCCAGAATCAGAAGACTCGTGGACCCTACATAAAGTATTTAAAAGTCTTGCACACACACAAAACGTCACGCAAACGCTCGTCTTTATAATTTTGCGATGATAACAGAAAACTAGTTTTAAAGATTTAAAAAAAAAAGTGGGCCTTTTAACTTTCGGGCCTTAAGGAGCCTTACTTTGCATAATGGTTAATTCGGTTACGTTAGAGTCGTATTTTAGAATAATTGCTTAAAGTGGACGAAGTGTTGTTTCAATACTACCGTTGTTTCTATTCCCCAAATGTATTGCCCTCTTAGCGCTGTCACGAGGTAAGAGCCAAAATTAAAAGCTCTTAAATAAAATACACCATTTTGCATTGGAATTTAGGAATATGTATAATAAATATTTCAGTTTTGTGCAGAAATATCAAAAATATTTTACTTACGTAAATTTATTCTCGCAGTTTAGACTTTTCGGTAATACTCGATTCTGCTGCACGGATCTAGATAAAAGAGATTATTATTAATTAATTTGAAGATAAATATATAATAAAAAGTAAAATTAATTTTAAATATATCCCAAAATGTTAGGTTTGATTTTTTTTCCATATTTAATAAAAAGATTAGAAAGTCTTTAAATTGTAAATCCCAAAGTCATATGTGTAATTTGAACGATTCGGTGTTAATTTAAATATCACTTACACGAATTTCGATCGAAGTAACCGTAGATATGAGTAAACAAATTTGGCCTTGTAATCTTCAAAGAGAGACCTCTAAATCCCTTTCAAGGTGAACATCCAACAAAAATAAAGAAGTTGAAACTTTAAACTCGCGATTTCCAGTATTTTTGGCAACAAAGTCATCATCATCAACCCCTTCGGCAGATTTTGCAAATATCCACTCAAAACAGTATCCGACATTCTAAATTTAAATAAAATTGTTCCAAAAATTCGCCACTCCCGCTACTTTCGAAGTAACCGAGTCCGAGTCTGGAACATTTTTTTTAATCGAAAGTCGAAATTTCGTGTTTGGTCCACTTTTACTTCGTTTAAATTTAAGGCAAACTTATCAGATGGACGAAACCAACCGGATGAATCCATAAAATATAGCCAAATACGTCACACCGTGCTGACGAGACGGGAATACTTGCCAGCAAAACCTAGTTTGTATTTTGGTGATTGATGTCAACGCCCTTTGCTGCAGACGAATTTATTATCAGACGTTTTAATTTTCTTTTCTTTTCTTTAAAGAGGGCACAGAGTACGTCTGCTGTCACGTCAATTCATCTTTCTCCACTCTGATCTATTTTTCTTTGTTTTTTTTCTTCTTTGCTGCAGGCTACGACTCACGCTCAAACCTTGGAGAAACGATGCATCCAGGTAGAGAAGATAAACAACGACCTGAAGGTGAGAGTCGAGGAACTGGTCGTTCTGTTGGAACAGGCACAGAGGGATGCCCGAAACCGTGCGGCCGAGTTGCAGAAATTACAGCACGAGTACGACAAATTAAAGGAACAGAGAGACCATTTGGCTCGTGATAACAAGAAGCTTACCGGTAATAATCTTTTCTGGTGAATTCTTACCTCTAGAATTCTGCCAAATCACGCTCGGGTTTTCAGTCGTTGGCGTCTTTATATATATTCCGTCACTTTTCGATAAGCACTCAATGTCAAAACCCGGTTTAAGGTCGTTCAGATCGGTTTTCCCCTGCTTCAGCATTTCGAATCTCACGTTGGCGTTTAGAAACGAGAGCATTTTCGTATTCGAACAAACACGGGTAATTGTTACCAAGGTCGCCCCACGACTATTGGCTGTTTCCCACCCCTTCGTAAAAAAAAAAGAAAAAAACACACAAAACGCAACAAAGGTCCCGTGACTAAAAAGAAAGCAGATGCTGCAGTTAGCGGCATCTAAAAATATCCGAATAAAGGGAAAGATGGAGAGATAAAGCTCCTCCGAAAAGTTGCGATGACGTCAACGGATGCAAAAATCGGAATTATGGTGGCTCCGCCGTCATTAAGGCGCAGATTATTGGTGCGAAATGGCTGAGGTGGAAGGTCGTTCGCCTATCTCAAAATAGGCACCCGAAATCCGCCCAAAATACCGTTTCCGGGAGAGACCGGGTTGCGTGCTCTTTCCTGATTGGCTGCGGCTGCTTCATTATAATGAGGTCGTCCGTGCTGGTCGAGGAAACGCGGTCGGTCTCCGTCGGCAACGATGGTTGTCACAGAGAGAGAACCTTCGCCGCAGCAGGGACCTTCTCCGAGTCTCAGCGATAGGAACGTGAAGGAAGGAATCGATAATGGCCTGTCGCCCGTCCCTCCTAGTCATTCGTCGGCGGAAGACAGGGCGTCGTCGGGATTAGGAAGCTGCACGGACCAGGAATTGTCAGATTGTCCCGTCACTCCCCAAACGCCTCCGGCTTTTCTCACCTTTCTTCAGCCTTTCCCTTCCGAATGCGAGACGCCCCCCGCTACTACGCCTTTTCCGGAACGCCTGGAGTCTAGAGAAGAGGAGGTCGAGGGATTGACGGAAGAGGATGGCGCAGCGCGTCAGTCTGTACAAGAAGATAATTCCGAGGAACAGAAAGGTGAGGGCTCTATCACCTGTCCGGAGGAGGAAAGTGAAAATGAGCGCCTCGAAAAGGGGGGAGACGAATGTGACGTGGAAACCGATTCGTCAACCATCTTAGCCGAAAGGGAAGAGAGCAAATTAACCGGAGAAAACGTAACGGAGAGAAGTGAAAGTGAGAAAAACACGGAAGAAATACCCGTAGGAGAATGTAGCGAAAGTTTAATTGAAAAAGAATCTTACCTGGATAAACCGGAATCTGAAGAATGTGTAGAAGAAGAAAAGGAAGAAGAATGCGTAGAACCTTTACAAAGTACAGAAACTGTAGTAGAAAAAACAGAAGAATGCGTAGAATCAGTACAAAATGCAGAAACTGTATTAGAAGAAACGGAACTAACAAATACCTGTGTACAGTCGATCGTGGACGAAAACAGTACAAAGGAAAGCTGGGAGGAAAATATTGTAATAGAGACGGTGAAGGAAAGTGTGGTGAAAGAGTCGGTGGAAGAAAATATAATAAAACAGACGGTAGAAGAAAGTGCCGCGAAACAAACGGCGGAGGAAAGTGTGGTAAAAGAAAAGGTGGAGGAAATTTCTGTAAATCAGTTGTGGAGTCTTTGGTCGAGCAGCGCGCCTAAAGTAGAAGAGAAACAGGAGGAAGAAGAGAAACAAGACGAATCTCCATCTGCTGGTCAGAGCGGAGATGAAACACGAGAAGGAAACGAAAAGGAGAGCCAAGAACAACCGGAAGTCGTACAACAAAAGTCTATCGAGGGTGAGATTTTCTAATTTTAAAGTAAGCGATCGTTTCCTTAAGAACTATTTCTAATTATTGCTACGTTAATCGATAAAACTCGATTTTACATTATTACTTATTCGTAAAAAAATATCGTTTTTCGGTCGCTGTTTTGAACGAACCGACTCGTAAGAACGAGTAAAAAGTATTTTTGTTCTTTTAATTTTTTTATTACGACATTACCGTAGAGTAAATATTTAGGCTAAACAATGAAAAAAGAGAAGTTTGTAGTGAAAATGCTTACGTAACACACTTCTGCGGAGTTTCGGTTTCTTGCTGCGAACAATACCTCGTTAACTGCCAAATCTTGGCAGAGATGCACCTGCTGCATCTGCTGATGGGGAAAACATTACGATAATTTTAACTGCCTTTCAGCGCAATTGTAAAAATAATTAATTACAATTTAGTAACATTCTACAAAAAAAAATAATAATACAATTGAAACCGAAGAATACAAACCCTCTTAACAAGTAATTAATGAGTTGATCGAATAAATTCTCTCGCACGAGGTCGAGAACTTGGTAACACGCGTTGCCCGTGTGAAAATTTCCATTCTTGCCATTTAAAATTCACTACAAATGGTTTCCATCAAAAATCCATGAAGCCTTCAAGTGACCGAGTAGATAAACCCACTGAACAGTCAGTAATCGTGGATTCACGCCAATGGTTGGGTTTTCTTCACGTTGGTGACACTTAAAGTCCTCTAGGGAGGCATCGCCCTATACAAATAAAACACGAAAGAAGGGAATCCATCAATTGATATTCCCGTTTTAATTTCAGATGACTTAAACGATGCCAGGATGAAGCTGAGCGATGCCGAGAGACGAATGCATGAGATGGAAGTCGAGATTAAGAGATTAGAAAACGAGCGAGAAGAACTGAGCTCTGCCTATAGAGAAGCTGAGGCATTGAGGAAACAGGAGGAAGCCAAAGCAATGAGACTGACCGCCGAATTGACTCAAGTTCGTCACGAATACGAAAAGAGGATCATCGCCAAGGAGGAGGAAATCGAATCGTTGAGGTTAATGTTAATTCTTTTTTTTTCCTAATACTAAACGGGTTTCCAAACGGGAATCTAATGCTTCGAATTCGATGGCAGGAAGCAAATGCAAATCGAAATCGAGCAGCTGAGCCAGAGAGTTGCCGAAGCCGAAGCTAAAGTGAAGACCGAGGTTGCGCGCATCAAGAAGAAAATGCAAGTGCAGATCACCGAATTAGAAATGTCGTTAGACGTGGCTAACAAACAGAACATCGACTTGCAAAAGACCATTAAGAAGCAATCTCTGCAAATCACGGTAGGATTTCATCGGTGCGATTCCTGAAAGGTTCTATGCCGGGATCGATTTTTTATTCAATTCGTCTGTAAATTTCAGGAACTGCAAGCTCACTACGACGAGATCCACAGACAGTTGCAACAAACTGTCGATCAGTTGGGAGTATCTCAGAGACGTTGCCAAGCTCTTCAAGCCGAACTTGAAGAGACTCGCGTCAATTTGGAGCAGGTAATGAATTTTTGGCATTTACGGCCTTTCAAATTTCGGAAACTTTTTTATTAATGGATGTCCCCCTTCGCAGGCTCTTCGTGCCAGACGCATGGCGGAACAACAAATAGAAGAGGTCACCAGTCGCATCAACGAACTGACTACAATCAACGTTAATTTGACCTCGGCTAAGAGCAAACTCGAAGCCGAATTTATGAGTTTGCAGTCCGATTACGAAGAGATCAACAAGGAATTGAGAGTAAATACCTTTTATTCGTCAATTTTTCACCAATATCCGGATACGACTTGCATTTCTATTTACGTTTTCGTGTTTTAGATTTCAGACGAGCGCTACAACAGAGTCCAGATTGAACTGAAGAGTACCAAAGACGTGCTTATCGAAGAACAAGAACGATTGGTTAAGATCGAACAGATCAAGAAATCCTTGGAAATGGAAGTGCACAACTTGACAGTCCGCATTGAGGAGGTCGAAGCTAACGCTCTGGCAGGAGGAAAGAGAGTAGTTTCAAAACTAGAAAGCAGGGTAAGCCGTCACTTTCTTCTTCTCTCTCTCTCTCTTTCTTCGTTCGGTATCCAGTAAAATTTCATTCGAGAACGTACTTTTAGATCCGAGATATCGAAATCGAGTTGGAAGAGGAGAAGAGACGCCACGTTGAAACCCAGAAAGTATTACGAAAGAAGGAATACCGAATCAAAGAACTGATCGTCCAAGCAGAAGAGGACCACCAGGCCATCACCGTTCTGAACGATTCCGTCGACAAACTGAGTGAGAAATGCAAAATGTACAAACGACAACTGGTAGAACAGGTAAGTGCGCTTCCTCAAAGGCCGTAATAACGCTTCCTTCCGAAAATCGTCCAATAATATTTCCACTTCTTTCGCTTTCAGGAAGGAATGTCGCAACAGAACTTGACTCGCGTGCGTAGATTCCAAAGAGAACTGGAAGCTGCCGAAGAGCGCGCGGATCAGGCCGAAAGCAACTTATCTTTGATCCGTGCCAAGCACAGGTCCTGGGTAACGACGAGCCAGATTCCAGGAGGATTGAAGCAGGTGATCGTGACGGAAGAGACATCGTCCACCACATCCCAATATTAGACTTTACCAATTACGATTTAGTTGATTTTTTTCATCACCCGAGTCCGAAATTAACGAAATGACCTTACCTCGAAGCCCGGGTTATCGCCGCCAGACAATAGAGTAACCGAATTAGGGACCAAAAAAAGAGTCCCTAATTCCCCACCATAGTTTTGTCAAGAGTTCCCGTCTGGAAGAAATAAAGTCGCCCTCCCGTTAAAGCGTTGTGTCGATCTTGTTCCTCACACACAAATAAAATAAATAATATACAGGACAGACGAAAAGTTGATGTGTAAATTCGTGCTGTCTACTCTCCATTACTTTACCCAACTACGAAGAATGGTAACTCAGCCAACACTCGAAACCTAGAAATAGTTTCGTGATTTTGCTGAATTTATACGAGAAGTTTAAGTTTCAAAAAAAAAAAAAATTGTTTAACGAAATGTACTGAATAAATATTAATTACTATAATAAGTCCATGTCATTATCAGATTTCATTTTAGAAAATCCAACGATTTCCGGCATTTTAAAACACTGAAAAAAGTAATAAAAATAAAGTAAAATTTAGTATTGATTATAAAGGGCGGGCCGAAACTAAGTTAACAATTCCAACTGGTTAACTGATTTTTGGGCTAACCTGTTAACGATTTTCTTTCTTTCGCTTAATACTTATAATACACGAAATTTAATTTTAAATTTTGGCGGTTATAATAAAATTTCGAAACGATTTAATGATAGTAATTTTTCATGCAAATACATTACTATTCTATACGTCTTCATGCTACAGTATATTATTAATTTATTAAAGATTAAACTATAAAAATATACAATTAAAGTCTTTAGCGTAATGTTTGTACTTACGAGATATTTAGATTAAAATGTCTTCGTTGGTGAATTTATCCTTCAAATACTTCAATTAATTATTAAACAATTATAAATCTACAATATAAAAATTTTACCCGAATATTTTAATTTAACACCAAGAAATTTTATAATCGATCTTCCAGTTGTGGAGTCTTTGGTCGAGCAGCGCGCCTAAAGTAGAAGAGAAACAGGAGGAAGAAGAGAAACAAGACGAATCTCCATCTGCTGGTCAGAGCGNCATAACAAGCTTTAAGAACTAAACTAGAATTGCTCGCGATGATAATGATGATGATTAACAAATGATTATAGAAATAAATACATTAACTATAATCATAAAATTCCGATATTCAGTATTTTCTTATAGATGAAATTTTAATTTTTTCTGATTGTAAATTATTAAATAAAAGTGGCGAGATGGAATTAGGCAACGGAACACGTGGTTGTTCTACTTCAGGGAGGGCTTTCAACGGGAAACTGTACCCCATTCAGGTTTTAGAAAGGTGAAGAAAACTCGGGAAACTCACGTGTCTAGTGTCACGGTCAGGCGTAAACCCGCGACTAACTACAAGTGTTCAACGGTTGTAAATTAATCTATAAACTTTTCTGCCTTTCGGTATTAATTCAAATGTATTAATATTAAAGGGAACACTTGAAATTTACAAATTACAGTTCGAAACTTGGCACAAGATACAATTCAGTAAATAGGCTACTGTGTATTCTTAGTTACACTGGAAAATAGTGATTTTATTAAAATTCGTCATGGAATGTGTGAACATATATATCCACATTAAAAATTATGAGATAACCTCTAAATATCTCTCAAGAAGAATGAATAAAATAAATTTTCCAATGCGTCTACTATGAACCTCCTACAAGCGAGGAATGAATATTTTTACTGAAAATTAAATTTCGTTTCGTTTTCATCCGTAAATCTACTGTACAGAATTTTTCACGTTTCAATGCAGTAACTTCTCGATTTGCATATTGGAAGCAGCATTTTAGGGGTCTGTCACTATCTTAATACATTACGTATTAGTGCAATATACAATACGCGCCGGTTGTAAATATTGCTTCAAGAATTATTGAAAGTGTTCAATAAGGCTTTCATAGTGTTGTATGCCAGAAGTGGAACAGTAAATTCGGAAAGCCGCAATTCATTTCAGATTGCTCTCGTAAGGCCTCTTTTGCGTAAGTGTACGCATCCAATTTTCAACGTTAATATTTCGCCTATCCTCGACTCAATTTGAATATCGCTTGGATGTAACTGTTGTCATGTTGCCACCTAACTAATTTTGATTGAAAACTAAATTTTTTGGGGGGTCTGAAATAGGTATCTTGTTGCTAACGTAATCGTAAATTCATTTCGAGTGTGAAAAGAGAATAAATTGACAATAAATTCAAAATACTTCTCTAAATATTCGTGTGTTCTGAAAGTAGAGATCTCAGATAACTCTATTTTACTTAAATATTCTATATATATAAGGTATTGGGAGCTAGAATATATCTTATATATTCTAGCTCTCGATCAATCCTTTCTACTGTTCATGTTTTCTTTATTCCTATAAACACATGATATATTATTTTCACGGTGAAGTAATAACTTACCTCATTCTTTTGTTGAGGAAACTGCTGCCAATTTTTCTGTTTTCGCACATTTAAGTGTAGGCTATATACAATTTCGACAACTACGATCTTCCACATTTTACGCTGTAGAGTAAACCGCATTGAATAGGTTTTATGTTTCACTGTAAATACAAAAACAATGCAGATGAGTTATGTGTTTTTAAAACGTCGTTACAAAACAAAGACTTACGTGTTCTATATACGATATCGAGTAAACTAATAGGCTACTTCCTCCGAAAATTTTTTTCTGTCGTTTTAGTCAGATTTTACTGTATTATGAATAGAGCAAGTTCCTAATTAGTATATTAGGAACTTGCGTTAGTAAATAATAATATAAATACAAGTAACAGTAATTATTGGGTACAAATTTCTATAAACTTGGACCTTGAAAAGCTTAAAACAGGCCTATGAATTAAAACCAGTCAGCCTTTCAATCTCCGAATTTTTTTTTTTTTTTTTTTTTTTGTAAGGCTTCAGGTCATCGTCTAAAATTCAAATTACGTTCGATGATTGTGCCAATATTAATTCGTTTTCCTTTGTTCCTAGCGGTGAATGCACCGGTTTTTCAATTTTAGCTTCATCTCCTCCCACTGTCTCGTTGTCTTCATTTTAAATCCGTTCCAGATCTCGCAGTTCATCAACTCGGTTGATTTTTTTGGGGGTTTCGTTTTGGAGAATTACTCGCCTACCAAGCGCTTAGCGACTTCGTAACGCGTCACACTTTAACGCTAGACGAAGGAATTTCCTTTGTCTTTCATACATTCAATTAAGATTAAAAAGATAACGTTAAGTGATCGTTATTATATTACAAAAGAAAAACTCTTACGTTAACTGAAGTCTTGGTAGAAATCGCGTTATTCAAGATGGCGCATGACAGTGGATAATTGTATAAAATTATATTTAAGAAGATGGGAAAACCTGCAACAGAATTTAATAACAGAACTTCAATAATAAATTGATTTATTCTTACTTGTTTTTCTCTAATTAGATTGACGAATTTCATTAAAATTTCATTTTTTATGAATGAAGTGATCCTAGCAAAGTATATTGTATACGTAAATAATACTGTGTTACGATATTTTATTATTTAAAAAAATGTTTATATTATTAAATATAAAATGGAAAAAAAGCTTAATTTTGAGAGCAGGGACGGGTTTCATAAAAAATTGTAAACGCTAATAACGAGTAAAATCGTCATTAAGTACGATCCTACTAGAGATACACACGAACCCCTTTATCTCCACACCCCCTCGACCTTTAACCACTAAAATTTAACAGCATCGATCTCCCTAATAAACAAGCCTCTCTGCAAAATTTCAGAAAATTTCGACATAAAGCGCAAGAGTTATTAAGCTTCAAACAGGGTAAACAAAATGCCACACACACACTAACACCCATAGATACAGAAAAAAAGAAAAACCCGAAATTTTTGCATTTCTCGGTGCTTCAATCTTCCCCGAGTCCAAAAATGTAAAAATCCTGGAGGGCGGTCATTTTTTGACCGATCGCCATACTTTCCCTTCAGAGCAGGGAAAGTAACACGTGAAGACTTCCAAATAGAGCTTTAAATAGAATTAGAGGAACCGTCTCGTCGTAGGCGAACTGTAATTTCTTCAGTGAAACGAGTATTAAAATATCTTTGTTTTATAAAATTTAATTATTCGAAAAGAAGGGGAAGAGAAAATATATCCCAGGAGGACCGAACGGCTCCTTCCTGTGGATGCTCTAGCTACTATATTCTTATATATTTCGATTATTTAATTGTTTATTATTATTATATCTGACGTATACTTAGAAATGATTCATAAATAGCTAACGAGTTAAAAACAGTCATTTAGTAAACTTTAAGAAACTACTTACCGTCAATATACACAGAAACTCGGCCAAAACTTCACCACTGTACTCAGAAATATTGAAATTTTTAAAATATAACTCCGTAGAAACCTGAAAAAGACGATTCGGTTTAAATTGAGAATAAAGAAAAAATTGTAATAAACAATTTCGAATTATTATAAATTCATTTTTAAATCAAACTTGTCATAATTTTTGCTATGTTACAGGGTTTATGTTATTGTGAAGTTGAGTCGGAGGTAAAGAAAACATTCGGCGCATTTCTAAAATTGTATCGTTATATAATTTTATTTATACGTCTGCTCCCTCGTAATAAATCTTAATTCGTTATATTTTTAAAATAATTTATGTAACATTCTTTGTTTTCTCGCATCAAGCAATGTATCGAATGGATAATTTGGATTTATTATTGATTTATAACGAAAATATACGAATGATTTTGTAAATTGTTTTTACCAACGACAATTAGAAATAACTCCTGTATAATGGGAAGAAGAAATAAAAATAAAGACATCAAACTGACTGACAAAGATGAGAACAATTGGATCAATTTAGTCTAAAATAGAGAAGGCTGGAGAGTAGCTGTCATGGCGGTTAAAGACCCTTGTGGCTCCCAAGTGGCTCAAGTAGTTGTACTAATTTTATGCGAAAGTTTATAAGCTTTATATTTAAATCATAAACTCTGTTTATTCCCCATAAAATGAGGTTTTTTTCAAGATTTTTCCATAAAAATTAACGGTTTAAAGGTGAACAGAACTATATTTCATAATCAATATCATTATGGAATGTTAATATTAAGTTTCAGTTTGTACTCACGACTAATAATAATACTTTAAAAAATTATCTGGCATGAAAAATTCTATATATATACATACAGAACCACGAATAAAACGTCAACAAATATTGCATATGCAACAAGTCATTGTAAAATGAATAATCGTTTCTAGCACCGGAGTAATGACATATAAACTTTACTATAGTTTCTACACTTGATCTACAAGACTCTTCAGAAGGTAGCAATTTAACATTTGCTGTATTGTTAGGAAGTTCCTTAATATTCAGTAATGTATTGTATGTAACTTAGCTTCTAAGCTTATAGTTCCGACTCATAGAGTCATTATTCATAGAGTTTTAGATAAGACCCGAATCGTTGGAACGTAACCAGTTTCAAAATCTATTCTCTTACCGACCGTATTATAATAATAAGCATTTATATTAAACGTGAGTACGTTTTAGATGCGAATATTTTAAATAGATTATAACAGTTTAAACATAGAATTTTCTAATATATTGATATGTTCTATATATATTATGTTCTATTTCGTAATGAACACGTAACTCTCCTCCGCGTATGTGGAGCAACGAACTTGGCTCCAATCCCGTAACATTAACATTAATTATGTTATATTATACTATTATATCGTATTTAAATTTACGAGGCTTATCGTATATATGAGACTCTATTATACTAAGTTACCGTAGTATATACAATTTAGACCACTTTATTTATTAACATATTCCATCATTTGAGATATGCTAATAAATAAAATAGTCTAAATTGTATATACTATGGTAACTTTGTATAATAGAGTCTCATATGCACGCTAAGCCCATAAATTTAAATACAATATAATAGTATAATATATATAATTGATATAATAGGGCAAGAAATTGTTTAATAATAATAATAAAGTAATCATGTTATTTGAGTTTTTACATGCAAACGTTCTATAAAGGTAAACACATATAGCATGTTTACATATTTATTATATATTCAAAAATACATATACGTGTATATGTATTATACTGTATTTATAATACATATACATGTATTATACGTGTATTGTAATAATTACATATATATTATGTATTATAAAGGTATAATATTATATAATATACAAGTAATATATGTAATATTACAAACATATACCTGTATAATACTCGTACATAGATATGTATTATTATATATGTATTGTGTAAATGTGTATAATGTATATATGTAGATATGTAAATATATATATACAGTACATATCTTATATCTATACATGTATTATATATTTTTGTATAGATAAACGGACGAAATGAATGAAAATACTTCAATTTACCTGATTAAACGTGAATTAACCCGTTATTTTCGAACAAATATCAATGCTTAAGTGTAAATTTGAACACAGTAAGATTAAAACAAAGTCTTTCAATTCTGTCAAACTAAATCTGCGTCATAACTTAATAAAACAGACGAACTATGAATTTTTTCAATGTTGCCAATAGTATTCAGAAAAAAAAATAATTCAGTCGTAATACAAAACTAAATAAAATACTATATTAATTTTTAAAAAATTTTGTTTTTGTGGATAGAAAATATATAAAAATAGTTAATATTCTATCTTATTAATAAAAAGTTTATAATTTTCTTATAGATAAATGCAAAAATCAAAATAGCCGAATTGGCAACGTTACTTTCGTTCTTGTCATGGAAATGCACATTTGTTTTCATTTTGAATATTTTTTTAAAATATTAATTAGCGTGTTATTTAAATAAATAAAGTATAATAACAATTAAAATTCGATTTCTCGTAAATAAATACTTCGTCATTAATGACGAATTACATCATTGAAGGATTCCAATTACGCAGTTTGAGTGCGGTAAAAAAAAAAAACTTTCATTAATAGTAAGTCATATTAAAAATTCGTTTAATCAATAGAAAATAATAATATTACTAATGTTCTTTAAATGTAAATAATTAATCAATTCGATTTTACTATACAAATGAGTTGATTTATTTTATAAGCCAATAATTTTCTTGTATTAAATTTAATACAAGATGGCGACTTAATCGACTACCTTTATCCAAATTACGTAATATCTATATACTTAATTAGCCAAATTATAGCCCGATGAATCTGGCATAATCATTTATTTATTAATTCAGGTTTGGTTTACTGCGTAATTAATAATAAATAAATCGTATTATACGTTTAACAATTAAAATAACACGTTTCTCGAAAATAGCGCAGTAAGCGAAATCTCTATACAGCGTCTACTAATAAACCGCGTTATACCGAAAATACGGTGTATTAAACGAAAATTATCTTAATTTTAATTTCTTTGTGTCAAATATATTATGTTTAACGGCTACATTTACGCGTCGGCAAATAAGTTACATTGAATATTATTTCGAATTTTAATGTGTTAGGTCATCACAGTTAAAGTATCCCCCATTTAACGCTATTTAGAAGGGTATAAATTTAGTTTGAAAACTCGCCACTATGGAAATTGTAGCGCTGCGAGTGGCGAAAGAATTTCTTAATCCCCTTGGCCTTCTGGCGAGATAATTTGTAATTAATCGCTTTATTACTGAAATTTTAAATGGGCGTGTCAAAATATATTTCAAGATTCATTGTAGATTTCTCATTCACGATGATTCAAATTTTTGTGGATCTAAAGTATATAAATATATTATTTTAGTTTAGCAAACTCATAATTATATTGTTATATTAGCACAATTGCATCATTTTCTTCTGTTTATTCAACGTCACGATCCGATTTAACAATATTTAGTATTGTCTTACTTTAACAATAGATAAACATATTTTATATCGTGATAGAGTATGGCCCGGGATTCCGGGATCGAATACGGATGGATTAGGAAATGTTTCGGGGTGATTTGTCCGGAAGTATAGACCCTCCGTCACTCACCTTTCGGCCGCCATTTTGGTTGCTGGCCCTTTCTTTTGGGGCCCGCAACCAAAATGGCGAAACCAAAATGGCGTAACCAAAGTGGCGCAACCAAAACACGTAATTCATTACCAATGTAATGAATTACGTGTATATTTGTATATTTCTTAACGCAATCGATCAAAAATGGCCGCATCATTCTGAAAGATTTCCAAGGATATATTTCAATAAACAATTCACTTGCTACAACTCGTCCCAAAAATTTATAAATAAAATTAAATTCCAGAATAACAAGTAAAAATAAACCTGTCGATCCGTAATATTTATTTCTGGTGTGTGAATAATAATCTAATTTTACTGTACGTTGTTCGTTCGTTGAATAATTATTAAGCAGTGTCGGACATAAAGGTCATTCGAAATAATATAGACCAAGCTCCTATGCTCCTACGACTGGTACCATAATTTGTCTATAAGGTTACATACTTTTGTAGTCTTTGATGTTTGCATTATGACATTATTTACACTCAAAAATAGGACGGAATTTCTTACTATTTTCGTACGAATTGTTGACTTAATTTTGGAATGTTGGAACCGTCGACCTTCCAAATTCATCCGTTGAATTTCGATAAGGTTTTGAGGTCCATTCTTTTCAAATATGGTGTGTTTTTAAGTCTTAAAACCATTAGAGAACCTTTAAATTTATTATTTCCTACAAAGATATTGGTGTCGTTGTCACTACTGCAGGATCTGCGCGATATATTATATGTGGTCGGGCGTTTATATAATTGCACATATGCACCGGATTTGCACGTATGCTTAGAGCCTCGCGTTATGGATCGTTAGGTTAAGGCCTAGTAGTTTTAAGGTATCGCCATCCTTTCTTATTTGCTGAAGGAAAGGGTTTGATATACTCTAGAACCACAACAAGTCTAAGCCCAGTCTGCAGCTTACTTTTTAATAAACTATAAAGTCGAACCTCCTATCTTTATACGGCGGCCATTTTTTTTTTTTTTTTTAGTTTATTACCTTTATTCTTTCTGTCGTCCAATTTTATGCGACCCACAGCGATAAAACCACCGAACACCGGTCGCGGGTTCACACCCGACCGACTCGTTCCCGAAAAACTCCACGTGACCAAGGTTCTAGCTTCTAAAACGGAACCATTTCCCGTACAGAGTCTTCCCAGGAGTCGCCTGAATTATTACTTAATCTTTATAATTGCTATTTTCTCTCGGAAGATGGCACCACGTTGACATTACCCATTGGATTTTTGTCGAAGAAAATAATTTTATGTTAAATTAAATAAATAAATAAAAAATATTTTTATTTTCCAAAATTCGTTCTTTAAAGACTATATATTATAGAATATTTTTGAAAAAAAAAATATATATATATTATTTAATCCCGTTTACAGATGTCTCTGTAAGCGCTGAATCGCATACTGACGTCATTATTCGCACTCACATACTGACGTCATTATTCCGACTCGTCGCAACGGGCTTTTCCCATCCGCCGAATACGTGAAAAAGTGCGAGGCCCTAAGTTGTAGACTCGGAACGCGAGGCCCTAAGCCAAAGCGCGTTCAGCTCGCGTTTAATACGTCATTTCGCTGCAAAAACGTAGGAATGACGTCAAACTGACGTAATAGTGGGCAGCATCCTCCCACTAGAGGTCTCAGACACATAAACGCTTCCTTGTTCCTGCATTCCTGTAATAGCCACGAGCCTAGCGCCGAATGTGGCGTTATAAACGGGTTTTTGCGTTATAAAAAGGGCCTAGTTCGTGCTAAATTCGTTTATATGCGAGGAATTAAACTGTTCTAAACTTGTTAAAGTATTCACAGGTGCCGATCCAAGATGGTGGTGAAGGATTCCAATTACGCAGTTTGAGTGCGGTAAAAAAAAAAACTTTCATTAATAGTAAGTCATATTAAAAATTCGTTTAATCAATAGAAAATAATAATATTACTAATGTTCTTTAAATGTAAATAANCATTCCTGTAATAGCCACGAGCCTAGCGCCGAATGTGGCGTTATAAACGGGTTTTTGCGTTATAAAAAGGGCCTAGTTCGTGCTAAATTCGTTTATATGCGAGGAATTAAACTGTTCTAAACTTGTTAAAGTATTCACAGGTGCCGATCCAAGATGGTGGATGAATTAGTAGCTTTGCTCGTATTTAACGCAAAGCACGGTTTAATTACGCAAATTCTCTATTTCAGGGGATTCTCCTCTCCTCTTTTTATCGTTTCTTTTTACGAATTAAGCAACTTCAATGTGCTTGATATACAGCCAAACCGCGATATAACGTCACCCTCGCGAAACGGCGATGAATACTTGCAGACATTCATACGTAATTCTTATTGTTTAAGGCTGTTTAATTTAACGAAACACTCGATTTAGCGCCAATTTCTGAACAGCTGTTAGCGCTAAATCGAAGTTTGAATGAATATATACCCAAGTTTTATCAAGTTTTTTTTACTCGTACGTTTTTTTTAATTGGGTTATGGCTTTAACCCCGTGTACCTACGATTTTTATAACCTCGATTTAGCGTCGTTATTTATCCACCTCCGAAATTGGCACTAAATCGAAGTACCTGAAACAAATGGCAATTACGTATAGCGATAATTAGTATACAGTAGCGTTATTCGAGGAAATCCCGTGTTTACGACGACGCTATATCGAGGTTTAACTGCTTTCAACTTCAATTATAAAAAAAATTTGTTGGGGTGGGATGCTTCTCTGTCTAGCGAGAAAGTAACGAGGAAAAGATTGATTTACAGGGGCTACGTGAAGTACAGTATTTAGGAATTTAATTCTAATTAATTTAAATTACATTTAGACGTAGTTAAATATAATCAAGAATTTTGAATTATTTATTAGATTTAATTGTTAATTGTTAGATTTAATTGTCATTAATTTAATTATTTAAAAAAAACTGTGGGAAAGCGGAAGAAGATGGAAGGATGCTGTAAATGCAGGGAGATGATTATGATGATGACGTATTTTGAATATTAGAATGAAGATGTCGTAACAATATTGTTTTATTTTAATAAAATGCGATGTTTTTAAACGTATTTTAAGCTATTTTTCGGATTTTATTCGTGGAAAAATGCAAAAATTCGTTAATTAAATCCAAATTCTTGATGGTCTTCGCGGTTTCTAAGTATAAATTTAACAATTAATGTCAAAAAAAAGTGTTATATCATTCTAAAGTGACGTAATTTTGGATCATTAGCGCGTTAATTACTTTAATTACTTCCTCGTGCAGATGTTTAAACTTTTGTGTGTTTAAAATTGAACTTTTGGAAATAACTAAGAAGAAGGTCGCTTCCTTTCTTCTTAAACCTTATTTTATTTTGAAAATGGCCTGAAATATATTCTAAGTGACTACACAATGACAGAGGAAAAGAAATTACACGTCCAATTGTTCAATTCTAACTCGTTTTAGTAGACAGGTCTAAATCCTGCAACCTCTTCTAGAGATTATAAGATTTAGAAGACAAATTTAAACAATCGTTTCGATATAAACTGTCGTCCGCAGTGTCTTCTAAACAAT